TAATTAAGTCTTTTCTTAAGGTTAATAGGCTTAAGGAGGTATTTTCTTTTTATAGTTTTAAATTTATTTTTCTTATCTTAAAGATATTCCTTTAGTTATTTATATACCTTTTAAATAAACTCTCTTTCTTTTCCTTTTTTATATTCCCTTAAGTTAATAAGTTTAAATCTCCTTTTGCCTTCTTCTTTCTTATAGTTTTTTAAAGCTAGATCTTTAAATTCTCTTTCTACTTCTTTAATTATTTTTATTATTTATAAGGCTTCTTAATAGAAGTTTTATTTTTCTAAATCTTATAGTAATATAATATATAAAATTATAGCTTTACTACTTTAAGGTTTTTATATTAGTAATATATTAAATATCTTTTTATTTTTATTTTTTAATAAGGGTTATTATTAGGTATACTAGAAATTATAATAAGGAAGTAATTATTATTTTCCTTATCTTATTTATATTCCTTATACTAGTAGTATTTATAAGATAGTTATAATAATTTATTATATCTTAAGTAAGTTAGAAATATTTTTATAATATCCTAAGTATTGAATTTTAGCTCCTTATAGTAAGGGTTTATAGTATCTGCTATATAGTAAGCTTAAATATATAGGCTCTTAAGCTTATTAATATTACTATATTTCTAGCTTCTTATAAATATCTATTTTCTATTAAGGTATATATCCTGTTATTATATTTATTAAATAGTGGTTTATAAGGTTATTTTTACTTATTCTTGATTTATTTATCTTCCTTATAGAGGTATTATATAGTATTTTATACTGCCCTTTCTTTATATCTTATACTTTAAGAGTATTATTAGTAATATATATAAACCTTATTTTTACTTTATACTTTTTTTAATTATTTCTTCCTTTCTTAAATAGTTATTTATATTAGGATAGTATTAATTATTTTAATACTTTAAGTTATTTTCTTATATTAGAGGTATTTTTTATCCTTATAGGTCTTTTAGGTATTTCCTAATTTCCTATTTTAAGGGTCTTTCTTTCCTTATTATCTTAAGGATCTTGGTTTATTTTATCTTTTTATATTTCTTTTTTTCCTTTCTTTTAAGGTAATAAGTATAGTCTTTTTCTTTTTCTTATTATTAGTTTTTTAAGTTTTTTTACTATTTCCTTTAATATTTATTTGCCTTTATTTTATATAGTATTAAGATTTAAGGTATATTTCCTATTTTAGTATCTTTTTTTATTAGGAATTCTTCTTATAATTCTTAAATTAAACTATCTAAATATAAGTACTATTTATATTTTAGCATAATGCCTTTATATAAAGCTATTATATTATATAGGCTTTATATTATTCCTAATACTTAGGTTTATATAGCAGTTTAGGGTTTTTATTTATTAATTACTATTAGTATTTACTTACCTTAATTAAGGTCTTTAGGTTTTTTAATTAAAGATACTTATTAATAATATATCTAAACTAATTATAGTTATAGTATTTAACTTTAAATATATTATAAGGTCTTTTATTATTATTATATTATATTACTTTAAGTATTATAAGTCCTAGTTTAGTTTTATATTATATATTAATATATCTCCTTCTTCCTTAATTAGCGTTTTATTATTTATTAGTGTTTTACTAAGGGTTATATATCCCTTTATATCTTTTAGCTTGCTTTTCTTAGCATTACTTATATTATTAATTATTAATTTTTATAGTAATATTTACTAGTTTATTTAGGTTCTTTAGTTTAGGTCTAATATTTATTATTATATCCTTAACTTCTAACTTTAATTCTAAATATACCTATACTATATAAGCTTCTTTGCCTTAGTTTAGCTTAGCTACTTAGTAATAGTATTTAGCTAGATAGTCTATAGCAGATCCTCTCTGTTTAAGCTATTATACTTTTATTTTTATAATATGTTTTTTATTTATTACTTTAAAGGCATTTCTAAGCTTTAATTTAAAGTTTTTATATTTCTTATAAATATATTTTATTATTTCTTATTATTTTTTATATAATTTACTAATATAATTTTAAATAATAAGTTTTATTAATTATAGTACTTTATCTTTAAGGAATTTTATATTATATTAAACTTTTAGTTTATTAATAATAAACTAAATAAGGTAATATATTTAATAGCTCTAGAGGCTAATAAGAAATCCTTAAAGTTTATTAATATTATTATTAAATAGTTTAAGCTAATAAGGTTAAAGGATTTCTTTAAGGTCTTTTTTAGTTACTATAAGGGCTATAATATATTTAATATACTCCTTATAAAGTTTCTAACTATTTTCTACTTCCTTTTTAAGTGCCTCTATAATCTTAATAAGATTAATTACCTTCTTTTTTAGGTTCTTAATTTTATTTTTAGCTATATTAGAGTTATTCTTTATATTCTCTAAGAGGTTATTATATTACTAACTAAGCTATTTAAGTCTATATTTAAGTTTTATAACTTCCCCTTTATAAATACTTAAATAAGTAAGGGTAATATCTTTTTTATTTTTATTATTAGTTTTTATAAAAGTATCTGCTAGGTTAAGAGGTATCTCTTATTAAGGGTAATACTAGGTATATCTTAAGTTAAAAGGCTAGATTAAAGTAATAAGTACTATTATATTAGTATTACTTAATATTATATAATATAGTCTAAATAAGAGCTATTAATATATAATAATTAGGTTTTTTAAATAAGTAAACTAGTCTATATTAGGTTTATATTTATAAATTATATAAGGCATAATACTAAGTATTATAAAGTATTATATCTCTTAATAATTAAGTAATATATATTAGGCTTATTAATATAAAGATACTTTATTAATAGCTAGTAAGCTAAGTTTTATAAAAGTATTAATAAATATATTCTTATATATTAAAGGTAGCCTAATAGCTTAATAAAGAATAATAATAATCTAAAGGTTAAATTTCTAGGGATTATTAGTGATTTATAATAATCCAGTCTTAGAGTATTATAATCTAAGTAATTTAATAAGAGAGGATTGTTATTAGGAGAAGTAATCCTTCTGTAATAGGTAGGAATTGTAGGGGCTACGTGACGTAGCTATATAGGCCGTAATATAAAGCTAACTTATAAATTTAAAAAAAAAAAGAAATTATTATTTTTAATTAATAATCTAATTTATTAATATATAAAATTAGATATATATATATATATCTTATATATTTAATTTACTAATATTAGCTTAATATATATTTCTTTAAATATTATTAATATAAACTTATAGACTATTTTATATATAATATAAAATATATTAATTACCTCTTCCTTGTCCTTTTTTATATTTAAATACTTCTCTTATTTTAATTTAATTACTTTAGCTTATTTTCCTTAATATAACTAATATATAATTATTATTTATATTACCTTAATTATAGCTAAGTATATAAGTATATAATTTATTATATTTATTTAATTATTAGTTTTATAAATTCTTAATATAGCTAACCTATTAATAATATTTTAATTTTTTTAAATTTATAAGTTAGCTTTAAAAGGTATATTTAAGTATTTCTAATATCTAATATAATTTAAATATTTATTACCTCTATAGCTAGTAAAGCTTTATTAAGTTAAATTATTATACTTAGCTGCATTAATTATAACCTAAACCTAGCTATATATATATTAATTAAAAAGCCTCCTAGCTTAAATTAATATTACTTCTATATTATAATATATATTATCTGCTTTATTATACCTGCCTTATTAGGTATCTAGCTAGCTAGTGCCCTAAACTGATTTTAAATTAACTACTGGCTGGCCTATTATGAAATAATTATTAGCTTTGCATGCCGGCGCTATGATACCTCGCTTAGGTCTATAGGCTGGTATATTATCCTCCTTCCTCTCCCTTGCAGATTTCTTTATCCATGTTCTTTGCGGTACTATTCTTATATGCCTTAGGGGGTTTTAATTATAAATAAATACCCTTCCTTACTATATCCTAACTTATTAGCTATTAGCGGTTAAATATATAGGATTTGATTGGTTATAGGTAGCGGCGTTAGCTATATTAATACCCCTTTTGGGTTTTAATTATACTAGGGAAATCCTTAACATCCTAAGCAATCTCCCTTATAGCTGCTGCTTTAATGCCTTTATAATGCTTTTTTTAAATATAGTTTAATTTCCTTAGTACTATATATATAATAGTATATTATATAAAATAAATATAAAAATTTAAGTAATTTAATAAATAATAATATCTTTAGCTTTTTAATCTTACTTTAACATATATAATAATATATATTTATATAACTATTTATATATCTTACTTATATTCTTATTAATATTACTTTTATTATTATTATATTATAAAGCTTTAAACCTTTTTTCTAACTATATATCTTAGGCACTTAAGTTAATAACTAATATAACTACTTAACCCTAGTCTCTGTTAACTTTAATTAATTAATATAATTAAACTTTAAGCTAGTTATAATACTATAAGTATAATTTTCTTATACTATTAGTTAAAATATAAAGTAACCTTAATATAATAAATTAATATATATAGTTAAAATGTATTTTACTTAATAAAATTTAAAAGTATAGTAAACCTGTTTAGGTTAAATGGATTCGCCATGCTTGTTTATTAGTGCCGTTCTTTTTACTATGGGTGTTTAAATGGATTCGCTAGCGAATCTGCCGCGCAGCTAGGATAGGGAGATAAAGAGACGAACACATACCAGACCCTGCACCTGATCTCTGTCCAACGGATTTAGAGGCTTTGGCGCGCCATTGGGCCCCGGATAGAAGTCCTGCGTCGTAGGTAGGATGAAGGAGCGACAAATTGAGGGACATGGCCATGACCGGCGGCTGTGATGGAGAGGCCAGTGTGAGGTTTATGCGGCCCGCCCGCGTGGAGTTATCAAAGCCGGTCCAGTTACCACTCCAACTCCAGTTTCAGCGGCGGGTGGTGCTGGTGTTGGCCAATCTGTGCCTGGAGCTGAGGTCATGTTCGAAGCACCTCCAGCTGTTGTGCTAATCACGCCAGGCACTGTACTAGAGACCTTATTTTCGACACGGGGCAGCTGACCTACGTCATTGTCACTCTCTGCATCACCAGTTGGAGATTCGGACGGAGGCTATTGGGGTTGCGTTTCGCTCTGGGCTTCGATCCACGATTTGAAGTGGGCTTTTGCTGGGTCTTCAACTTGAGCTTCATCTGTCACTTCAATGTGGCCTCGGAATTCTCGAAGTTCGCTTGGTAAATCGACATCTGCTGGTGCCTTTGCTTCTGCCTTTGGTTGGAAGGGTCGATCCCTTAGTACGGATTCGGCTTCTGGATTTCCCTTCATCCCAACCAATCCCTACTCTTGGCGTTGCACAAGGTGATGCGATAGCAAAAGTTCACGGCACGAGATTTTAATAGTCTGATTAAATTGGGAAATAGCAAAGGGTGAAATGCTGCGAGCTTGTTAAGTGCCAGAAGAGAGGCAGACGAACAGTAAGTTACGGCGCATCACTGTCTCTCACGGGGAGGAAAATCGCGGGCGTAGTAAATGTGTAGGGCAGACAGGGGAGGCAATCTGGATATCAGGCGACAACAAGCCTGAATGAAGGCCAATAAAAATAATGCGACAACGTTGACGACAATTCCATACCATTAAAGGCGCAAGTTTGTTTGATAAAACTTGAAGGAAAGGTGGTCGCAAAGTAAGAGGGAAAAAAGAGCGCAAACCATCCGTCACCTCTCGCAATCGCGTGCCATAGGTTGTTTCGTTGCCTTAAGTACGGGTTGAAACAGCCAACGTTATAGAAGTATGACTAAAGGTGTGTGAGCCAACCTGGTGCAGGCACCTTAGGAAGGCATCTGGGAAGCCCCCCCGTCGCGAGTTGAGTAGAATAGAATAGCAGCTCACTCTTTGGGATCGTGCACGTCGCCTTGCAGGACCTACTTGCTTGGGCTGTAATAAGTGATAAGAGAGCCACCTACACTACAGTTTGGCCAACAAAATTCCAGCAATAATGTTACCGTGTAGCAGACGCTACTCCATACCTCTTAACTTTATCTCAGTGCCCACAAGCCTCAATTCCCGTATTGACTGCGGGGTCGGTCCAATTAAAATGCCTCAAACAAGGTGTATTTTATTGCCCACCTAAATTCTATTATGATAGAAGTACCAGCAATTCCCCAAGGGGCCTCTTTTTTGGCCTTTTGACCTCACTTGGCCTTGCCGAAAGCCCTGACAAGCAAAGCAATCCAACCCCATCTTCCGGCGGACAAGACCGTACTCTTTTGCTGTATTTCAGGGTCGGATTCGTCCCCTGCGCGATGCCTCTTCCTTGACTGACTTTCTTCATGATATGTGTTGAATAAGGCGTTGTAAATGCACTCTCGCCACTCCCCTTGAGTCGTATACCTCTTCCAATTTGACTGGGGCCCGCGTAGTTGAGCAATATAGCTATTAGTAAGGGCCACATCAAGAAGGAAGGCCCAACAAAGTGCCTGCTAAGTGTCGTGGTGGAGGGGATGATCGTAGGCATAATATTGTTGAAGTGAGAAGATGCTTGTTGCTTTTTTCACCCTAACAGTGCAGCAGGGGAACCACTGTTTATGTACAGGCATAATCTCTTGTAGAATGTTCCTCCTTCTTCCACACCTTGCCACCGCCTTGGTCGCCTCACACTTGTAATCTCCAACATAATGAGACGCTTAGTTGACGCCGGCGCGCCAAGACGAAACTTCTCCGAGAAGGGAGAAGCCTCACTCTAGTCCAGGGACAGGATTCGCAAGGCCAGAACGAGGTAGATGTGCAGTTAGAAGAAGAAAGTCGTCGCAATGGTCGTCGGAAGCGGAGGCCAGAAACGAAGGAACGGCGGTGTGACGTCTACGGCAAGGCAGGGCATAACGCACGAAGATGCCAGATAGAAGTAGTAGTGTCTCAAGAACACGGTTCCAATTGATTCGAGCCGATTTAGAGTGTTGCGGTTGATTCCGCAGGGTAGAGAGTAGCGAGGGTGTGGCCAAGTGCCTCATTCGCTTATCTGCCTCACTCGCTTATCAAGTACGTTATATCCATTCCACATGTCAACCTAGCACTGATACACGAATGCAGACTGAGATAAAAGATCAGTGTGTCGATTGTATTATTCCCCCCATATCTAAGGAACGACGAAGGTTAGTCTCTTATATTTGTGTTCAATCTGTTGATCTCATAGGCAGCAGGCTGTTGCCTAATGCTAGTTGAGGTTGTTCACATTCATCGTGATCCTTGCCTAATTTTGGCCTCATTCCAACTCTTGACAAGCTTCCTCCAACAGTAAGTGAAGGTCTCCGGAGCTTGACACCATGTCTACGATAGCTTCAAATGGATCTACTACACTTGAGGGGCTCCATGGATAAAGGTGCATCCACGCCACTCTCTCCGCTCGTGGATTTAATGGACTGGTTTGCAAATCTAGACCAATCCTCAACTCCTCAATGAAGCACTTTTAACAATCCCAAATTGCGCCATAAGCTGGTACGCCTCTTGTTTCAAGACCATAAACCACCTTCTTCGTAGTTTTCTCATTCGCGATAATAATGACAGCTTCAGCTTTACAGCTCTTTGCCAAGTTGTAGCCCATTTTGACGAGATCGGGACGGCCTTGCTTCTTTGTATCGTGAATGATTGCGTTCGGAAAGATTTTGGTAACAGTACGACAGAGGTCTTCTCCGAAAGCTTCTTCAGGCTGTTTTGTTGACCAGATGAGTTGCGTCCCACCAGACGGACTTTGAATGTAGCCTAACATCGGTCCAATACCGGAGCCAGTCGCGATGAGAACAACCCGGTTGAACAGGGTTGCAATGCGCATGGCACCGCACGTCGGTACGCCTCGGATCCAAATGTGGGACGGGCTATCCTGAATAGTTGATTTAGTCCAATCACCAGCGTTCGAGACGATGAGCGAGTAGCCTTTCGGCCGGCCGTTGACGGCCTCGGGGGCGGGAATAGTGGCGAACGAGTGCCACTCCACGAGGGGATTGTATGATAGGCGAGCGAATGAGCCATTGACGGGGACTGTATAGCCAAAGTGCAGTCTGATCGCGTGGTCCGACATCTTTTCCGCCTGGACGGGTACCTTACGGAGAAAGAACCACGAAGAAGCGACACTTACAGTCGCTACGGCCAGGAGCCAGAATGGTGGTGACCGGGCGCAGGCTTGTCCCAATGAAGTGCCGGTGGCTGCATTGTCCTTGCTTGCGATAATTACTTGAACCCAGAAGAATACGAGCATGGTCCAGCCGATAAATCGATGCGTTCTCTCAAACAAGTCGTGGTGGCGCTTACGCATCGACGGCCAGGCAAGACCGATCATGACGGCGAAAAGGGCCGAGAGAGCCCACGAGATAACATTGGATGTGATCGACTGTTTGCCCCAGTTTGAAAAACTTCCGCTCACCATGCAGACAATGTCGGCGATATTCGCCGCCAAGAGCCAAGCTCCTGCACTAACGGCGGCACCGGAATGGACACCGCCGAGATGATATATCTTTGCAAAACGAGCCCGAATGAAGAGAGGCCAGGACTTTGGTGCGCTGCAAGCGATTGTGTATAGGACGTTGATGACGAAGTCCTGGCGGACGAGAACGGCCATGGCCAGATTGATTGCCGTGATGTTGCTTAGCCACTCCCGGCTGATCCCGGTCATTACCAGAGCAATGGCAGCCGAGGTGTTGAACAAGCCAACGAGCGAGGAAAGCCGCCAGTAGATAATGAGTACCCCGTAACGGAGTCCGCGCGAATATTTGCGGTGCTTCTTGTCGGGGAGGGCGGCTTCGAGATCGATTTGTTCCTCGACCAGAGTGGCATCCGACGGGTCGGAGAACGAGCTGGTCTGTGGAGCACTTGAAGCTGAAGAGTCGGATCGTGAGTGACCGAGTCGAGCGGGTTTGGGTGGATGGATATGGCCATAGGGCGCCTTTTTGCCTGTTGATATAGGATCCTGGGGAGTGGATGCAATGTGCCGCAGTGCTTTTTTGTCCAACTTGCCTTTCTCCGCCAGGGGCAATGCATCAAAAAAGTGATATCGTGTTGGTATGGCATAGTAAGGTTGATGGGCTTCGAGGTGGTCTTGAATCACTGGAAGAGGACAATGGCGAGGCGTGACAAAGGCATGAATCTCACCATCAATGAGCAGCGCAGCCGCCCCTTGTACCGAAGGGCACGAGTTGAGAGCTGCAATAACTCCATCTAGTTCAACACAAAAGCCCTGAATCTGTGAGCGAAGAACGCTTCGATTGCAGTGAGGGAATCAAACCTTGACTTTGACATGATCATTGACAGGCCCCAAGAAGGTGATAGTGCCGCTACGGTTCCACTGGCAGAGATCTCCAGTATCGTACATCTTGGTTCTATGGGAACATGTCAGAATCAATTTTGTGGCTACAAGAAAGTGCATCGGATGATTTACCCGTCTTGACTGTATGGATCGAACCTGAATCTCTCAGCTGTCTTTTCCGGTAGATCCATGTATCCACGAGATACCTCCGAGCTACCGGCCCACGAGACGCCAATCTCACCTACAGTCGCAGGGACAAGGGGTTCATCAAGTGTGTATCTCTTATTCCAGGGTGTAGGTCTTTCTACAGACAGAGGTTGGCCAGGTTGATGCCCATGCATGATGTTGACAACGGTAGTCTCAGTTGGGCTGTAGCAGTTTATGCAAGGAACATGAGCAACGCAGATATCGGCAAGCATATCGACCAGTTAGATACAAGAATCCAACAGAACGCACCAATAAGTACCTTTGCGAGCTAGGCTCACCCCCGATAGCCACAGCTTCGAGATTCGGGCAATCCTGGGGGTCGTGCTTGGCCAGGATGCTCGGGTGCAAATGAGAATGACAATCTGCAGATGTGGGCTAGTTGTTATGAAGGCGTACCGCGACAATTCTTTCCCACCTGCTGCAAGGCTTTTGACCAGTTGGAGCTGCGCATTCCCATAGTGCCGCCGTTTGCTAGACAGCCAAGCGTTTCCCAGGCGGCTGTAGCCCATCTGAGTTAGCTATCATAGCGTGATGGAGCTAGCTGGCGTAAGACTCTTTGCATTACCGGCCGGTTTGGACAATTTCGGAAGCTCTTGGGTGAAAGAGGAAATAACGTCGGTCTATTGCCGTATTCGGTTTTAATGCAAACCCTGTCGAAGGCTTAAAAACGGCTTGCCTGACCAGCTGCAGCTACAACAGCCCTTTCGATGGGCTAAGCAATGCGGAATTCGACACATGCTACTCCGTACACAGGGGCCTAATACAGTCCCGGCCGAAATTAGAGGCCGCTTGCCTAATTCAAGAAATGTAAGATAAGCTTTCGCGCATGGACCGAACCGTAGCCAATGTGGCTTATGATAGTGCACCGAGCGCTGCAAAAATCGTAATGTTGACCCTATCTCCTTGTAATGCCTGTCATTATTACATATTGTCATCAAACTGACTAATTATAGGTTCTAAAAGGTAGAAGTCATCTGATTATATATAGATGTATTTAGAATAAGTCCTAGATTTCTAGCTTAAAATGACTTTTAAAGAAAGGCCAAATTAGAGCATAAGATCTTACTCTCTGTAATGTTATTTGGATAAGCAATCGATAACAAAGGTTAATATCTTCCCTTAACTGAGGTCTATTCTGGACGTGGAGGGATGATGACATCTGCCCATTTAAATCCATAATCAGCGTCTATGGAGATTACAGCACGTGCTTGGACATATTCCCAGCATTTCCAGTCATATACACTGTAAAAGCCACATTAGCCACTGCTGTGGTTCGTGCGCGAAAGCTTATCTTATATTTATTATACTAGGCAAGCGGCCTCTAATTTCGGCCAGGACTATAGCGGGCAGCTGACCACGCAGCTAATGCACAGGGTCATCGACCGTGCAGTGACACTTGTGATAAACTAATAAATGCAGGCCAACAATTCGAAACAAGGGGACTGAATAGGCAATCATTAGCTGCGTATGCTCCTCAGTGATGAGGTGACATACCTACCACATATACTATATCAGTATTAAGTTATTATAGGGCAGACTGGCCTGCTCTGCGGAGATTGCAGGGTCCTGGCAAGATAATTAAGATTATTGATTTACCCTTAAAGAAGAAAACCTCCTGCTATATTAAAGGCATTGGCTATAACTAAGCTTTCTCTCTTACCTTATATAATAAATATAAATAAGTTACTTTATATATAGCAGCAGCTAAGGTAGATAAAACCGGCAAGATATGGCTTTTTCTTAACTTATATTGCCTAAATAGTATTAAACTATTACTGCCTGAAACGCAAACCTGCAACAATGCCAAAGCAGTTATGCACTTTGCTAGCCGTATTGCATATTGCCTTTGCAGGGGCGGCTCATCAAACTGTCGTCCGTCCGAAGGAGGCCTGAGCGTTGATCAGTGACCAATTGGCCCTCTGTGACATGCACGTCCGGCAGGGGACGTCATTCCGTCGTTGCAGCCTGATGGTTCTTGGTTTTGTGGATGGCTATGCTGGACAATTCTCGCGATCAGAGCCCCACTGACGACGGAAAAGGGCATTTGGTCAGACGAACGCTTGGGCCGCCTTCGAACATTGGATAGTCGGGAACAAGTCCTGCAACCTTACAGCTAGCCACCTTAGCACGATGGTGGCAATATGTAATTCGGCTAGTAAAGTATATAATTGCTTTTAGTATAGCTGCAGGTTTAAGTATTAGGTAGTAATAGGCTAAGGAGACTTTAATAATATTAGTTAAGAAAATAATATATCTTTAATATTAATAATTTATTAATATTTATAATAAGGCAAGATAAAAAGCTTTATTATAACTAATACTTAAAATATAATAAAAGGCTTTTTTTTTAAAGGCAAATTTATAATATAAGGTTAATTACTAAGTTATAGCTATTTTTATATAATAAGATAATTTATATAATAAATACTTAATATTAATATAAATTATAAGGTAAAGTATATTACCTTATAAATAAGAAAATAAAAATATATATAAAAGCTAATAATTGCTTATTTGGTTTCCCTTACTGCTATACTATAACTATCCTCTTACACTACTAGGTAACTTGCCAAGCGCTTTTAAGTTATTTACCTATACTTATTAGTCTATTATAAGTACTACTAAATGCCCGATAGCCTTATGCTTCTATTGCTGCATGGTTGGCTGCCTGCTATCAAGCCTTGTATAGTCGGTCTGTGCTGGGAGGCTTTTATGGCTGTAGCTAGTCAAGCAAGCCGTGTCTGGGCTTTCGACATGGTTTGCATCTAAACCGAAAACGGCCACGGACCAGGGCTGTTTGTTTTCTCTGTTTTCAGAAGGAATAACCACTGTTGTCTATCCTTTCGGTGACCCTAGCCGCCTAGCGCCCACTCCACGGCAGAGCCATGCCTTAAAATCTTTAGGAACAGGTTAAACAGCACTGTATTATTCTTTATCCCTAGTTAAGACTACTGCTTTTTCACTGATTTCACTTTATCTGTTCTCGTACGCAAGCTCAATTGGTCACGTGCCCCACCACGTGTATTCAATTGATTGAGTCATGACTTCAAATCGATTTGACTTTCGCCAACTAACTTACACAAAACTCAACACAATTCCTTTACAGAACCCCGCCTTTACCCCGCATTTATCCCAGAACTCTATAAAATTATGCTCTAAAAGTCTGTAAACGCTGCCCCGCCAACAGGTTATCCACTATATAAAAGTAAACTAGTCTAACTTTTTTAATTATATATAACTTTAATAAAATATATTATAACGGTTATGGCAAGCATTCTAGGGTAAGAGGTCTAAGCTTTGTTAGTGGGGGCCAGATAGATATCTATGGTAATAAGGTATAAAAGGGTAATATCCCTTTAGGACTAAAGACTTTCCTTATGCTTTTTAAGAGGCTTCTTTAGACTTAATTCTTATTCTTTTTTCCTTTATATTTAATACTATTAAACTAATTATTTAATTCTCTATCTTATAATAAAGACCTTATCTTAACTAAACCTAACTGGCAGTTTATACTTAGCTTATAGTTAAGAAGTATTAGAAGATATTATCTTATATAGTCTTTTCTTTATTATTGCTTTTTACCTTTAAAGTATATATAAGATAATAATCCCTAATAAGTTACTAAATACAGGGTGTAAGGTTTAATAGCTATTAAAGTATAGCTAGCTTTTATAGTAAACTTAATATATATATAGCTTAAGATATAAGCCTATAGATATTAAATTATACTTTAGCTAACCTAATATAATAATATTACCTATAAAAATAGCTAACTTAAACCTAACTTAAGTTATTATTACTACTCTAATTAATAAGCTATAAGCTAGAATATATTATATCTTTTTTAATAATCTCTTTTTAATACCTAGCTTTTTTATTATTTTAAGATATTTAGAAACTAGGGCTATAAGAACCTGCTAGATAAATTATATAATAATAATTATAATAGCTACAAGCTTCTTTAGATAGACATTATAATAGTGCAGCTATAATGCTGTTAGCGGTTGCGGTTAGAAGTCGGGTTAGATGGCTTACTGAAGCGTAATGGATAATTGAAGCGTGTTATTCTTTTAGGTAGGTTGTAAGAAGAAGGTTAGGGCTAGCTAACAAGTAGGGCTTATTAGCTAGTATATATATAGCTAGGTTTAGGCTATAATTAAGGCAGCTAATTATAATAATTTAACTTAATAAAGCTTTATTAGCTATAGGGGTAATAAATATCTAAATTATATTAGATTTTAGAGATACTTAAATATAACTTTTTAAATTAACTTATAAACTTAAAATAAATATATATATATATATTATATTATAGGTAAGTTAAATATATAATAATTTTTATATTTAATTATTTTATTTATAATTAATATAAAATTATAAGTATTATTTTACTTTTTAATTTATTTATTTAATTTATTTATTAAAATATAATTTAAATACTATTAATAGCTAGTAATTTAGCCTTATATATAATACTAATATTTATTAAAAGTTACTTATAAATATTATTCCTTTATTTATTAAATTTTTATAAGGTAGTTTATATTTTCTAACTATCTTAATATAAAAAATATAAAAAAGTTATTTTATATCTATATCTTACTCTTACAATTCGTGCCTGTAACAGCGCTATAAGACTTCTATAAGTAGCTATAAGCACTACTGTAATTGCTATAATAGCAGTTATAGCCTAATCTTTTACCCTGTAGCATAGTGGTTAGGTGCGACCGTTACACTTCCCTATAAGATATATAATAAGAGAATTTAGTAAGTTAATTTATTATAACTTAAATACTATTATAAAATATTTTAATTAAAGGTTCTTTTAATAAGGGTAGTTTAATTATATAAAGGCATATTAACTAAGATAGTTAATACTAATCCCATTTTAACCCTGAGATTTAAGACTACTATATTGCTATGTGATAAGTAACGCGACCAGATCGCCCGCACTACTGCCCATCCTGTGTTTACAACAAGGCTAATTAGACATCTTCCCAGCTCTTGCGTCCAGGCCGGCACTACAGAAACACTGCAGTAACCTTTTTTGCTGATGTGTTACCCATTGCCGGCATCTTCAATACTTCCCCATACATCATACCATACACATAGCAGGATCCGACGACCTTGAATTTCATCTCGTTGCTCCCTACTGGCCTGATGACCAATGGAGTCTGGACAGTCGGAATAATACATATCATATCGCCGGGTTGTATCAAAGGCGGTCCCATCCCGCTGTGATCATTCAGGGTCAGTAATTAGTGACAGGCTCGAGAAATTGAAAAGGAAAGACACCGGGTTGGGTTAGCGAACGGATGACTTACCAATAACCTTTGGCAGAGGTAAAGAATCTCTGTCCCTGGATACTGTTTGCCGAGCGCTGCCGGAAAGGTATATAGTGCTTAGGCTCTCTCAAGCTCCATCGTTCGCGCCAGCTGTGCTCCTCGAGATAGGAATGTATGGACGGACAGTGCTCTTGTCAAAAGTCTGCAAAACTACGAGCAATAGATGGGCCATCCTCTTCCTCCATAATGGCCAAAAGGGTACTTGCAAAAGCAAATGCCTTGTCTTCGTAAGCTAGACCATGGCAGGTCTCTGCTTCCTCCAAGAGCGACCAGTACGTTTCCGCAAGACTAGGGCGTTCGGTGAGCATTGACTCTGCGATGCGGTAGCCAGGCTCCCCGCCATCGCCTGTCTCCCTTGCGGCGACATCTCCGCGGAAACCGGTCGTGTCAATAAGATACAGGCTGAGCTCGAGAAATAATCCATCGACTTGTGGGGGTAACTTGCCTACTGAGGTCATGTCCTCCCCCCGACTGGCTTCATATCTGCCGTTGATAGCCCAAGCCCGACGAGCATCCAACTGGGGGCACCACGACGGTCCACTGGCGAGTTCGTCAGGGATACTGTGCCATACTAGGCCAAGGAACCGCAGCGAGTGGGCACTCAGCCCGGAAAACAAGCAGAGCCGCAGTTCTGACAGACTTTTCGTGTAGTCTGCCATGACCAAGAGCTCTCCGTCATCCGACCTTGCAAGAGGGTGTCCGAGGAAAGCATAAACGAAGTCCCTATGGTCTGTAGCCTTTTGAATGTGTCTCGCCCTGAAGAGCACATCTAAAAAGTCAAGTTTTGCACTTTTCAATGACCGCTGGAACAGGACCCTAAGTATGCAGGAGGACTTGAACCAGGAATTTTTGTCATCCTTGACGTACGAGGACCAGATGTATCTGAAGAGGTCCGAGATATGGCCTGTCCTGATAGATACGCCTGGAAAGGAGGAGCCTGTCTTCGCCCATGCCTGCACGAAATCCATAACCTCAGCAAAGTCAATCATCGAGGAGCCGTAGGCAAGCACCGCGTTCTTCGCAAGCCCAATCTCCTGAAGGACCCAAACCCGCTCAAACCAGGGGTGTGTAAATACAGGGAGTACGTTCTGCAGCCGGGCAGTAGTGACAGGACCGTAACCATCGTCTGGTTTCCACCACTCTCTGCTGTTGAGCAGGTCTTCCGACAGGTACTTCGCGGCAATGTGGTTGTAATCCTTGATGACACTGAACGCGACATCTGCGGCTTCGCCGTTCTGGCCGTCGTCACCGAGACACACCACGACCCGCTGGGCATGCACGTAAATGTCGCCCATCATGTTGACATGGAAGCTCTTCTCTGCCAAGTCCGCCTGATTGATGCACAAGGCATCGGCCCATATGCGTATTGGCTCGCGAGGATGTCTCATCTGGCGCAGAGCTTGGAAGAGATTAGCAGTGATTTCGAGTTCATGGCCTTGACAATGAATCGAGCGGGCGTCTCCGGGGTTACCCCAAACGTATGATATCGCGTCGTACGCTTTGAATATGTGTCAGGATCAGCCGATATGATTCTCATAGATGTATTTCCGTGTTCGGACGGAGGATCTCACCTTGAGTATCAAATTTGGCAGCGTGGAGAGAACAGTCTATAGGGTCGCCTATAGCTCCTGGCTCTAGGAGCAGAAGGCGGGTCCATTTCCCTGCTGGCAATGGAGAGTATAGCTCGTGGGCCCCGGGTTGGGATTGATTAGCTTCGGACATGCTTCTTTTGCCACAGAGTTGGACTGGGAAGCTCAATATTGAATGATTCAGTTGTGCTCGGCTTACGCTGACTTGCGGTGAGCTTTTTTCTCTGTGAGGGACGGGCTTTGAAGCCCGCAGTGTGGACAACTGTCGTAACGGGACTAGGGCTTATATACTGGTTTTAACAATAAGGCATCCACCCTCAGCATTTTGCCGGCCAGCAAAAGGTTCTTCAATGTCCTACAGATCTTTAGTGTTAGCTTGTGGGTCCCTCGCTGCCCCACAGCCCCCTTGCAACTCACTTAGTAAGCAGCGTTTCTTCGTCACTTGATTGCAGCCAAATTGACCGGATCAAGCTCCGATAGAGACCAAGGCGTCTTCGTTCAAGTGGCAGCGGAAGTAATAATCAGACTATCTATCATCGCGCATGGAACCATTCCAGCCCCATCACCGGTCACTAAACGATCGACACCGGAGCAGGCCGATCTAAAATGTAAAGATATAATGTTGCGAGGTGATGCTGGGCCGGCTGCTTGTTCCGATTTTTCAGCTACCCACTCGTCACTTTTACAGTACTGTCAGGATCCTATCGCAACTGACAGCTGATAACTCGCATAGATGCATTCATTTGCCCTTACCTTGGAGCTTATAACCTCATAATCATCTTATATACCTTACTACTCCGCCTTGCCCCCGCGCTTGGACAAGGAAGGGATCGACAGCTCATAAGGCTGAGACAATACAGTGGTTAGTCACTTAGGCAATTGCGCGCCGTTCCCTTCACGTCGGCATAGGCCTACCTCTGATTAGAGGGCCTGGGCCTGGTAGATGTGTTACTAGTAAATTTTAGTAATTATTAGGTGAAGCTAGATACAAGGGTTATTAATTTAGGAGGAATACGAGCTAAATGCAACCCTATATACGAACTATACATTAAATTGCCATTAGGACTAAAGAAGAGCTTTCTTACTACTATTTTATGATTTATTATCTCTTTACATAGAGGACACGATAAGAAGAATTACACGTAAGAGATATTTCTGTCGGTTGTAGGAGTATGGTAAGCGTCCTGCTTAAGGTCGTACTTTTAACAAACTCTAACCAGCAAACTTTTGGTAATACTAAATATGAAAGTGATCATGTTAGTCAGCTCTATCTGTCTCTGAATAATTAAAGGACCTTCTCTTTCTAGCATTAACTCTGCGTTATTTACACGGCTACTTTGTTTAGGGCGGCCGCTGTGCATATGGGAGGAACGGCCCCTGGCACCTATCCGCGTGCGGCTGAGGAGCGGGTGATCTACGTACTAATACACTTATTTACCCGGCGGCGGAGTCAAGCAAAATGCATTAGTCCTAAACGGGCGTTTATGTCAAAATACCCCTGCTTATCTCATGTGACACGTTGTCTCTAACAATCCCATATAGAAGGCGACTAAGAGGAATGCTGAGTGATGAATTGGTCATGCCATTTACCTGTTCCTATGCCGGAAACTAAGTTTTGCAGCTTTTAGAAAAGAACACCCTCCGTGACCACCTACGTTTTCAGCTGAGACAACATTACATTATTCTTTACCAAAAGTCCGACTACATGGCACAGCAACGAATCACTGCCCTGTAGATAGTTAAGCCTCACAACAGCAAGCAAAGATTGCGGTCTGACTAAATTGCCACAGCAGCTAATAGTTCAGCCACAAAAGGGGTAGGCAGTGTTAAATCCTCAACATGCCTACAGGAGCGTCCGACCCACACTACATCCACCACCCGTCCGCCGTGAAACCCGGTTTAGCCGAACAATATGTAAATCTAAATTAGATTATACTTTTTTTGTTTTGTAATAGTGCCAACTGAGCATCAGGTTAAAGAGAAAAGATCAAGTATACATAACAGACTCAAAATAGCAGTCTTTTTAAGAGCGTGATAAGTAAAGTTTCACTTTAAAGTGAGCAGTAAAGACTGTAATCTCATTATCTGAACTTAAGGTCCTGTTTCTAAAGAGCGTCTGTGACAATACATTTGCTTCGTCTCGGTAAAGAACGTCCGGTATGCATCCCTAGCTAACTCCGAGAGCCCACCTCACAGCCCCCCAAGCCTACTAAATCTCCATGCCATGTGGTATGCCTTACTCGCAACCATCAGGTCGGTTCGACAGACACTGAGTTGTGCAAGTGTTGCCGATCAGCGTGTCCCGAGACAAGCCCGACACGGTGTTATCGCCCCAATTACACTCTGAGACGACTCTATAGCCAGCAGGGGACAAGTTGTTCTCTTTACCGCCCGACACCGCTTTAGCCCAGCTGATGCAACACTGCTTACCACTGGCTGTCTTGCAGATGGACCGCGGGCTCTGTTTCAGCTGTGTGCTTGACTTTTCCATTTGGTAAAGCAGGTCGCTGCAGATCCAGATGGGGGCGCGGTGGCTGCCAAAGCAGGAGACTTGATTGCTACCGCATCTCTTGGAGAGTCCACTCTCATCACGCTTTTTGGAAGCAGCAGGATCGGCGTCACCGTAACTGTGTCCGTGTTAGAGCGGCAGTAAATTTCAAAGGGCTCTCTGTAACTGACAAGGTAAGAACTCCAGCACCGTCATCCACGGATTCCTGTGCCAGTACAATAAGTCCCTCTGGCGCCTCGGGCACTTTTGGGACAGTAGCAGCAGTGGCAGCATAGAGAAGGCTGCTCAAAACCAACAGTGTTTGCTTGGAAAGAACCATCTTGAACTGCTTGGGAATTTGGAAGAGAGTAGTGACAAAAGATGATTGTTGAGGCTGGAAAGTGCTTTGGAATGAAGTTGGGTTTGAGGAAATTATCCAGACATATTTATAATTTCAGTTCTAATCGTGGAAAATGCCGGTTGACATAGAGATCGAATACGAGACGGATCAAGCTGCGGCAATCACTATCACAGTGGAGAATATTTTATTAGCTTCCTTTATCTAACCAGAAATCTCAAATGATTATCTATGCTCATTTCTAGACTAGCTTCTTGTATGATAGAATGTTGTCGTATCAATACGAAGTGCCTTGATTGACCCAAGAACAAAAGAGCCGAATTTAGTCAGCTGCAGGTAGCTGACACATCAATTAAATTAGAATGTGGGCTCATTCGTTGTTCGATATTGGTATGCTTGCATAGTTTCGGACAAGGCTATTGCTACTCATGATGTCTTTATCATGTGAGGTGAGTGGAACTTTTGCGAAAGGAATGATATACGAATAGTGCACCTGTACTAGGGTGGATAAGTCTCGACTCTTAGGCCTCAGATATGCTTGGAGATAACGACAGCTCTAGTATTTGTAAGAATTATGTAAATGTTGCACTCGGATGTCATGATGACACCGAGCTGATCCCGGGTCAGAAGTTTACAGGCAAGGCCTCAATTCAGATTCCTCAGGTATCCAACAAAGGGATATATAAGGCCCTTTGGTTTACCAAGATAGGTAAAAAGACCAGCTCTCTCCCAAAACAACAACCCAAACCTCTCCTGAAAACTCTACATCCCGACATCTTGTCAACATGCGTGTCACTTCAAGCATTACTTTGGCCATGAGCAGCCTAGCCCTTGCCGCAAACCTCAATTACGCGGATAGCATCCACGCTTTGAGCTTCGGCAATGTCAAGACCGAAGGCGAGTCTGGTGGCGTCGTCTGGTTGAACGTTACCGGCTTTGCCGTGGACAAGCTTCCCCATATCCAACAGGACATTGGCGTGCAAACAATGGATAACATCGAGGCTCTCAAGACCATTGCGGGCCTTGCAAGCGTTGCCGCTAAGCAGGCCAAGTGGGGAGACCTTGTGTACTTATACAACGTCTTCGCCATGAATGGTCATGCCCCTTACGCCGATGCGTCTAGCTCTGAGATGCAAGAAGGCCTGCTCTCTGCTGTCACCAAGCCAGACAAGTCAGGAGTCGACTCGGAGCTTATTGCCCTGTACATCAAGACATCTTCTTCCCCCCTCCTGGTCAAGGCTTTCGAGGCTCTTCATACCACTCCTGTCCCCTCTCGCACTCACAAGAGATGGGATAGCATCTATTGCGATAGTGCCCACAAGGCTGTCGCCTCAGTTTGCCGCTCCTTGGTCGACAGCATCCATTTCAACGTTTCTGTTAAGTCAGGCGGCCCTCGAAACATCTGCAAAGGTGGTTGCTGTATCAGCTGGAGCGCCAATGCGACCTTCCAGATCGAAAACTTATACCCTGCTGCCAATTACTGTCTCAGCTACTGCCATACCGCCAACATTAGCTGTGAAGTGTATGGAGTAGAGCTTAAAGGAACTATTCTCGATCAGTGCTTGAGTAACCGAGCCAACGGCTGCACCTAGATCTGTTCGAAGTTATATGAGTGACTGCGAGATCTCACAGTCAACTGTTGAGGATTGGGTAGTTAAGAGTGGGGAGTAGAAGGAGAAGGCGATAGTAGAAGGCAGTAAGAGAAGAAGGGGCAAGGACAAAGGAATCAGGCCAACCATCTAATTGAAACCCTATCACGCTGCTGATTCTCTTTGGTAATAAGAGACTCATTCTTCGGAAGACTGTGGACCTAGGCGAGACAATTCATTTTCGTATTTATCCTCAGCGTTATTATAATAGAGGTTGGATATTCCAAGAGTATATAATGGTAAAGATAAAGATTATATTTAATAATCTTAAGCTATACTAGGTATATATATGTAGTATCTGGCAGGAGGAGTTAATTTTAGGTACTAGAATTAATAATAAAGTTAGTATTTAATCCCACATTATTAAAGTTGGATTTCAGATAATATATCTCTTTGCCATTATCTAGACAAATATAACCAGAGGTCTTTAAATTTTAAAGAAAATGCCCTTCTAGCTATATTAGGTTTATTATTAGTCTTTAGTTAAACCTTTAATAGAGGGTTCGTTTATAGACTTCTAGAGCTTTTCTTTATATATAATCTAGGCTAGTAACTGCATATATATTAAGGTCTTTATAATATCGCATCTTATTAGGAAAACCTATTAAAGATTAATTTGCATCTTCGGGTCTTCCTTTATGGTTATAGTTAGGTTGGAAAGTTTTAGTTAATATAAGCTACTAGATAGCAATTTGGGTTAATAGCAATTATACTAATAAAGAAGCTTATATTAAAGAAGTGTTCCTTATTACTAAATAGTATATAAGTTAGCTACTAACTAATTTACTAAATTAAAGATAGAATTCGGTTAACTTAATTTAAGAAGTATAATAGCTATAAAGATTTTACTAGGCCTATACCCTCTAGGTAGATATGCCAAGATACTGCTACTATACTATTACCTTATAATAAACCTTGCCTCCACCTTAATAGATATAATAGATATATCTTTATATATAAATCTATACTTAAATACTATAGGAGACTAGTAAAATAATATTACCTATTTCGTATAAATAAAATCTAAGAATTAACACCTCCCTTTATACTAAAGCAGATCTAATATTTATTTTATAAGATAGGCTAAGCTAGACTATTAAAATACTAATAATGCTTTAATTAATTATAGTATAATTAAGACCTTAAGGTAAGGCTTTAGAGCAGATTTAGGAAAGCTATTAGAAAATTATACCTAATAAATAAGGATTTAAGGGATTATTTCCTATAGGATATAAATAAAATTAACATAAGGTTACTAGTTAATATAATAGTAATATATAAGTTAAAAATATATTCTAAGATATAAAATTAAAAAGAAAGAGTATTTAAATACCTACTTATTAAAAAGAATTTATATTATATATTTTAGGTTAAGTAGAAAGATAGTATTATATAGTAACTTATAAGTTAAAAAGTAGTAGTAGTAGAATAAGAGAGTTTAAATTTAGAGAAAGTTTTGCTTATTCTTAAGTAAATAATAAGCTAGAAATAAAAGAAAAATGCAGCTAGGATAGGATTATCTATACTGGTCGGCGGGTCAGGGTCGACCTTGGTGTTCAGGAATAACAAAAATCGAATTTTAATATAGTCCAACAGCCCAAAATCAATTATACAATAATTACGTAAATTAATTCTGTACCTCGTGTTAGAGGCGTTAGTTGAAGCCATCGGGTTAGCTAAAATTAGCATTTTAAATTTTATATCTCTATTCTTCCCGGGCCGCGATTTGTTTGGTCTGATGCCTATTAAGACCTTGACTTAATAATCGAACGAACCCGAAAGCTCTGCTAAAGTAGCTGTCTCTAAATCAAATGATATTGCACTAAATAAAAAGCAAATCCATTTAGTGAAGAAAGTGGTATATTATGTTATTCCGTATATAGAAATGGGGATTAGTGTTAAGTCAGCCTGAAAAGCTATCGATTGTTTGATATCCTTTTTACTGCAATAATACGCCAAATTGATCAATCAATCAATTGTGGGAATTTTATATATTTCCTTCTAAACTTGCGTCTCTTCTTACTTCTATCTGTCTGATTCTGAATTTCACTCTGACGGTGAGAGCATTGAGAGCGCTACCTGGCATTGTGCTGAGTTTGTATGGGCATATATATGCTTTTAGCTACAGGTCTCGACTCTGGCGTTGTACATTTGTCATTAACGACTGTGCAAACTAGGTCTGCACTTGTTCTTTACGGGATAAGACTTAGTTATAGATAGTTAAGGATAACTTCTTGACTGCACAAGAGCATCACTGTCTTCTCAACCCACTATGTTCGGCTATAAGCTTTATAAATCGAGTGAAAATTCCATTCTTATTGCACAGTTTATAGCCGCATGATGTTCAGATGCGAGCAATGTCTGCGAGATTTGGAGATTCTGGGGTGTTGCGATTACTGCGCTGTGGCGGATGGGGCTTGGGAGCTGAATTGTCCGATGGCTTCGTCACCATCGTAGGGACTAATGATGTGTCTCAGTGTGAATTCCCCAATTCTATATGCACTGCTTTGATAGTCTTTTCAAGTTCTGGGAGGAGAAAGGTCAGACGAATTTATATACGTATTATCTATACAGATACAGGGCTATTTGCTTCGGTAGCTCGGGCAGCTAATGATCTTACCGATTACGAGTGAAACCGGATTTAGAAGACTTGGGATTAAGATTCTTTTCGGATGAACAAAGAGACGAAACTTGTTGTAATCTTTGACCAAGCACGGCTATGCCATTGTCAGTGTTGATGAGCAAGGTCTCAGCCACTTAATCGGCGACCTCGGTATCATATCAAGAGGCGCCAGTGAAGCCCTACAGTTTATTTACAACTGAGACTTTAACGGAGTCTGCTACTGCCATTGGTACATTTTATCTACTTATGTTAAGTCATCATGACCACTGGAGCTTCTCCGAACTAAATTTCTTTCTGTTGAACCGGCGACATGGATCAGGTTAACGACATACCTAAAGTCCTTGGCATCCCGCACAAAACTGGCAGGATTGCTATACCAAGAAGATGTATCTAATGGACAGGATCAACATAAGACAAGTCATCAGCCGGGTAATTATTTCATAACGCAATTGCCTTTAATTTCTGGAGACGAGGGTTGATAACGAAGAGCACTTCTCGCTGCTGGTCTAGCTCCTAGCCCTACAAAGAGTAGCTTTAGTGTCCATATATCAATCGGACGTGAAATGCGCAAGAATTTCGCATCGTGGGGAGGTCAGTGCTAAATTTAAACAGGTCCCAGCAGGTAATATCTTAACATTTCAGACCGAGTATGTTCAGTGGACGACCCTACTATATCAAGTAGCAATAGTACTCTTGGTAAATTCACAAAGGGATCACAGAGGAGAAGATAGAAAGAGCACAGCGTCTGGGGAGTGAAGACTGGCTCTGTAACGTAGAACAGAAAAGAGCAAGGATGAGGGGGAAAGGAGAAGGTTTTGTTGCTGACGGCATAAGTTCAGACATTGGCGGCGAACACTTTATTATCTAGAGGGTCTTCCCTTGGCTTGAGCACTCCGAGCAATTTGCCATCTCCGTCGCATAGCATTTCACCGACAAGCATCAGAACCAAATAATCTGCGCATCTGATCTAACGTTGATTTTCTCCCCGAAGCAGCCCGTGCAAGAGCTTACAGTGGATACTCTTCAGATAACTACAGACAACAAAGCCAGCTGCTATACAGATCTGTATTCACTAGGACGTATCATAAAGGCACCGAAGAATCTCTTAACCCATTTTTTGTTAAAAGCCGACTTAAGCTAATTGTTGAGCCTGGAATTACGCTAAGCTTGGCCTGAACTTGGACTGCGCTTGGACTATAATGTTTATAAGTTTTACTCTGATAAAGCGTTAGTCTGGCCAGGCAAGCTAAGCTAGGATGAACCGCAAAACTGAGATATTAAGGATAATTCCGCAGCAAGACTTTAAGGTCAATAAAGATATCCATTTTATATATTCTCACTAAATCTATTAGAATAAATTAGCAATTAAATGATAGTGAAGATCGACTATGGAAGTACCTATAATTGATCCTAATTATACTCTAGGCTTACTGGATACGCTTAATGATGGGAGGAGGCGCCTGGGGCCACTGGTTGCATTGGCCTGGAAGCCATACAGTATTCAATTGTGGACTAAGGCACATCCCGAGAAATTTGTAGGAACTAATAAAACCACTAACATTAGAAATACACTATGGTAAAAGTATCTTAGATAGAGCTATTAACGAATCGCGACTTTGACTCTTGGGGCTGATATCTGTGGCGTGATGATATCTGTGGCGTAATAATTAACAGCTAATCAATCCTGAAGCAAGCCCTATTTACCGGGTCAGGCAGAGACTGAAGATGTCATTAAGAGTCGAGACCAGGGAGAGGAGGTCGAACAAGTATTGAAAAGGCTGCAAATGTGCTGAAAATTGGCCACGATGCGGGATTAGAGATTATTAATAAGGCAAATAGCATCTAGAGGAAGAATAATAATGCATAAGTGCAGAAATAAAAGAACATAAAAGAGGAACTAGATACAACCGAAAATAAACAGACAGACCAGGACTACCTTGTTTGGCCTAGTGGATTTCTTGTATTTATTAAGATATACTTCCGCTGACAGCCAACTTCAGCGTATTACACTAGTACATCTTATTGCACTTTCTTTTATCGCTTTGTCCACTGGAAGAATCCCTACTCTTCAGCGAGCCTTTGGCATCCAGGCCGACAGCAACACCAAGAATTCTCAGATCGGTGTGCATTGCGTTATACTATCTGATGCAACACCTTGAATTTTTTGAATTTTTTCGACGTGGTTCTTGGCTTTCTTTTAATCACCTCACTGTCTTGTAATAAATACAATGGAACATGACTAAATTTGCAAAGGATTTACTGATTGCGCACTGAACAATAGTGGAAATTCTTTGCTTGGAGTCAGCCAATTGGCTAACATTAGCCAAAGTCCAATTGATGTATCGACCAACATTACGGTGCCGTAATACTCAAGATAGTCTTTACATTGAGGACATCCACCTCTGTTCTCATATGAAGGGAGGCTGGCGTGGTATTTCCGTCGGGGGGGGGTGTTTGAATTGATTCTGCTCGGCACGCGTTTGACGGTGACCGAAATGCATGCACACGGAAAACTTGTCTCAGTCTATTTGAGTTAAGTATTATGCTACTTGCTATTATTCTCAATTATATCCCTAACCAGTTCCTCAAGTCCTTCAGTGCTTAAGCCCGGAAGCCCAAGGAAATCGTTGTTGCTCTTCTTGCTGAAGTCACCACCATATCCCTCACCCCAACAAGCACGAGCGATGAACCCTAGAGCGGAACCAGCCACCTCGGCTGGGTCACTGCTCTTCAACGCTTGGTGCGACTTCTCCTCAATCTCGGCCGTAGATGCAGCAGTAGTTATCCACTCCTTTCCATCAACACGCTTCGCAATTTCAATAATCTGATTCTGTGTAATGGCAATATCATGGATGTAGATATGTCTGTTCTTGGTGACATCCAGATTCTTTGCAATGGCAGCCAATGCCCTGCCGATGGTTGAAAGTCGAGTCGCAGAGTATAGAACGTCGCCGCCGTCGTAAAGAGTGGCGGTATGGTCCTTAAGGTTGACCATAAAGCCAATCTGAAGCTGCCAGTCCAAGAAAGAGTTATTATAGACGAAGGTATAGCTGAACTCAGGGTTCTCAGCGACTATTGACTTAAGATATTCCTGAGTATTGATCTTGTCGGCAAAGACCGGTAGCTTTCGGACAAGCGGATTTACAGAGTCATTGCCAAACTCTGAAGGAATAAACCTCGACACACCGGCTTCAATAGAAGCGTCGATGAGGCTCCTTTGAATCTCATACAGATTGGCGAAGCCAAGCGTCGAGATAACTATGTCCACTGTATCGAGTGCGGAGACAACGGAGGAGTGGGAGCTGTAGTCAACCTCTCGAACTCTTACACTGTTCGAATTGGTTAATGCGAGGACCATGTTGGCACTGCCTACTCGCGCCAGGACCGTGACCTTGAGCGAGGCCGCGAGGAGTTGCTCCAGAATGGCTGGGCCAAGGTTCCCGGTAGCGCCTACGAGAGCTACATGCGGTGAGCTCATTTTCGTTCAAGTAGTGGCCGGGGCTTGGAAGAGGAAGGAAGGTATAAGATAGCTAGATATAGTGATAATAATCAAATCTTTACGAGTTTGGGCTGCTGCAGTTTGAAATTCAACAGCTCAATAACAGATTAAAGTTCTACAATACAGAGTATATATACCATCCATTGGCATCCTGAGGCATAGTCTTTGTCATCGAGAAGTAATTCCCATATTAGGAAAGGCCGCAGATAACATAGGGAAACGTCTCCACCTCAGCAATCCCAACTGCCTGTCATGGAGGCTAATGTACTCACTAAAATCTCATCGCTTCAAGCGGGCCTCTCGCATCTCTGCTTATGCTTTAACCCAAAACAGCAAAGACTTCTAACCCGTAAGAAGCCCGTGTTCGGTAACTATCACCCAAGTCACAAGTGCCTACATCGTGCTTAAGGTTGGGGGCGGCAAGGAGCTTAACCCTAAACAGCAATGACTTCTAACCAGTAAGAAGCCCTGGAGAGTCCTCCTTTACAGAGCGGCGCATTCCAATTGCAACTTTTTCTCAAGCTGATATATGCATGGGCTATCTAGACATATGCCATTACTACCTTTGTCCCTGATAATCTCACTCGTTCCATAGTACCGCCGATATGAGGCATTTTTGCCACAAACGCAAGTATTCATAACAGGTCAAGGCCTTCTCTTTCAGCCATTATTCAACAACGGCAGGCTCAGCCGCTACCTCGGCAACGCCATTCAGAGGTATGCAAGGATGGAAGGCTTCATCGTGATCCAGGAGAAGTATTTGTAGAAACGTGAGGTGAAGGGGCACAGATGGGCAGTATACGGTCAACTACCTACTTAATGAAGTTTCAGGAGTAATTCACTTCAGCAGACTGCTCTCTTGAGCTTTGTTACGAACTATCTACTGTGACTCACATAGTCCATTAGAGAGATAATAACTAAGAGATATATTGTATAAAGTATAACGTATATGATAAGTATGTAAATCAGACAAGCAAGTGGATTAATACAATGTGTAGTAAAAAAAGCTTACCTGATACTAAGTAAAACCTTAAACAAAATAGCTAGAAATCTAGTAAAAATATAATTAAGCTTAGTATAAGTATGTATTATAGGAAATTCTTTTTTTATATTTGTAACTATTTTATTTTATATAAAAGAGCTTAGCTATATAATATAAATATTATATAGTTAAGTAATAAATCTTTTAATTTTTAGGTAATTTAGGTCTAAATTAAGCTTTATAAACCTGCCTGTGAGGTGAAAAGAGATATGACCTACACGCTTATCTGATCCACATACTTGTTATGTACATTATCCTACGTTCTGAAACGATTTCACGAATTCAGCCATTCATCCGAGGTTGGCTGAATCACTTGGTGGTCACGCGAAAGTCACTTCGTAATACTTAGTAATGTGTAGAGATGGTGGATTATTGGCGTCCAGCTTGCTTGCTCAGCAGCCTGGATAATCGGCACGGGCCAACCCCGGCCAGGGGTTACATTAACCCATCAAGATGATTAGGCGTCCTGGACCTGGAGAGAGCGGATGTAGATTATCCAGCTATCAGGCTGGATAATCTATGCAGCCCCCAACTCTTTGCCTGTGATAACGACCCTTGTACTCCGTAACATGTACACAGAAATATTAGTATGGCGTGGGTGGTAGGTCTGGACCGAAGTAAGCCACATATGCCGACGGACCGCTAGATCCACTTCGGGCAGTTCTGGTCTCTGGTCAGCAGAAGTAAATTCCTTTTTGGAAAAGGTAATGCTAAGCACCATCTCAGCCCAACAATCATGCTACGCCAAGAGCCCTCATATAAATCTCTAGCAACATCCGTCCTTTGAGTGCAGAATGCAATCGAGCGTCTGTTTTTATAAAGAATCTTAAGCTTCTGTTACCCGTGCGGCAGTGCAAATACTCTCAATCTCAACATAGGTCTCCATTCACAGAGGACCAATAATGTCTTCCCGTTTCCCTTCAACACCACTCGCTGAACCACTGCTTTTTGAGTTCAGCCGGAAGATAGCCCCCAATCGGTTCTTAAAGGCAGCAATGACGGAGAAGCTCAGTTCCTGGCATCCTCAAGAAGAGGAGATCCGAGGCATACCCTCCCCCGAGATTCACAATGTGTACCAGCGATGGGGGGAAGGGAATCTTGGACACATTCTGACGGGCAACATTATGTTGGCATACGACCAGCTTGAAGCGCCTGGCAATCTCATTATTCCCACTGATGCTCCGTTCGACGGACCAAGGTTTGATGCGTTCGCAAAACTGGCTACTGTCGCCAAGGCATATGGCAGTCTCATCACCGGGCAGGTCACGCACCCGGGACGACAAGTCGACCGAAGAATCCAACCTCAACCTCTCTCCGCGAGCGACGTTCAACTCGAAGGCAGAGTTCTCGGCATCGAGTTTGCGAAGCCACATCCTGCTTCCCAGGAAGAGCTGGATGAAGTTGTACGCAGCTTCACGTTTGCAGCGTCTTACCTAGACCGGGCTGGGTTTGACGGAATTGAACTGCAAGGTGCCCACGGTTATTTGCTATCGCAGTTTCTATCGCGAAGCACAAACCTCCGGACCGATGACTACGGAGGCAGCCTAAGAAATCGTGCTCGCCTAATCATGGACATCGCCCGCTCCATTCGGGCAAATACACCAGCAGGATTCATCATGGGTATCAAAATCAACAGCGTCGAATTTCAGTCCAACGGGTTCACAGTGGATGAGGCAAGAGAGCTCTGCAGCATGCTTGAAGAGGCAACGTTTGACTTTGTCGAACTGAGCGGCGGAACCTACCAGTCCATGGCATTCAAGCATGAACGCGAGTCGACAAGGAAGAGGGAGGCATTCTTTCTAGACTTTGCAGACATGATTGTCTCACAATTACGGAAGACGAAAACTTACGTCACTGGAGGCTTTAAAACGTTGGGCGGGATGCTAGAGGCATTGAAAACAGTTGACGGTGTTGGTGTTGGTCGAGCGGTCTGCCAGGAATTCAGTTTAGCTAAAGATATGCTAAGCGGTAGCATCTCCGCTGCTGTCAACCAAAAGGTAGATCAGGATGACTTCGCTTTGACCAATATCATCGCAGGCAGCCAGATACGACAGGTTGGCAAAGGGAAAGAGCCGATTGACATGAGGAAAGAAGAAAATGTGCAAGCATTCCTCAAGGCAATGCGCACCTGGGCTCGACGAATGGAAGAGGATGCCCAGACTATGAGGTTATACGGCTATGTTGACTTAGACTGAACAGATAGTAATCTATTCCGCACTACTTACTTTACTTCGGAGCTCTCTTTCACGCTCTGGCATGAGTATCGGCCCTAGCTCATATCCCGACAGCTCATCCAGTATTTCTTCCATGCAGTTAAGGATTTTTCATCCCACAAGTATCTCTTTGCTATCCTCTCCACGTCGTCCCAGCTATCGATGTGCCCCTCTTGAAATAGCAACTCCCTCGCCGCCTCATGAGTACGTTGCTTCAGGGTGGCCCCGGCGGTAGCCGTTACCTCAACACCAACAAGCGTTGCCCAGATCCTCAGGTCATTGTAGCATGACGTTCCAACCGGATCATAAAACCTCATCTGCCTCCCCAGTGTAGTCAGCTTATCAATGAATGTCACTTCAGGGAACATTTGCATTTGTGAGGTGCGTCGAGTGAGAAACGTGATAACGCCTAGACACGCCAGGCGTTCTGCCGCATTATGTGACTCCTTTTCCAACAGACGTGCTTGCTTGACCATCTTGGTTTGTCGTTCTGTTGCTTCGGTAATGCTGCTGCGCCGTTGGAGCTGCTCTCGGTCTATAGACCCGAGCAACTCATCGAGGAGGAGAATAAATTCGATGCTGAGATCTCCCAACATGATCAAGTCATGGAACCCCGCCGGGGAAGCATTAATCTTAGCCCATAAAGGATTCTCATGATGCAGACCTTGGTATGGGTATCGAAGTTTCGCTTCCGTCGAAATGTCACTGGCCGTGGCAACAGCCTGCGCATCTCGAGATGATGGAGAGCCATTATGGCTATCGACGCCATGCGTAAGCTCAGATGCCATCTCTGTGCCCTCTACCAACCCAACCGCCTGAATAACATAGAGATCCTTCAAGCAAGCGCTCACAACTTCACCCCTCAACTGCATCATTCGGAGTAAGCCTAGGCAGTGCGACTTAAACTCAGATTCGTACCCAAATCTCGCCGCCCCTTCCATTAGGTAAAATGTCGCCAGTATCGTCTCGCTTGCTTTCCATGTTGTTTCTTTGTCCTCTGTCTCTGTCGATATTTTCGCTTGTAGTCCTCTTAAAGCCCGCGTCTTGTGCCACAACATAGTGGCGCTGGGTGTAACCTGATTCTCCAACGTGGTGATACGTACTCCGTGTGTAAAAGCGGCGACCGAGTCGAAAAGCGTCATATCACCACAGACCATTTGCACCCAGCAGCGCATAAATGGGGTGGGACCAGTGCCCCAGTGTGTCAAACGAGCGGCGAGATAGTGTATATCTGTTTTGTTTGGGTCCAAGGTGTTAGGAGCAGGCAAGCAAGCACGAGTAGTGAAACATGGCCATGGTCATGCTTCAATGCCAACATTACATTTAATGCAAGGCAAAACTTACGAAAATCAAGAACGTCAAATACCTTCTGTCGATGTTCAGTCGGATAGACAGGCACAAAGCATTCCACTACCGGCCGCAAGAGTGGCAGGTTGTTCGACCCAGAGTGTGTACCTAAAAGCCCTTGGCAGCCTTGTTAGTCGAATGGCGATTCCTAGCCAAATTCCTTACCATGTGCTCCTTCTACCGAGATCAGTGAGTGCGGGTGAGACCCGCCATTGTCGCCGTCAGAGAGTTGCCGTATTTGTTCAGCGAGCCTAGATGTGTTGAAGGGAGCTTGGGCTCGGGATCCGGTTGAAGTTGAATGCTTCCGTTGCGCAGGGGCCGATCGGTTTCGGAAATATTTTCCAATGTACGTAGACACGGCCTGGCGCTGCGGGCGGGTTGGCCGTGGATTGGAGGGATCATAGTTAATGAATGTGTGCTTTTTGTTTTCAGCCATGGTGCTAAGGGAAGTTGTTCTCACTATACTATACGGGTCCAAGATGACAACGGTATACTCTGTACATGTAGCGGAATGGAGTGAGTGAGGATGAAAGGATATCGGAGTTTCTATTATCAGACACTGGGGAGGGATATATCATATATCAACCACGTCGCCGCTGACAAAGCACCCTAACCCTAAGGGGATGGGTCACGCCACTTTCTTTGTAACAGACTCATTTCTTAGCTTACAATGGATGAAGCTTGTTTTTGATCCGAAAACGAAAGAACGCGTACAGCCTTGCTGTTGATTCGCCCCTCGGTCCCTTTTTGGCCATGGCCCATGACGCTGGCGTCTCTGAACCCACTGGGACAGAGTGAACTAGGCTTATCGAGTTCATTGACTCGTCCGATGCTGGCTTCACGACAATTTCCAGCTGCAGAGATGCCACTCGGAAACTCCAGTGGGCGTTTGACATTCATGCTACCTTGATGGGGGAGCAACATGCCCTAACAGCAGTGGTCTACCCGGTTCTGTTGACCGAAGAATACATAACTGCTCTGCGGAAGTGTCCCCTAGAAGCCCTCGTGACCCTGGCACATTATGGCATCCTACTCCACCTATGTCGCCACGTTTGGGTCTTTGGTGATGCTGGGGAGTTTCTGATTAGACTTGTTACTCGGCGTCTAGGGCCTTTGTGGCATGGGGTACTGAAATGGCCTTTGGAGATTATGGCATCGGGAGCATGTCTAACTTGATGATGGATTAATGGTAAAACAGGGGCGCTAAATAAAAGTAATATCAGGGGGATTATAAGTTATCTAAAGCTAACTCAAGCTACAGCTTCATTAGGTAGGAAGTATTAACTAATTAAATAAACTATAAATAGCTTAAATATAAAGACTTATATAGTAGAGGAGGGGAGATGATAAGTTGCTTAAGTAGATAAAATATACTAATATACAATTATTATATAACAGAACGAGATCGAATTTGAAAATATCCTAGCTGGCTTCTCTAACTCTGTCTAACAAATTGCTTGTTGTGTGACTTGGAAAGCTTAGATCGATCCAAGAGCTCCCCTGTTGATGACCGGAAGAAGTCTACCTGTAGGTTTTGAGCATCTTGGAACCGAATAGTCGCGTAACTAAAGTCATCTGCATATGCAAATGCATTAGCAGAAGTCTTTTTCCCAACATCACTAAGTCCCTCAATGTTTCCTGCGCCTCCAGCCACGATATACATAGGCGCCTTGGGGTCTTTCAAGCCAGCAGAGTCAACAGTCCCGTTGTAGATGGGGTAGAATCGCTGCGAGTTATGCACATGCCCAAAGACGGCCAAATCAACGCCATACTTGTAGAACAACCCTTCAAACGCTTTTTGGCAAGGCTTGCAACCTTCATCACCAGTAGTATACCAAGGGCGATGACCGGCAACAATTACCCAAGGTGTGACTGTACGATCAACCGATGCAAGATCGGCTTCGAGAAATTGAAGTTGTTGATTGGGTCTACCAAATGGTCCGCTGTTCAAGTTGGCAGAACCACCTGGTGCATCTGGTGCGTCTGGAAAGTCGGTCTCGGTGTCAATCATAACGATATGTGCCATACCGTATTCAAAGGAGAACCAGAATGGTGGGTTTGCCAGTTGCTTAGCCTTGTTGGCGCTCACTCTCGCCGCGTCGTCGGAAGAGGTTGATGGAAACGCCAGGGGCATCACTTGGCCGAATCTGTACATGAAATCGGTGAAGTTCTTTTGACCCTCAGGACAGAGGTTGTTAAGGATGGGGATCTCTTCGCATGCTGCTTCATGGTTCCCTGGGCTGACCATATAAGGCTTGCGACCAGAGATAGGGGACAGCTGATTGTAGAAAGTCTCAAGAATGGCTTGGTACGCCTCCTCGCCATGAAGCAGATTCTTAGGTTTCAGGAACCAATCATCAGCATATGCCAGATCTCCAGGATGAATGATGAATTCGTAATCGTCGGCTGTTGTCGCAAGGCGGCCAATAGTTGTGTGGTTCAAAGAGGGCTGAACATTGGGGATAACATCACGCTTTGATTGATCCATGTTGATAGTGAAACCATCCTCTCCGTAAACACCAAGGTCAATGATTGCGTTGACGGCGAATGGCGTTTTGTCTCCAGCTGCCCGAGGGCTGAGGAACTGATCGATAACTGAGTTTTGAGACACAATCTTGTAGTAGTACTTCGTTGCTGGAGACAGACTGTCAAGAGTCACAGCGTTGGCCCAGGTACGAGAAGTGGGATATGTCAACGATATATCAGAGCATGCTTGCTTATCAAGTTTATCTTTTGAGATTCCGTACTGCACGCAAGGTTTCGCTTGCTTAGCATAGGTGTTCCAACCGATAGTCACACCTACTAGAGGTAAGCCATGAAGATTGTGCTGTATTAATCTTGGACTCACTGTTTGGCCCATCCAACGATAGTCGTTGCTGTACTGGGGTTGATAGATCAGACGGGATGGGCGGAAAGCTGACTTTGGCTAAAGCGCCAGTCGCAAACAAAAACAGACCAGCAATCATATCTTATGTGTGTATCGCCTTATTCCGAGATCAATTTAAAGACTTCAACTCAAACATGGCAATGCGAACGGAATTGAGCTTGCAGCGAGGAAGGCCTTTAATCGAGAAATTTATACTTGTTCTCTATGTCTTCATTTCAGATAACTGTGCCGGATAGCCGACTGGATACCTTAGCTTCAGAAAACATCCTGATTGAGAATATGCTCCGAGGCCATGTGCATGAAGTCTGTCGGATTTGAATCTCTGCTTGTGAATACCAATCAGCTCGTGGTTATTCAGCAGCATTTGATTGGCAGAGCACCTTAGCTTAGTCGGTCACCCAAAACGGCAGGCAAATGTTTATCATGTAACTCCACAGACCTTTAACATCATTGGGCCGAGGCCTGATGATACCCATTGGCAAAAGTTCCAGCTGCCAATTGCAAACGACACACCTGCAGGTTGAATTCGTTGTAAACTAAAAGCTCCTCTGCCATTCTGCCCTGTATAACTTCTGGGTAGAGAGTTGAAGTAACAAGTTCCGGTTCAAGTGGGTTTGTGACAGTGTAATATTGATAATAGAATTGTGTACAAGAATATTATAATGTTATTGCAAATGGAATCAACCTTGTGTTTACTATGGCTGTCCACTTGAACTTGTTGGGTGGAATGATCTGCTTGGTACAGAGCGCGAACCTTGTTGTAGAAGGTGCGGAGGGTATGAGGATGTGCTGAGCTTCCAGATTGACCATACTGGGACAAGCTAAGATGACGGACAAAGAAGGTGGTTAGTTGCATACAAACGCCCGAGTGCCCATCAACATACCGCTGCAAGTCTTTTGGGCAGCTGCTTTCATATGCCGGCAATATGAGGATACGTCCTAAGTTCAAACGTGACATCATAAATGTCGACAGTTAATCAAGTAAATGCATTTTATCTTAAATTATCACCTAGTGCCTGAGCATCAAACTGCTGGTGATGATTATCGTTGTGAGCCCATAGGAAAGATGCAACATATTGTGAGGCGAGCTATGACTTAGCCAACATGTTTTAGCATTGTGCGATAATCAGCGTGTTTTCGACTAGTGGTCTCTTAATTGTTGACATGCGTTTGGACAATGACCAAGTCATGCGCAGGCTGGACTGGAAATTTCGATAAGTATCTTTGCACATGGCGTCAAGGTCGAGCTGTGTATAATGCCTAAAAATGGGAGACTTGCGGCTGAGCAGGCCCGAATGTGAGGGGTATCAGAAGTGGGTTCCTGTTGTTATCCCCATTGTTAGCTTTATGGGAACTGTTAATACATATAGAGAGCGCGACGCTATCAAGACTCCGTCTCGGGCCTTTGCGGAGTACTAGTAGAGTTATAGAGATTCCCCAAAATGTCTTGGCTGTCTTGTAGGCATATTGAAGCTCCCTGATTCCATCACTTTAAAAATTCAAAACCTTCAAGGGAGCAAAAGCTACGGGATCGGGTAGTCCCGTAACAGCGAGGTTTCTACGAACCAGGCCTGACCCACATTAGAGACATGGTTGGGATATCAGCACACTAACCAAATGTAGTATGCATTGAGCTGTCCAATCAACATCAAAAGACTACGAAACCAGCTGCGTCGGCAAGCTCAAAGAATTACCATAGCAAACTTGAATTATCTATTTAAGAAGTCTTCTTTCCGCATTTTGGTCTCTTTGTCGCTCATCATTCTCATCTCTTCCTATCATCACGATGCCTTCTACTCTCAATTCCCAGTCCGAGACACCTAATGTTCAGGGCAAACAAGACCATTATCTTGTAAGCCTGGAGCGTTATGGCCTACAGCAACCCTCCGCACAGCAAAAGCTTACGCCTTTGGACATGAACATGCCAAGGCTGTATGGTATCCGCTTAGTTCTTTGTTTTCCATCTAACCCTGGCATGGATAAGTTGCAGATGTCAGTCTCGTATATGACTTTATGCCAGACAGTCAAGACTGACAAATGTAGATATGAGAATCTGAAGAAGGGCTTGGCTCACACTGTCACTTCCATTCCTTGGATATCTGGACATATTGCAAGTATTGAAATCACCGCCCAGAGTCACAGTTGTTAATGCCATTATCTTGATCAGGGCCCAGAAGAAGGACAGGATCCCAAAAACCGAAAGGTCCAGATTCTCGACTCACCAAGTGGACTCATATTCCCGTGCGTGGTATATCTTTGACAATCTCGTCCAGGCATTCACTTACCAGAACTCTGTGTAGGTATAAGGATCTCACCGATGCGCTGCCATCGTATACGGAATTACGAGAGAGAAACTTTCCTTTAGCAGAATTCACTACCGCTCAGATCGGCCCCATTGATGTTATGCCACAAGGGCCATACCAGCCGGTCTTTGCAGCTCAGGCCAATTTTGTTGAGGGCGGTCTTCTGTTAACAGTGGGAGTTCACCACTCGGCATGTGACGCATCGGCTTTAGACGCTATCCTGAGCACCTGGTCACACAATACTGCCGTAGCTAGCGGTGGTTCCGAGTCCTTTTCCACACTTGATGGACCATCTAACGATCGCAGTGCCTTGATGGAAGGAGATCTCGGCAAGGTCGACGTAGCTGCCTTTCCTGAGTACGTCCTGATGCCTACTCCTCACTCTACGGAAGGTGATCCGTCAAGTATGTCTGGGTTCCAGATGCCTCCCCTCGCAAGTCACCTCTTTCACTTTTCACCGGAGTCTCTTACGAAGCTCAAAGCAGAGGCAGCAGCATTCTCTTCACATGATGCTCTCTGCGCCTTCATATGGCAGCGCATGACGTTGGCACGAATGCAATCTGGGGTCTTCAGCGATCCCCCTGGAGAAGACTCAACATCGCGCCTTTGCTTTGCAGTCAATGTTCGCAACCGGATGAGCCCCCCACTCCCACCTTCTTATATGGGTAATGCTTCCATGGCCTGTGTTACTGACAAGATGAGCGTGGCTTCCATCATATCGAACAATGGATTGAAGCAAGCTTCGGCCACGATACGGAGGTCGTTGAATGATTTCAACAGTCCCAGAAGAGTCACTTCAACTATTGGGCTATTGAAATCGCGACCTGACCCTACAGACTTCAAGCTGGCCTTTAATGGTTTCCTAGGACCAGATGTTGTCGAGTCTTCGTGGGCTGATCTCGGCGTTTATGAACATATATGGGGCGATGCTATTGGCACACTGGACGCTGTTCGGATACCAGGTGAAGGCTCAGATGGCACTATCATGGTATTGCCCAGGCTGAAGGATGGTGGTTTGGATGTTGTTGTTGGGTTGTCAACAGCAGCAATGGAGAAGCTCCTCGAGGATGAGGAGTTCGTTTCTGTTGCACACTCTTGAATGCTTCTGCATCGGCATACGCGTGTGAAGATAGTATCTATTAATCACAATCGCTCTCAATGTATTCTTGTTAACCTACACGGCCAAAATCGTGCGTTCCTTTAAACGTAGCCCAAGGCTTTATACGCAATCAAAGCGAAATACCTCAGGCCTGCCAAGAAGTATCTGGCTCTCCGCGTTGCAAACGGTTTGGGCAATAGGAATACCGCCTTCTGCAAGACATTGAAGCTGTTTGCGTATCCAATCTTTCTGTCTTTGGGGTACTTCCGAGGCGCTGCAGGCAACGTACAAGGGCCATACGAGAGAGAACTTCCCAGCTTGTTCATTCCCAGCTCTTTTAAGGGCAGAACCTGAGGTCAGCCAAGAGACGTCCTGCCTCCTGTGGTTGGTGGTGAACTGGAGGTTCATCTTGCAGAGATCATTACCCAGAAGATAAGGTACGGTTGCGCATATATCATCCACTAGTGCAGCCGTTTTCTTTCTGATCTTACTGGTGTCTAACGATGAAGGCAAAATAGAGGTTGCGCGGAGTCGAATTGAATGAAGGATAAGCTGCGAGACACGGTAGAAATTCCATACTCGGGCCATGTAAAAGTGAGCATATCTGTGGACGTTTCGCGGAGCATATTCCGAGCGTGTATCACTGTTGATATTCAGTGCGGTGGCGTAAGCCCAAGCAGGGGGGAGGCTTTTTGCCCAAGTGGATAGTTGAAAATCCAAGGCACCAGCATCGTAGATCATTCTTTCCATTTCAATCGTCCCGAGTTGCGCAAGATCGATGCTTTGGTGTTGAAGCCGTGGTATGCCAGCTGCTACTGAAAACAGGCGGATCTCTGGGTCTTGACATGAAGAGGGAGACCGTTGAGTGAAAAGTTCATCAACAGGTTGGCAGATCTGCATCTGGCTCATAACCTTCCAGCGTAAGTATAAAGCCTTCGGTGCGAGGAAAGGAATGCTGCGTCTTACTACGTTCTTCTGAATGAAGAAATACATGCTGCGTAAGAAGGGAGAGTCAACATGATTTGCCTGAAGCTTCAGAAGAGCCAAAGCCCCATCCACATGGGCCCCCCATGCCGAAGACATAGACGAATGTCCAGTGATTGTCTAAACGTGTCAGTTCTGTTGACCCAGACATTAGTTGACTACAAAGATTCAGAAGCTGACCTCATAACCACAAAGGAGTAGAACACCATACAACGCCTGGCAATCTGAGCTCAGGCGCTCAGTCTGTATCGCTTCTCTCAGGGCTTGAACGGCTTTGAGGTATCGACCCAGCCCAAGTTGGTTAGCCTGGGGTATGATTTCCGCAGAACCAACAAGTGACACTGCCTCCAATGCCAAATGCAAAGCTGACCCCTGGTTGCATGCTGCATGAAGACGAGGTAGTTGTTCTTGGAGGTAGAGTGTTGGATCCTCAACTGATAAGTTCTCAATTGTAGAATGATAGAAGTGACATATCGCGATCTGTTCCTTTGAAGGGAGCAATGGAGGATGGGGAGCCATGCATTTCATAAAAGATGTCATTGTGACCGACGAAGCCGCATTCTTCAACCACTGGGTTTCTCTGCCATGTTCCAATCTCTTACGCTGCCGGATCTTGTCTTTTGTCTTGGACGTCTCGTCCCGAAACAATAGGCTTGATTGATCTCTGTAACCAGAGCAGATCTTCCCCAGATTCAAACAACGCGAACACTGTGGATACTTTTCGTCGCACTTCATGCTGTCAGTATTTGCTTGATCAGGAGCTATAATTTCTACCTGCCTTTTTATGTGCTTTTCTATGTAAGTCTTGTAAGAACACATTCTTTGGATAAGGATTAATTGGCAGTAGTCGAGCTTACCTGCAGTTTTCACACGCTTTGCTCGGTATTCCGCAATACACCATCTTAGTTGCAAACTAGATGCCGAATCACAAGAGCCGGATCTAGCAAATAGAAGAGGAGCTAATGCCAAGTAGGAATGAAATGTATGTGTCTTCTTGGGACTTTAAGCGTAGGGAGACTGTACTCAGTAAATGAAAAGGGGTAGTATCCACCTTTTATCTTATCTTATCTTGTTTTCTTATCTGCCACTCACAGAGACTACGGTGCATTCCGTTTTCATTTCACGAGACTCATTAGCACAGCAGAGAGTAAGCAGTCAATTTGTAGGTAAACAATTTTCTCAACATTTATAATTGATATGCTAGTAAGCGTATTCCCCACACCCTGAATATGTATCTCGTCACCCACAACGTTCGCATCCTGTTGACCTTTAATACACAGATGTTGGTGATTCAAACCTTTTCTCCACTGCCCTTAGCCTCAAGCTCTTCCTGATGAGATGTTTTTGTGGATGCAAATTTCCAAGCAGACACGCGTCGTTCAAATAGTTCATCCAGCTCATGGTATGTTCGACCCTTAGTTTCAGGGAACATCAGAATGCAGGGGATTAAGTAGACCAGGGTGATACCCCCAAAGAAGAGGCCGATCTTCTGACCCCATCCAGCATTCTGATTTGACAGCATGAGAGGAACAGTATAGTTCTGAAGCACGGTCAGAGAAGCTCGTAGGAAGAAGGTTTTACTGACATACAAATAAGATGCCAGTGGCGTATTGGATTGTCACTGCTATCGATGTCGTCTTTGCACGCAGGCTTGGACTCGATATCTCGACCAAACTGATCCAGCCTTGAATAGGTTAGCTATACGCTGATACGAGCACTGAATGACGACATACCGATAGGAGCGAGTGTGTTTGCATACACGAAAGCCCAAAGAGAACACAATGCAACTAATGCTATTCCTGAAGCGCTGGTCTGCTTCATAAATCCCAGTCCGCCAACAATGAGACAAATGGTAGCCATGGCTGCACCACCACCGATGACGAGCGTCCTTCGACCAACCTTGTCAACTGTGTAGAAGGAAATGATGATACCTACTACAAGGACCATCTGCTTGACCATGTTGCCCAGAAATGGATCACTGACTCCGGCCAATTGGAAAAAGTATGTTGTGTAGCCAAACATCAGGGGAACTCCAACAACGTTCTGGAACGTGAAAGGAAGAGTCGAGATAACGGCCCTCTTCATGTTGATCTTGCTGGTGAAAAGGGCTTTCCAGTCTGAGTTTTCGTTCCCAGATTTGGCGGTTGCTGAGGACTCGTCCATCTCATACTGAATAACAGAGTACTCGCGATCGATATCGTAGCCTTCGACATTACCGACAAGTCGCTTCAGGGCCTTCTTGCCTTCGTCGTGTCTCCCTTTGGATGCATACCAAGCTAAATTCCCACATGTCAGCTATTCGTCTCGAGGGGTCAAACGATCGGGGAACTTACAGGGTGTTTCAGGAAGATAAAGCATAGGGAAAAGCCAAAGACCAGTAAAGACGAATTCTGAGTAGAAGATGTGACGGAATGCCATTGGATTCGTTTCTTCAAGGACCTTTAAAGCAATGGCGAGAAAGACTTGGCCCAACGCAAAAGCAAGGGAGAAGCTGCCCAGAAGAGCACCACGGAATTGAGGAAGAGCAACCTCTGACATGTAGACCATGACTGATGTTCCCATCATACCGCCTGCACAGCCAGCCACGAGCCTAGCAATAAGAAGAGTCCACCAGTTGGGCGCTATAACCTGGATGACAATAGACTGATAATTATCTGTTAGAGCCATGCCGCCGTTGTTGAAGTTGGACCTACCAGGGTCAGGAAGAACGTCACTCCCCACATGTTGAACTTGCGACCGAATTTATCCGCAGTCACTGGAGCAATACTCTGGATCAGAATGGAGGTGACAAAGTAGCAAGCCGCCCAGAGCGAGATATGCTGGGAGTTGAGAGCTGGTTTGCCAGTTTGTGGATCTTTGACGGTGGCAAAGAACTCGATGAAGCCTTCGTTGGCAATGATACTTCCGATAACTGAGTTAGCATACCCAGCATACCTGTCAACAAATGAGTTAGTACTCCCAATTTCACCGTCCATGATTCGGTGCGACGTACATTCCCGCCAAGGAGACACCCAATCCAGTGATGTAGAGTCGCCAGAACTTCCTCACGCATTGAGCACGCGTCAAGCTCGCAAATGCCGAGGTTGGCACTACATCACCAGTCCCTTGCTTCTCGTCATGCTCATGCTCACCCTGCACGATATCGGCATTTCCAAGTCTTTTCGCCATTGTTGATGCTTCTCTCTTGTCGTTGTCTTTTGAGGGAAAGGTGAATATCGACTAGTCTGAGGAATTGAAGTCAATGATCTGCAGAGACACTCTTATTTATATCTACTAATCATCAAACCACCGTCGGCGAGAATTCCGACCGTCGCGATGCTGTACACATGATTGGTATTGACAATTCGCTTCTTGAAAGGCCACTCATACCCCAGATCCCCACAGATCGGTAGCGAGAAACCGAGGATATGGTGTATTGCTGCTGTTGCAATGCGGGGATTATGGGTCTAACCCCAGACCAGAGTAGTAGTACAGAATTTCAAGGATATGAGCGTTGCATCAGGCCATCCATGGCAGGTTTTTCCACGGTTGCGGTAGCTCGGCGATTTCATCGGCCGGTGATTCCTCCTGCGCCGGCGAACTCAAAACATGGCCTTACTATGATTGGCGGGCTTTTTACATCAGCTAGTCCTCGTCGACGGCTACCGGCCAAATATCGGCAAAAGCATGGAACATCAAAGTTCTAGATTGACACTCGGGAGGGAAAATGGGATGGTTGACGAGGGTTGAGCAATGTCAGGAGGTCTGACGAATGGTCTGGATGTCCCATGTTTGGCCGCCATCGGAGAGCTCTCCGCAGAGTATTAATCGGATGGTTATTGTGATGCAGTAGGCAAAGTGTTTTGGCGTTGGGCCTCATGGAAAAAGTCCATCTTGTAAAGATTACCTATGTAACTATTTATTAATCTTATTATTATGTTACGACTCATAGGATCAGCATAATCTGGGAGCCATTCTCAAGACTTAGTATTGTATAAAGCTATGGTCATAAGGATATACTGTCAAATTATGAGAAGGTTAATTATTAGGTACCATCTCGGTCCACCTCTTCTTTAATACCTGCACAGCACTTTTCGGTCTCCGATCCCGCGTAAATACACCTTTTTTGTTACCATCAACCCTGAAAATGAAGCTGGATGGGGTTTGGAAATCGGCGAAATTCCAGACTTGCTCTCCAACTACACTCTCCACCCTATCAAACACTCGATGGGACATTTCCAAGACCCGGCTCTGATATTCCTCACTCCAGGGAATATCTCCAACTGTATGCAGTCCAGCGAGAGTATCAGCACCATACTCAGTCATGATGATTGGCTTGTTGTATTTGCCCTCCCAGCTTCGTAGACACTCCTCCAGACCCTGCTCTGCTTCTTCGAGGTCGCCAGTATTGAGATACCAGCCGTAGTACCTGTTGAGGCAGATCGCATCAAAAAGATCTACAATGAGATCAGTGTGAATGTTGGCCTGATTCTCATTGGCAAAGCAGACGGGGCGTGTTGGATCCAATTCGCGGTTGAGTTTCACCAAAGGTTCCATATACTCCCTTACACCAGGCTCACTGGCTGCAGGTTCATTTGCAATGGTCCACATGACAACACTAGGGTGATTCTTATCGCGAGCGATGAGTTCACGTATGGCTTGAGCGTGGGTGGCGCGTGTTTTGTCGTTCATTGTCTCTGGTGAGAAGGTTGGTATCGGCTTATGGCCAAAAAGCCCAGCAACAATTGTAAGGTTGAGGCCAACTGCAGCTGTCTCGTTGATAACGACAATTCCATGTCGATCCGCGTACTCGAGAACCTCTTCTGCGTATGGATAATGGGAAGTTCGGAAAGAGTTAGCACCCATCCACTTCATCAGTTGGAAGTCGTGGATCATATAGGCTGGGTCATGACCTTTGCCGCGGATTGGCGTATCTTCATGCTTGCCGAATCCTGTGAAGTAGAATGGCTTTCCATTTACCAGAAACTTGTTCCCTGAGACCTCGACTGTTCTTATTCCAACTGGTAGGTCATAAGTGTCTACTACCGTATTCCCTGAGAATATTTCTGCACGGAGTTGGTAGAGATATGCGACTCCTGGTTGCCAAAGATGAGCCGAATCAACCATCAAGGAGCCATTCAATTCAGAAGAGTGACTGACGGGACATTCATCTTCGTCCAAGAGTGTCACCTTGATTGAGTGATGGTCGAGAGGAATACTTGTAACAATATTGAAGTCCACAATTCCAGTAGTCCCCTCCACTTTGGTAACAACTGTGATATCGTTGACAGAGATGCTAGGCACAGTGAAGAGCCATACAGATCTCGCAAGCCCTGCATAGTTGAAGAAGTCATGCTGATAATGTTGCTTTCGCTTGCCATTCTTGAGTGTCTCAACTCTTCCTGGTGGAATAGTATGCCAATCAAGTTCATTGTTGACCGCCACGGTAAGGCGAACCTGCTTGCCAGGCTTGATAATGTCTGACACGTTGACCTCAAATGGCGTGTAGCCCCCAATGTGTTCAGCTACGAATTGATCGTCAATGTACACGCGCCCTCGATGCGTTGCAGCGTCAAAGCGCAGAAAGTAACGCTGTCGGGACCAGTTCAGTGGGATGGTGAGGCGTCTTTGGTAGTAAACCCATCCAACATGATTTCGAATGTTGGAGTCAACGAAAATGTCGTTGTAACTAGCGGGAACGGGAACTTGAAGCTTTGGGGATATGTTTCGCTCCCAAGCTCTTTCATCCTCGATGTTGATGGACTGGGCGAGGGCAAAGTTCCAGACGCCATCCAGCGAGACAAGCTCTCGAGAAGCGTTAGCCTGAGGCTTGAGCATAGTAATGGTATTTTTGGAATGTAGTTTAACGTAGTTGGAGTCTTGTGATAAGCCTGGAACAAGATCTTTTTCTACCAATTAAAGACAAAGTCTGTCGGAGTAAACAGCCGTCACTCGCACAGGTATCCGATAAAATGTCTCCAATAATGTTGTGCAACTGCAAACTGACCTCTGAGTCCAGATTATCAATATTCCCGATTGGAGAGTACATGGCAGTTATGCGCGGCATGAGAGTTACCCTGGAGAGTTGGCTGCATCCTCGGTCAAAGCATCGGCCGATGACTATGCGAGGGCCGTGCCCAATGCGTCTCCACCAATGATCATCGGCAATGGTGAGCTAGCGAGTCGGTTTGCGGGGTAATAAGTCTCGCAAATGAATCGCATCAAAGTCGGCTCAGATTTAAGCCAAGCCAGCTAGCCAGCCATGTTCGCCGACGGTAAAAATGATTCGACCTTGTTCCAACTTTCACGTCACCTCCGGACACGATGGATTCGTCGCACGATGACTCCCCCGAATCCGAGCTCCCATCTTGCAGTGGCTGCCGGAAACGGAAACTCAAGTGTTCTAGACAAAGACCAGCTTGCTCTAATTGTGAGCGATTAGGTGAGTCTATAGCCAAGACTTTGCTAAAGTTCATCCTGTTCACACCATGTAGGTGCACCTTGTGTTTACGAAAACCGTCGGTCGAAGCCAGGCTTGAAAGGCGGTGCTGTCGAGAGTCTTAACCAGCGATTAGGTATAAATCAGTCAAGTCCAAGGTTCCACTGAGACGCATACTCATTTAGAACGGCAGAAAAGGTCGAGAAAGCATTGTTCGGCTCGGCCTCTGATGAAGGCACACAAGACTCCGAAGGTACAAAACGTGATCTTCCAGGCGACAGAGCAAGTAGCAGCAGCTCAGCGCCTCTTGAAGCAATCCTTTCTACGCTCGCCGGAGAGTTACAGAGGCTAAATAAAAACATTGAGCCGGCTCGAAAGAGACAGTATGAATATGACCCATACAGAAAGGTCAATGGACTATTCAAGAGACCAAGGCGAGATGTAGCCGAAGAGCAACATCAATCCAGTAACGAAGACGTTACCCAGCAACAAGCCCGCCAAGCTTCATCCCGCAGTATTGACATTATCCAGGAGCATTTGGACAAGCTAATTGAGGCACATTTCGATAATATCCAGCCATGGATCCCAATGATAATTATGAGAGGGTTTCATGAACGTGTTCAGAAAGACACTGAGCAACGCATGACGATTGTGCTTGAGGCAATGATGATAGCGTCTCTGCGCTATGTCGATATTAATGATAAGCCACTGGACAACCTTTACATCAACAGCGAGACATCAAGATTGCGAAAAAGTGTAATGATGGGTGCGATGGAGGGTCTAAGGATAGAGAACTTGCAAGCACTCATTATGATTGCATTCACTGAGGTGTGTTGTGATCCTCGACTTCAATAACACTTCCACTAAGAAATCAGATTGGAAATGGGAATTTGGAAAAGGCCTGGCCTATTATTGGGTCTCTGACAAGAACAGTCGAATACATGGGACTGTCAGTCGAATCTGAAGTGCATCAACGCAAGACAGGACTATTATCAGATAACTCATCGCTACCAGAGCCACTAGACTGGATGGAAGAGGAGGAACGAAGACGAATATTCTGGAATGTCTTCATCCTTGATAGAATCTCATCTATAATCAAAGGGTAAGATCACTGCACTCTCTCCCCAGTAACCTATCTGACGAATTCAAGATGGAATCCAGGCATCAATTCAGCGGATGTTCGCCGAAGACTGCCTATATGCGGCGGGAGTTGGTTTCATAACGAGCCTGCTGTCACACCTTACTTTGGGGATTGGGACCAGCCTGCAGTACAAAACGGACACGGTACGAGTCCTTGTTACTCTGTTGGAAGTAATGCTGGTGGCTCAGAAGGCCCAGCGAGTACTTGTCGCAGCATCCGAGCTAGCGATAGGGCAACTGGGGATATATCCAAGATAGGCGCCTTTGCTTATTACATCCAGTCGATCGATTCACTGAGCCAGATATCGAAGACCTTCTTACAACCTGTTGTGGACTTCACCAACAGGCAGGAGGTTTCACTTTGGCTAACCAAGTTCAAAGAACTCGATCTCCGTTTAGTACAGTAAGTGCTGTTCTCTCAATTGTGTTTGTTACTGACAAAGGTAGTTGGAAGATGTATTTGCCCCAACAATGGAAAGACTCTGGCATATCGCGCAAGATAATGCCCGGCGTCATGGACCCCAGCATGACATTAGCCAATGCGACGCATAACACGTCTTTAATCCTCCTCCACGAGCGCATTGCATACCCGGACTCTGAACTTCTCGGCCTGAATCTACCCAGTCTTTTTAGTGCTGAGAACTGTCTCAATGCCGCAATAGAGACAGCCAACATCACGACCAAGTACCTTGGAGGATCTCCATCAGCTCGTCCGGTACCACCACAGCTGGGAATATGCGCTTTTGTCAGTGCAAGAGCCCTGCTGGGTAAGATGTCAGGGCACTCACATGACCATTGCTGACACAGTCTTGCAGTTCACTCGCGATACTATAAGACGGCTCTGGCCAAGGAATTCAAGAACCTGATGGATAATTTGACAGACATGTCTAATCGATGGGCTGGCATTGAACAGACAAATCAAACAAAGAAGAATCCCAACTTCTTTGACCAACTCTTCAACAGCTTGCAAAGTCAATTTCAAGAGTTCCAGAGAGCAGCTCCAGGCCAGATCATACCAGGCTCAGGCTCGGCACTTGGGTTTGGAGGATCTGTTTTCAGTTCGAGACTCGGCAGTTCCAGAGCGTTTCGAGATAATCACACCCCTGCCATGGCAGGTGTACCTGTGCCACCAACCATCGATAACTTAGCACGCGGAGTGCACGACCCGGACCAACTGAGCAACAACCAGTGGCATGTCGACTCACAATCCCCACCTACAATCTCAAGGGATGACTTGTTCATGATATCTCAAACTCTGATGAATAATGACTTTCTTGAGCTGGATCGTATTGTCAGCTTTGAGGATATGATGGCTGTTGGGAATATGACACAGTATTATGGCACCAATAGCTAGACATCAAATATCGATGTGCCACTCCTTTAACTTTATTGCTATTGTAATGGTCTGTTCAAAGGTTCAACCGCTTTCTTGACCCTAACTACAGTGCCATAATATTCTCCTGCATAACATAGGTCGTCATGGAGTGACTACCAGAAACAGTACACAGTTAAACACTGGTGTCTGTTTGCAGTTGGAACAAATAAAGGTCCTAATATAACGCAATCCATGATTCCAAGTTTCCTCCCCGTTTATCCCCCTCTCCTGTCGATATCATGATAAGCGGCAAGGATAGCCAACCACATCCCTTTCCCCTGACCGGAGCCGGCTCCATAATCAGGCGTGTCTGTCTTTCTTGACCATGTATCTTCCTGTTATAGGCTTGAAAGTTAAACTAGCTCGGACGTGCTATCTGATTTAAGAGCTGTGGCACGAATCATGGCGGCATCTTTACTGAACCAGCCGGCAACAAGTGCCATTGCAACTATAGCGAGCTGTAGGGAAAGAGTTATAAACCTGATGGCAAAGCTGCCTGTGGTAGGATGTAATATGGAGAGTTGCGTAAATGCGTAAATTAGGTCGTAGTTCATGCGGATTAACTGGAGGACGGTGGCAGGTGCGGCAGCCATCATCAGCACTTCAGCGGCGTGGTAGTTTATATCTTGTCGAGCATAAAAGGTGTGTTTACCGGCAGGATATAGCCAGGCCAGAGTGCCAATCATTACAAGGAACATCATGATGTTTCCGGCCTTATCAAGAGCTTCGTTTTTCACGTTGTTGGGCATCGTCGTATCTCGGCTTCCCCCATATGCTGCTAGGATCGTGCCGATGTTGTAGAGTATGTTCATTGCGATGATCACTACCCGGTTTCTGTGGCGTTTATATGGGAATAAAGGTAGGTTTAAACTTGAGTAACATGAGTTTCAATTCAAGGTGCCAGGCAGGGTGATATCATAGAGGTACACATACGCTTCGTAAATCAAGCCAACAATGGTTAGTGATAGAGTAGCGGTGCAGGCAGAACTGGCCACCATAGCGAATACAGTCGGAATATCGGGTTCGTTATGCCGGGAGAGGTAATAGATGTCAGAAATGATCCGAAAGATGAAGAAGAATATCAAGATGGGCCAGCAGTTCTTGCCAGTTGTCCGATGTTTATACGCCACATATAACGCAGGGAATAATAAAATACTGAAAACGACAAGAGCTGTAGCGGATAGACCGATGCATGCTTTTGAGGGAGGGCTGGGAAGATGTGAATTGGGAGTCGACATGATCAATTGGCAAAGACTCAGTGAATGCAGAAATGACTTAATGTGTAGCTGTCAAAGACTCCATGGAAAATCGCAGAGCCAACCCAAATATTTATTATCTATTGGAATCCTACATATCGACAACAGAATCTGCCTGGCCCTGTCAGAGAAAAAGGCCTGCAGCCAAAACAATGATCCTAAACCCCAGTGAAACTGGATGAGTTTCTCGGCCAACAGCAATGCCTAGCAGTGTCGCCTCACAGGCGTTTCCTAATTTTAAACGCTTAACGCGCCTGGTAGACGTCAGCAAGCGTTTCACTCTTCAGGGTCTTGGCCTATCAGCTCGACTAACATGCTCTCAATACGACGCATGGAGATACACAATGCGTAATCATGTGGCTCGGTGGCCCTTGTTAAACGCGTTGTCGTTCACTGTCAACCAGGGTGAGCTGCAAAATAGATGCAGATCAATGTAGGGTTCGCGCCTTGGTGTGACTAAGCGGAGAAGCCGTCTACTACCGTACTTCCGGCGCTAGGCAGATGTCACGGCAGAGCTACCTAGCTTATAATAGATCATGCCTCGTATCCAGTAAACCCTGCCCTTGGATAGTGCTTCCAGCTCCTGGACCTGAATAAACTTTTGACCCATGGACAGTCAAGCTCTTCCCCTTTTACTAAGTCCTTTTTCAACAGTTGACATAGCTAAGAAGTGACCCTTGCTTACCTCTGTTGCGATCTGCAATTCAACCACTTCCCTCAGGTTGTGTACGCGCTGCTCTTGTAACAACGAGTTTTATTGAGGATTTCATCTTAGACCTCTTGTGTTGCCTACTTTCCTGCCAGCTGAAAAGCTAACCCTATCATACATTAGTGCTACAGATCCAAGATAGCCCTTTCAGCTAAGCTTTTGCATTCTATCTCCCAAAAACCTTCTATTAAGTTACTTAATAGCCTTATCTAATAATGCACTATAATAATACCTCTTATTGCTAAATTTAACATATTAATTATGGTTTAATTATTCCATAATATTAATTTAATAATTTTTAGCCACTTTTAAACAATTAGCTTAAATATTATATTGATTGAGCCAGCTCGTTTGGACAAGCTTGATGAATCTGGCAAGAGACTCCAACTTCTCAAGGCCAGGATAGCTACATTGAGTATCCGCAAGGATCTCGTCCTCAAGCTGCCGAGTATAGCCTGTTGTGAATCAAGAACCGAACTCACGAAGGATTTAACATTCTGTATTGCGAGACCGTTATGGGAATAAGGGTTGCTATATACTTCGTCCTACCTGGCCTGCTGTGCATGCTGTTTGCTCTTGCTTGGGCTGGGCCCGTTATTTTTAAACCTTTGCTGGAAATCGTGCACTTTCTTTTCAGACCTGCAGTTTTAATACTCATGGTTGCTAAGTATCTAGACTTTATTGGCTGGGGAGTTGCTTTATCTTCTTCCTTGATACTATGTACCTGTTTTCTATTATGATAGACGCGTTCTGATCTATTGTTCCTGGTTTTAGTGCTATCTGCAAGCTGATTTTACCAATTGTCCATCCTCATATTGGATCACCGTTTCCAAAACATAGAAAAGTTGTTATCATTCGCCTGACATTAAAATAGCGAGCCTGAAGAACTTTTATGCAATAACTCTAAGAGTATTTCCCCAGACCCTGCTCTATGACGGGCAAGGAGTCACATTCTCGTCAAGTCTAAGCAACATGGTGCCTACAAGAGCTTTCGACAAAATGCCATATTCCCCTAAAAGCTCTTGGAATTCCTCAATCTTCCATAGATGTTCGACGACGCAAGCACTAAAGTGTACAACCAAGTCTCGTAGTTGATCCGGCACCAGTTCTTCGAAGGTGTAGCGCACCAGCTCAACCACATTGTTATAGTCCTCCCCCTTTCCAGCAAGATCTATTAATTCTTGGTGAAGGTTTAGGCGAGAAAGGCCTGTGAGTCTTGTAATGGCGTAACGGTCGGCCAATGTATAGACCTTAGCATGATGCATCAAGGGGTTTGCATGATCTTTCAGTGCCACGTCGACGTCAAAAGGCTCGGGAGGATAATCCCAAGAAGAGACAAAGTCCAGCCATAGTGATATTCTCCGAGAACTCCCCCTCTTCTTCTTCTTCTTAATTTTTATTGCTGATGGAGGTGGTGCATCTACAGACGCAAACCCGAGAGGCTCTTGCGGTTCTTCTGTCTCAGGTGCTGCTTCGGTTATTGCTTCGGGTTCTGATGCGGTCTCATCACGTATATCAGCTTTTAGCTCTTCCTCACTGGGAGCCTCCTCGGTAGGTGGAAGCGGTTCTGGAGTGTCGTAATCGCCCGTGTAGACGAATTGCCAGAAGCTGTTGAAGACTACCTCGTCTACATCGTCCCATGTGACGGAGCATTCTGACGATTCTCGAAATGATCCATTTACCAGCGCAGAAAGAACCGTTGACTGGTGGGCAACAAGAGCTGAGTGAATGGTGTATTCTGTTTTATCAGCTCCTACTAGAAATTTGAACGGTTTTGACGTCGCAACGCTATCCATCCTAGTAAGTTCAAGGCTCGTTGGACTTCTGTCTATAGACTTACGCCTTCTTCGATACGCGCTCCATCCTTGATAATAGTTGTGTTGGAGTAACAGACTAAAAATATTGCAAATCACAACTTTGTTATGTTTTATTGGAAATGAAAACAAAGATAACATTCTCATCATGTAGCCGCTCAGAATGAGATCCCCTCTGTTATGTCTGACCACTTGTAAGTCATTTATTGGTCCACCATGCATCTGGTCGGCCTCCCGCATGCATTAATGATGACATGTCTCTTAGACATTGTGATTTGCCCAATCTAGCTTTGGTATACCCCTGGTATATTGGTTTTTGGGTTGCCTTGCTTTGATAACTTTTCGATTCTGAATCTTTCGAGCTGGCCGAGTCTGCCCCTGGTTGACCATTTAACACTAGTTCTCCAGCACCAGTTTCATCCTTTTTGGTGGAATTCAACTTTGGAGCAATATAGTGGGCAGCAATATTTGTGACATGGGAATTACTCTTCCTCATCCTCCCAATCTGATTCAGTTGATGTTGAATCCTGCTTCGTAGTGGACTGGGTTTTGACGATAGTGCCGATGTCCATACGTTCGCCGGTGATATTGGCAGCTGTTTCACCACTGCCAAAGAATTCAATCATTTCTTTGGAGACGATGAGATCTCCAGTGTATTTGACGCGCTGCAGAGGCCGCGGCGCATCTTCAAGCCACGCATCTATCAGGCGTATGGGGCGTTGATTAGGCTCGAAGCCTCGCCGGATTGCTCGCGCATAGATCTTCCTTATTGTCCGTATTGGGAGACCTGTAAGGGTGTGGATTTCGCTAGTCGTCTTTGCTCCTCCGCCAGGGGCCATCAAAGTCACCACCATGGCTCGAGTTGCGATATCTGTTTGCATTTTGTTGTGTTGAAGAGAGAAGAATCGGTCAAGAATTCATGCGGGGAAGTTACTGACAAATCTGGCACCAAGACCCTGCAGGGGTGTTTAGCGTTCTCAGCCCCTGCAAGGGCCAGAGTAACGAAATATGGCGACACCTAAATATGAAGAAGGAACCATCGCCGGCATATTCAGTCTTTTGCGATTATAAATTCGCACTGTCAACAGTGGCGTAGAGGATAGAATGGTGGGAAAGTACCTCTGTTTGAGGAACTAACCAACTGGCATTGCACGCTCCATTGGTGATGATAAAATGAGTGGAGTTCAGCTAAATGGAGCTTGTCGCACGCCTCACTCTGCTGACCGATTTTGCTAGGGATATTCCAGCCTAATTGTACAAGAGCCAACTGATGTTAATTTTTATAGTATTTTACAGGAAGTTTGTATGGGCTTACCTTCTTCATATCCTGTATATAAGCTGTAATGCCTGTTACTTTACAATCTGCCTAACATGATTGCTTACACCATCTTCTACCTGGCAGCAATCTGCCTCGTTACGCTATTGTCGATATTTTAATGGAAAACGCATAATGATTGACTGAACTCAGCCCTGGTCTCACATAGCCACCACTGCTACGTCAGGACCCAAGGCAGCTTCTTTCTTAACGCGTATCTATTTCCTTTCCATCGTCCGCACAATATCTTCATAGATTCATACCACTCTTTTGGACCGGGGCTAATTCGTGAAAACGCGATGAGCTCAACTGTTATAGATGCAACTGATGCCACTAGGCGGGACATCACGCGATCAACACGTCCAATGCGGAGCCGCACCCGCAAGATCCTGCAGGTTGGTTGAGCTTGACCAGAGAAAACGGAACTTTAGCTAACCGTGCCATAATAACTCGAAGTGCCAGGACCGGATCCAGCCAATGCATCAAGTGCCAGAGCTAGCATTCAACGGGTCGCATGTGACATTGTCGCACTAAATGCCTTCACGTTGAAAGCCTTGCAAGACGGATGGTTTTCATCGCCACCAATCGTTAACCGCAGCCGATATGAGAAATCCGAGGGGTTCCTCACTGCCGAGGAGCGAGATCACGTCGATATGATTGCAGAACTGTCCGACGAATGGATTCGATGCCTACATTGCTGAGTACGTGGGGACGCTCACTCGCGCCGATCAGCTGAGACGCATAATGGATCCGAGACCCAGCAGTCACTACTCAGATCTTCCTGTCGTCTGCTTGGTGAGATACCGGGCGGCAAACGCGCACGTGAACTTGGCTTCAAGGGTCAACAATCTCGAAATTCCAGCGCAATATAACTATTGCAAGACGTATCAGGACTATATTGAGCATACTGTCGTTCGAGAAACGGAAACGCGGCATGCACTTGCGACCGCCCTAAGACGCGCTTCATCCCTTTTGAATTCGATCAAGTTGGCAGTGGATGACGGAAGCCTTTCCGACACATGTTTATCGATACTAAAGACAAAACTAGCTGCTTTACAAGAACATTACTCAGATGCACATTCAACAGTTTTTCATTCGCCTCGTGATCTTTTTGACCCGACCTCTGAGCATTGGTGGTAAGTGGAATGTCTATCGTTCAACATCCGGTACAATTGGTATAAGTGTTAACAGGGCAGTCTAGGGAATACAAGCCGGACACAGCAACAGTGACGCAGCAAAGCGTTCTTGCGACAGATCCACCATCTAACGCCGTGACTGCATATCCGGGAATGTCAGCAAGCTTGCCAATGACGCTCAATGTGCGAGCAAGCCTAAACTTTGTCGTCCCCAGTGTTTGCCTGTTGTGCTGTATTCCCATCGGGTATGCGTATTTCTACGGCTCGCCTACACATGGCACAGCTACCGATTCGGACTTTTGGCAGCTGGTGGCTGGCTCAGCTATGCAGCTTCTATCTATAGTAACCCTCCTTTTACCAAGCAATGTGCAGGGCAAACTTCCTCATCTCTCTGGCATATATTCCGGGCTTCTATTAATCGCAAGCGGAATTACTTTACCAGCCAGTATTGTATTGTATCTATGTGTATCCGCTCGCTGGAGTATAGTGGTATCTTATATGGGAAATGCTGCGCAGGTTCTGATTCTACTTCAGTTGACAAATGCTCTTTAATTTCAGCACTGGTGGGTGTAGTCTTAGGGCATGGCGGTATCGGCCGAAATGTATATATATATACAGGGAGGGTGAGGCGTATTTAGCCCTTATATGTACTTATATGTGTTCTTTGCGTTTGTGTTGCCTTAAGCGCTATACCTTATCTCCTCGCCATAGTATATGTATGTAGGCCGTTATCTATATCTGTATTGTGGTTATAATTAAGAAAGTCAACGGGTCAACGCAACATTGCATCAATCAAGGAACCAACTCACTAGCGATAGGCTTGGCATTTATTTGGACCTCAAGTCATATATCTCGCAACATTAGTCGGAATTTGTTACGATTAAAAGACCTGACAAAACCAAAGGGCATTGAGGCATTGTCCAATATTTTGCTGTAGTGGCTGGTTTCTAAGTGGCCGACGTTAGAGCATAATTGGTGACCGAGATAGTGGGGAATCCTTTAGCCCCCAAAGCCCACGTGAGCTCATTCCAGCACGTCTTGGGCCTACTAACAGACCAAGGAGCCCGAAACATACGGTCTATTATAAGGACTTGAACTAAATGATCCTTCCGGATTATGGTGAAACTCAGCCGTATGGCACTTGTACCATTCAGGGCCTGGTAGACTAACAGTGAAGGAAAATTGATACTAAATCAAGCTCAGCTGTGCATCATTGCGACTCTGATAATCAAGCGGGCGTCATGTAGTAACATTCGAGATCACTTTATCTGCAGCCGCTCTATGTTGATTTGAAGAAGATTAGAGTCGCCGCTTATCATGAGTGAAATGACTATTGTGAAGGACTTTGTAGAGGCTGACCAACATGAAGACTGAGCATCAAAGTTTTGTTATAAATGCCGTCACAGTCCGATGGGTTGAAAGGATAGAGAGCAAGACTCAGAGCAAGTGCCACAGTACAATTCCATTCATTCATTCCCATCAACTGGAAGAAACATCATGATTTCCCCTAAACATTTCATTTCTATTTCCCTACTTCTCCCTTTTGTCATCTCCTCTCCGGTCCCTTCCACCGGCCATGATGACTCTGAGCCTGAGTTCTCTCTGGTCAAAGACCGCAATGTCATCTGGTCCCAGGCAACCTGCTAAACCAAAGAAATTACCGATGTATCCTACAGACCTGATCTTCGCCGGAACGCCGTGGACGCCAAGAGCGCTTGGTCCGCGGTCGCACACTCTTGGAACCACGATGCCCCTGGCGAAGGTCAGAACACTCTTCCTTTCACTATGGCAGTAAGCAACTTCTTCCATGGCCCTAAGCAAATAAACTATTAATATATTGGAGATAATACCTGCAACACTATGATTTAACGCCATAATACTTCTTTCCTAACTGGCTACCTAATCCTTAACTCTTTTATCTTAATTTTCTAAATTTATTAGAATTATTATAATAGCCTTGATTCTATTATAAGTTAAATATAGAACTTTATAGGTAAGTTTATTAAGACTTTTACTTCCTAGCTTATAGACAGCTTATAGACAGCTTATAACTATCTTTTTATTATATTAAATCTCTAAAATAACCTAATTAAAGGCAATAGGTAAGTCTATTAGTAAGTTAATATAGGCTAAAGCTAGCTATATTAATAAGATCTTTTTTAATGGAATTAGAATGCTTTTAGATCTATATAGCCTTATCTAGGACGGGCATATTAGGCGCTATGCTAACTGGAACTAACCTCACTACATTGAAGGATGAAGCGCAGAAGATTGTGTACACCGTGATGATACCGTCAGCATGGAAAGTAGCCCCTGGAGACTATAGCCCTTTCATCCTTGTTTCGGACAATCCCTGCAGCTCAGACCCACGTCTGCTACAACAACAAGATTTTCTACGTTATCACCCCCCAACGGACGAACAATCGCGGAAAGCTCGTGGACTGGAAGCTCAATGCCCTTCCCGGCTGAATCTACGATAACCTAAGTAACAGCAACTGGGGCGGCGTTACTATCGATGACATTGTCATTAGTTCCTGGAATGGATATAAGTTTAACGGAAACCAGAATGGCTATCAGATTACTGAGACTTCTGATGCTGTTGACGGTGATGGTAATGAGGGCAACTTGATCTTTGAGGCTTGTGTGCGTACGCCTGGGTTTAGTACCATGCCGATTTGTGATGTGGACACGTTGATTTCGAACCTAACGAACTGCAATAGGAACTATGAGGATTTTCCTTGTCGCAAGCTTCAGTTCGCTAACTCTTGCAACTGAGTGGGTTGAGAGGTAGGGAGTGGAGATAAACTGTACCTAGACGGTGGGGTTCGACAAGTGGTTAACTCTGGACAAGCTACTCAGCTGCTTTCTCAATTCATCCTTTTGTAACTAGGTCAGGTTTTCACATAGATGAAATGGGTCTGTGATACCCACAAGTAGAAACATGTCTAGTCAAACCGGAGACTTTTATACCTTATTCATATTGCTTCTGGGAAACTTTTGTCATTTCTTGGACATTACTAACATCTTCCATCTCATGTTCTGTGTCAGAACAGTTGATTCTCAACGTACTGCTGATACCCGTATATTTACGTATGGTGACATAAATCTCAAACTGGACATGCACTTATGGCGATGCCACCCATACCGGCGCCTCTTCTGTTTCTTGTCTAGACCCTCTGTCGTGCTGGAGTTGCATGGTCTGAGTAAATGAAAAGGCTATGAACGAGACAAGAGACTCTGAATGAGCCCGATAAGTTATCAGGAGTGGCACAAATGCTGCATCACAACTCACCTGTTGGTTTGACTTTAAGATGGCAATAGAGCCTAATGTTGAATAGAAGGTTGCCTAATCCCTAAAACTTACTACCTGAACTTAAGTCCTTAATCTGGAGTCTACTAGAGACTGGCTCAAGATCGGCATGGCTTTGCCATTAATATTGCCGGACAATAAACACTTTTTCGCCCTTGTATAGGGAAGAGAATGAGTCTACTATACTATTATATGCAGCAGAAAGGACATTAAATTAAAGGAATAAACTTCTTGATTCTCACTAATAGCTATTTATAGATTCTTATTAAACTAGCACAAAGAGCCTAAGTAGTTAAATAAGCGAGGAATAATGCAGACTTGGTACATACATATAACCACTAGATGAGCTTGAGATTCGCAAATCGGTCCACCATGTCTCTAGACAGCCTGATTTGTTTATCATTTCAATCCGTCTCTATAGCATAGTAGTCACATGTGCCCAGTCTACATACATAATGCAAGCCACCAGGATTTCTACTATTACGACCGGCTATCTGAGCTTTGCTAGATTCGCCGCAGTGACATTGGGGGTTGTCAAGGAAATTGCCTCTTTCATCTGCAAAAACCAGGAACTTTTGACAGTTTGTACACTTGTGGAACGGACGACCTGCGTTGCCATTGGGGTTTGAATATCGAGTGGTCAGCCGTTGGCTGGGACTGTTGCATAGGAAACAGACTGGGGGGTGCCTTGGTGCCGGAGCGAGGGGTAGATTGATAGTATCGGGCGATAAAGTGGTCTATATGTGAGATTAGTAGCCAGCTTAGGAAACATGCTAGAGATTCAGGGGAGACTTGGTCCTCATACCATGATTGGAATGCAAAGCCGTATGACGTCGGGCTATGATAGTATATTTCGAAGTTCAAGCTTTCACTTGAATTCATGAAGCATGCAAGGTTTGGGCAATGCAACGATTCATATCTGCCATGGGAATGCGAACAAGAAGGTTGTACCACCAACTGGTGAAAGCCACGCCAAGAGATATGCCCGATAGTGTTTCAAATATTGGCTTTCTCGTATCATTTTCAGCCGCTTTTCAACCTCATTAGGAAAACATAAGATGACTGCAGCATGCAGTAACTCATCATTACGGCCAATAGTAAAGATCTTTTGGCTAGTCTGATGGTGTGCACAAGGCTTTTAAGTGAATAAAATCTGGCCTACATACAGATGGGATGATGACCTTTGCATCGGCCATCCACTACAACTTGCCTCCTCATAACAACTGTCCAATAATATTTGACCACGTAAACCAACGACATTGATATCACCGAACCTGCACGCCGATCAGATCATTTCCTCCATGCACAGTAACTTGAGAGGCCATAATATCATATTTTGGCTGTAGTGGCTTGCGTTTCCCGGATGAAAGCCTCCGCATGCGCTTGTAATGACTCCAGACCTGCTCTCATAGAGGCGAGATAATGATATCTACTATTCAATCTTGTATTCGTTGATTTCAAACAGTGGTTAATTTGAGGGGAGGATTTTCCCATCTCAGAATTGAATCAAATGACGCAGCGAGTGTCGATGACATTGTTGATAGTTGTATGCTTGACTTCGACATTAGCTTAAACTAAAGATATGAAGGTAACCGGACATAGGCTGAAGTTGGATTGGCCTACGGAGCCTGATCCAAGACTTAAGGTGCCCAGCCATCCATGCAGCGTGTATCACTGCTGAGATGACTGGTTGCACTTTACAGATGCAGGCGTCGAATGCCCGAAGGAGGCCTCAGCGCATGCAGGAGGCCCGCCATCCTAAACCCCGCATACACGGGCGCAGGCGAGATTCACGAATTCACAACCCCCATCCTTCCAGTATCTCGACAGTACCCAGCCCTAACGCTACTCAGTTCAATATTAAATTTCTCCCAGGCGACGCTCATAGCTTTTCAGGATGGAGCTTGACCCAGCAGAATGCGCCAACTGTGGGATCAAGGCAACCATGCGGTGCGCTAGATGCCATATGGGAGCGCCAGATTATCGCTTTGGTGACTCCATGGCGGTCGTCTACTGTGGTCGAGAGTGTCAAACGAAGCACTGGCCTGACCATAAATCTCATTGCCACGCCATGAAGAGACGAAGGAAACTACTTCGAGCAGCCAACATACTTCAAGCAGCATTTCTGACGTACCGTGAGATTTTATACGACATAGACCTCACAAAAGTCGAAGCCAAAGACGGAACCCTCTGTCTTTATCAAAATCAAAGATCCATTACTGCTCCAGTCAAGCGAGGGCTCTTTCCGAACCATCTAACCACGAATATCCAGCATAAGGAAGCAGCTCTCGCTATTAATCAATGTACGACGGCCACGGCGCTATTGGGTCGTTTGACACAAAAGCTCCTTGCAGGTAAGCGCCCTCGAATAGGTACATCAGGTAGTGTAAACAATTTCTTACATTCAAAAGGAGTTTCGTCGACTATCGAGGTATTGGACATTCGCATCGGAAAGCCACTACTTCCACCCAAGTTAATTCCCGGCCGTGACCTGAAGGACTGTCCTCACACAGTAATCAAGGTGGAACTACTCTTCACAACGGAATCATGGATCATCGATACAACAGGCTGTCAGTATGGATTCCGAGAGGTTCTCGTTCCATTCGACAAGTACATTGCAGACAAAGTGTGCCAATTATTAGGCGACCCTACGACATACAATTGGACCGAAACAAAAGACCTGGATTATTTCTCCACCCTACCTTCCATGAACAGATCGCGAGCGCAAAAGCAAGATCGAGAGGTGGAACGAAAAGCTCGCTTACACTTTGCCGACTTTGTTGACAGATGTGTAGACGCAGGTATACTTGATGGGTCTACCTCGGAGTTCAAAAATAACCTTGCTAGTTTCGGGGATAAGTTGAAGACACATATGTTGAGTTTTGCTAATTATTAAATTTGAAATCGTTGTTGGATCCTTGGATTGTAGATAGGCCTTCTCTGACCTTAACAGAGGGAGAATTGCAGATTCTACTGGAACAGGTCACAAAAGACATATGCTCGGCTGACGCATGAAGCGGTGATACACGGTGGAGAGCAAATGATGTATTGTCGCAGTCGACTGTATCCTTGCTGACTTGAGTTAAAGGATGCCATATGGACGGTCAATCAGTGCAAGACCTAGACATGTTATTACGATTGGAGGTCATGCTACAAATGATGAAACGTCTGCAGCAGAATGGCATAGAAGTAGTAATGCATATTGGCTGCTTAGCAGTAACATTGCCACGTCATGATGCACTTTGCTTTTAGGCAGCAATGCATAACGCTCAGCCACAGTCTTTGTTCATATAGTATTCAGGTCTACTAAATAAGCATATTTGTGTGAGCCAAGTCAATTCTTGTTAACCGGGAACGCGTGGTCTTTTTTTGTTATAAACTGTCGCGATACTCGTGATCCTCCATCTGACTGATCAAATTTGGCCTTTATGCACCTTCTGAACCAGGAATACAAGGACTTGTGCTAATTTACTGGCCTAACGAGGATGAGGGAACTCAACTTACCGACAAACAGGGACTGGACAACCCCGTACAAACAGGATCTGGCAGAAAAGACTATCTCAGAAACAAGCACGCTCCAAGAAATTGCTCGCTATCTCTACGTCGACCCCGAAGAACCTGACCCTCATCAGCTATTGATGTTGGCCATAGAAAAAGTGAATAAGGCTGTTCTGAATTCTCTAATCCATAATCTCAATTTCAATATCGATATCAATCAGCGCGATGCTAAGGGAAGAACAGCACTGACACAGGCTGTGAAAGCTGGCAACAGAGAAATAGTTGAATATCTCCTCGAGATCGAAGGGATCGACGTAAATGCCCCAGGCGAAGATGGGGATTATCCGATTACTTGGGCAATTCGCAACAATAACGACTGGGTCAGATCAGGATTAGTTTTTGGCAGGCCGTGCAAGCCACCACTAATTTCACTATTACTCGAGAAGGAAGAATTGAACGTTGAACGGATCGAATCTGACGGCCAAAGCCCATTCCTTTTGGCGCTGAATTGCGAATATTTCTTACGTCTGGAAGACTTCTTGAAAGATCTATTGGACTCGGCAAAATTCAATCCAAACATCCTGGATGGGAACTTAAGATCTCCGCCGTCACTTGCTGCGGAGAAATCCGCTTCGACGGTGGTGACAGCTCTATTAAAGAGTCCTAAAGTCGAGGCCTGCTCTCAAGATAAGGACGGCCGAACACCACTAGTCTGGAGCATCCTTGGCAATAGGGTTGAAAACATGGAACTTCTTCTGAAAAGAGACGACTCTGGAGTAAATACCCCTGATATAGAGGGACGAACGCCACTTTCATACGCCTCAGAGAAATGCAATCTTGGCATGGTGAAGGCTTTATTACATAAATGTGGCGAAAACGCGGACCAGCCTGATCGCGATGGGCGAACTCCGTTATCTTGGGCATTTCAAAGAGAACCAGCGATTGATCCCATTTTTGTTCCAAAAAAGCCAGCGTCTTGGGCTCCTCAAACCACGTCAAGGGGCTTTGGGACAACTCCGAAGTCTCAGAATGAGGAGATCGTTGAGTACTTGATCAATACTGGCCACGCGGACCCTCACTTCAAAGACAACAATAAGAGAACTCCATTTTCATGGGCAGTTACGACTAACAACCTGGATACTGTTAAATACCTGGTACAACATCCAGAAGTCGACGTTAATGATCCTGATAAAGATCGGCGAACGCCTTTATCATGGAGTGCAGAGCAAGGATATATCAGAGTCGTCGAGTATTTGCTGTCAATCGACGATATCGACGTCAATATTGAAGACAACAAGAATCAGAGTCCGATTTTCTGGGCCACCCAGACTAAGAATGTGAGGATGATCAAACTGTTCAGAGAAAAAGACGTTAAAGCCTTGCACACTATGGTCACGAAAAGAGATGATGTTGAAAAAGTAAAACTTCTTCTTGAGGCTGGATACGATGCCTCTAGAGTGGACGCTAACGGCCGCACGCCATTGCATCGCGCTGTTGCAACTGGAAATTTGGAGTCTGCGAAACTGCTTATCCATAAATGCCCGCAGTCCGTGAACGAGAAAGATGAGGACGACCAAACACCACTTCAACTCCCCGTCAAATTTAGCCGTCATATGTTGCAATTGCTCGTTGAAAGCTCAGCAGTAACAGATGAAATCGAGCAACATACGTGGTTCAATGGAAATGATGGGGACTTGCATGATATTGTGTGCTTGTCTCACATAGGCAACAATCAGTACTTGCAGTTCATGTCGACAGATCGGTTTTCAGCGGAGTTTCCACAGCATAGGAGGCTTATCGAGCCAGGGATGCGTTTATTGTGAGTTAGGGATCATGATTCGTTTTAGTCTACAACAGTTGGGCTAATGTTTCATCGTAACAAGCATTAGTAAAGACTCGCCTCCTCTGTGGGCAAGCACGAGCCATTTTGGCTTCAATGGCTTCAACCCGGACACAAATGATGCTAGGCTCCATGTAAAAGTACAGTCTTATGGCCCACCGCAGAACGGCTCTGCAGAGATACTTGTCGGCATGGCCACCTCATTCCCTGGTTTACTCCTGCAGTGCTTGGGATCACCAAAAAGCTCGGTTATGGAACAGGTTATCTCAGGTGTAGCAATTCAACGCCTACGATCGACAAACAATTCAGAAGATGGACCTGGAAGCTTTTTCAGTACACTTCCAAAAAGCATCATACCGCGCGATGTCGTCGACTTTATCTTACAGTTCATAGATACGCTGGAGAAGCGATGGGACCAGCTGCTCAAGGCAGTTGAAGACTACCCACGTTCGTTTGTAAGTGTACTCGGCCGGACAGGAACATCATCCATGTCCACTTGCGAAAATTGACTTAATATTGATTCCATTATGTAGCAAGGGTTTGACCACGATCATAGCCCGCATGATGTTTCAGAGTCAGATCCATTGACCGATAGCCAATGGAGCGAGATCATAGCAAAGGAGCTTCGGAATCAGTTGACCGATACTGAAAGAATCGACAAGCTGTTAAAGGGGTTTAAGAAATTAAACCAAATTAGACGTATCCTTAAAAGCCATGTTGAAAGCGCTCAGACAGTTTTGGACGATTATTACAAGCACAAGGTTAAGGGCAAGGGTCATGAGCAAGTTCTAAATGCTATCATGCGGCTTGAAAGACAAGGAAATCTTGTGATTGACCGATCTGAACAAAGTTTGAGAGATTTATTAAACTTTGTATTTCTAAATGACTCACATACGAAGATCAATCTGGCTAACAGTCTCCAGGTATACGTACGAGTATCAATCGATGAAGCACGCCGATCTACCGATATTGCAAGAAGCATGAGACATCTTTCTTGGATGACTGTATGTGGCACTTCTTACGCAGTTCCCGGTCCTGCTCACTATTGCAGTTTATGTTTCTTCCAATTATGTGTGCTTCTGTTAGTGTCTTCCTTCCACTTGACCGAGTTATTATTAAGTTGAACTGTTTTGCTAACCACAACATATCTTTCTTAGGGTCTTTTTGGAATGAATGTCAACATTTTAAAGGATGATCCTGACTGGAGATGGTTTGCTTTGACTGCAGGAGTCTTGGTTAGCATGACTATGGGTATTTGGTTTTTCCTCTCTCGTAATCTGGTACCCAACCCCACGTCTTCACTTCAATCCCCTATCTAACATATCTAAGGATGATGAGAAGGTCTTGAGACATAGACCCGGCCGCCTCTAAGATATTGAAAAGGGAGTTGATACTTGTTGTCTTTTCATTACTCCTTCTGTCTGCTTTAGTGAGCTCTACAGGCCATGGTAGCTATCAAGTTGGAAAATAAATTGTAATTGGCAATATTTCTTGGTAAGAGCTGTTTTCAATGGATATCTTTCAGATAAATCAACAAAATTCTCCTTAAAACATTTTCAACGAACTTAGAGGGATTTTATCTCATCGATAAGGGCTGCCGACAGTTTTCGGCTCTCGACTATAGTATCCGCCTCCCGTGTTTTTAAAGCTTTATTCGCGAAAGTACTGACTTAGAACTGCGGTATCTTGGGGAAATGCACTTGAAAAGGTATTTTAATTGTCGGTTCGAGCCCTCAGTGTTTCTGCATGCTGTAACAGCGGACTGCGGAGTCATGAGAGCCCCCCTTGCCGGGTGTAGGTATGCACGCTTCACTTTCTTCTCTCAGCTCTTAATTACGAACTTCCTGACTTGTGTCAGTACTCCGGCTTAAAATTTCACTCCCTGACCTTGTGACAGTGCTCAGTGCTACATCCTGTTGGTTGTTGTGTTGTTGGTCGTCGTTGTCCCACTTCTGTATGCAGCGAGGCAAATACGGCAAGATATTGCCAGGCGTGAAGTTGGCAGATAAGCTTGCATCAAGCATTTTAGTTACTTATCCGTAGCATGTTAAAGAGAATTGAGTGTATCAAAGAGGTGGACGTAAAACTTCTGTGGTGAATGGACTGTTGTTGTACTGTCAATATTTCGAAAGTTGACGCCTCTTTTCTCAGCCCCGATTGGGGCAGAATCAGATGATCACCGTCCCAACCCAGTAGATTATGCAACCTAGGCCGTAACTATGCTTCTTTTAGGCTACTACTGCATAGCAACGGGATGACGATACTGATTTAACTTGAAGTTCCATGCCCGTGCAAGCCATGTTGGCGCGGACTTTCGCATTGACGAAGCCATATATGGACGCCACCTGCTGCGTGCGCGCACGGAAACTTTCCCTTTTCTTTAGAATGTGCAATAGAGGAATATCTCAATTTGCCATTACAGCCAAAGTCCAGCTTGGAGCGCCCACCAGCCTCCAACGGTGACGGGTTTCATTCCGAACACCTTACTAACTTCTTGAGCTGTTCACAAAGTTACTTTTCTTTGTCGCAATGAGGCCGCTTACAAGATTTGGCCTAGCGCTTGCTCTACTCGCCAATCTGGTGTCATGCGACTCCAAGTCCATCCGTCCCCCAGAGTGGGACCCGAAACAAGATGCCGATAAAGAAATGATAAACAACATACCTTACGACGCTGGAGAAAAGATTCCGATCCTATATAAGACAGATGTAGGAAATATTGAACTCTGGCTTTGGAAAGTGTTAGATGACTCAGAGGCTGGTGCTCACTTAACAGGTAGGATATGAAAAGCCTTGCGTTCACCGTGGTTCACTAATCCAGCCTTATAGGAACTGGAACTGCTTGGCAAGCTCAGTACAATGTTGCTAATAAATTAAACGATGAGGAGGACTTGGTTTACTATTTCGCGATATATGAAACCGGCGAAATCATTCAACTTGCTAAATCTCAGTACGTCAATGTCAGCGCTCCGAGGCCGGACAAGAGCCAAACCGTCACTGTATCTGTATCTGTATCTGTATCTGTATCTGTATCTGTATCTGTATCTGTATCAAGGGCCTTGAGCTTCTCAACAGAGCCATCCACAATGCAAACGTCGACAACTTTCACCACGCAAACCGCTGCTTAGCCGACCGATTCATCTTCAAGCGACGAGACGGATTCAACCTCAGAGCCCAAATCAGACTCTGGACTCTCCTCGGCAGCGACTGGGGGTGTAGCAGCTGGAGCGACGATTGGTGGCTTTTGATTATGGGAGGTATAGGATACTTGGTTTGGAGAAGATACGCGAAGAAGAAACGCGTCACAGAGTTATCTGAACTTCCTGGAGGCGTTCCTCAGCACCACGAACAGCATCAGCCTCACCCTTCTGAATCGAAGGCTGGGTTGCCGGGAGACCCTGGGACCTATCCTTCGGACTATGCGAGAAGCCCATCGGGGCTTCATGAAGCACCATGACCAGAGGTGCGATGGACTGATTTAATGCACAAGGATCCATAGATGGAGGTAGTTAATGTTTTATGAGTTTTGTCAGACCTTGTACGTGCTGAAGTCTGTATTTTGGGTGCAGCAGCTATTCAGCCACTTCATTTTCGAGATAATCAGAAAGCTGCTGAGAATCGCTATTAGAACTTTAGAATTTTCTATCTTGTTGAAGATCAGGAAGTATCCTATAACACTATTCTTACATCTGTCATGAGTGGAGTAGAGGGCAATTTTAATAATTATATCCTACTACCAATACCACATGCCTATAGAAGTCACCATCTCCTACAGTGAGGTTGAGAGCAAGGATACATAGACGAACTGTGTGTCTTTTTATTGTAGACAGGCATGAGTAAGGATGAAGCAAGCCATGGAGTCATTTTGGACTTCGGTGATCTGTAATGGCTAAAAGTCGTAGCATTTGCATGGAATCGAAATGACTTTTGGTGTTGCTGTGCTTCTAGGTCGATATATAGTTGAACTTGGGGATTTTCTTTTGTCGTAATGTCCTTACAATGCACAAGACGGCCATAACTTAATATTTACAAATCCACAAAATGAAGGAAGACAATATACACGGCCCAAAAATGAATGCAGCGGAACCCCTGTCATCAGCGGCCCAGTTGCCTCTGGGTTATTTGTAGGGCAAAAATACAACAAATTGCTTATTATCGTAACATGTATGTCGTTCTGTGAAGCTGAATATGTTTATGGGATTTGCTAGCCTAGCCTCTTTGTGCTTCTTTTCAGAAAGTTGAATGATCTTCAGCTTACTACAGTATACAATTTGGTACAGGTAGTCAGAAAGCCGATACTGGGACACTTTCACATTTAGTAGCACTCACGACCGAAGAACCAGGTGACGGAACAGAAGCAGGCCGGGACTTATTAGTATGCTACTAAGGGCCAAGTGACACATTTTCTTCACTAGATTGATAGCTAGTGTACACCTAGGTGTAAGAGGGAAGGGGGATAGCTTCACGAGTCGAGCTACCGTTGATCGTGTTGGAAAGATAGGTGGATGTGAGTAATGGGATATCAGTGCGAAACAAAATCTTTTTATTGATGCCTCGGTAAATGGTTCATTATGAATACTTGAACTTCAAGCTGACCCTGGACTAACCGGTTACCATAGGGGGCTATGTCATGGATAGGTGTCCTACGCGGTTCCGATCAAGTTTGTGAAGGTCCGATGCGAACACATTGTACATATTCTGTTCTCACTAAGAGAACATAGTTCATTGATTGTAAATCTCGAAAAGCTACTATAGCTCCGTTATGTTTTGTTGTTTGAAGTGATCCCGAGCCAAGATACCTTCAATTTCTTTTGCTACCAACAGCCCATCACATACCATTCTCCATTTAAATTTGTCCAACCAGAAATTCAGAACCCGGCCCCGCGGCATCAGGGCCATAAAGGAAATGGGCAGGAAGAATAAACAATGTGCCATCACAAACGAGATCAGTAGGCAGGCAAAATATCTTGGTTCTGTCGGTTGGATAGTTCAGGATACGACCGCCAAGCTGCTCGTTCTTGGTGTACCCAAACAAGGCAGCTCCAACGACTTGATTCTGAACAGCGCCTTCAAGTTCACTGAGTGCGTATCCAACGACAACCGTGCCCTGACTATTACAACATCAGCATTTACCAGAGTGAGAGGGAATATTGACAGGACAGTACTAACCTGTAGCCAGCAGTGACAACAGGTGTATTAGGACACTTATCATAGGCCATTTGGAAAAGTCTCTTAGCCTCGTCAATGGAGGCATCGTTAGTCCCCTCGGGAAGAAAGTTTGGCGCAAGTTCGGCTGTATAAGGACCACCAACACCTTGCACCCAGATATCAGGGACAGCGAGCTGCATAGCTTCGACGAGGATTGGGCCAACAGTAATTCCCTAACTCGGGTCAATTTCTGACGTTATGGTTTCTGAGGCCAATCTGACGAACCAGGTTACCGGGCTCTGTACTGCCTCGAGCGTAGATCAAGATGGCTGTGGGACAATTGGAAGGGTCCCCATCCTCTAGGTCATCACGAGTAAGGAGGTCTCGAGCTTCGAGCAGACTGACATCTCGGGTGGCAACGATCCCCCTCTGATTTGATACAGTTGGCATGGCGCTGGCGCCAGCAAGAAGGAAGCACAAGATATTGGCTACACGCATGGTCAAGGGACAGTTTTGGAAGGCTGAACACAATGAGATATGCCTCAGAACGATTGCTTTAATTGAAGGGCTGGAGAATTGAGTGCGAGTATACAGGCTTGTGGTTTAGATAGCTGCTCCCTTTATATAGATGATTACCCTCCTTTACTCATCATTGCAAGCTTCATATTGCTGGCTGGTGAAATGCTCTCCTTCCGCTTCTTGTCTAGTTTACTTATGCTGTATTCCTACCCAATATCGGCTATACGGAATTCACATGGCCACTTAGCTTTGCCTGTCAGCATAGGACTCCAGGGTATTTCCGTTCTTGCTCTCATGTAACAATGAGCACATATCTACTGACCTTTTTCTTTTGGAGACACTTGAAACATTTAGCATCAAGCCCAACTCCATCAGTCCATTTTTTATACAGAACGAAACAAGTAGTAGATTCTAAAGTTATGTTGAAGATAATCTTGGCCTTCCTCTCTGCGGGAAACACTGATGCACTTACTTCTTGTCAGAACCCTTTATGGAATAGCACGATTTTCTCTGCAGTCTTGAGTTAGTGTGATATCGGGCCTTCTCCGAGTATTATTTGTCCCCTAGACTCGTATTGGTTGATACGATTCGAACAGAGTTTAATTATTCCAAGACAGGATACTTACCCCAGGTTTTGAGATATAATCCCTCAATGCATGGCTAATTGATAAGTGGGGAAGCCGAGGATCAAGAACCGCTCTTTGATGCTCTAATGCAGGATGGAAGTGTGGGGTATGCAGCTTCTCAGCCAACCTCAGGTTCAGGGTCTATTGGGCTTGTGATTTGAAAGATGATTGATCTCTTTAGGCATAATCTATGAGCTGTCACAAAATGCTGCGTAGGTGAGTCAGTTGTTTCCGCGGCAGGAAGTCGAGTTGTGCACTGAGAAGCAGGTGAAGCTGCAGCCTAAGCAAATCTCCAATCCATATAGCTAGGAGGAGAGGGGCAGGAGGGTGATTTTCGGATATCGCGGAAGACCCCAATTAGTACCATGGTAAATGATGTAAGATCATGTTGAAACATGTGATCGATTGAAAGCCTGATGGGGTTTTTAGGGGCAAGAGGCCGGCTTAGGCCTCGATCATATACTAGTGCGGCGACATGTTGGTATAATAAACCATGGATCTGGCGTTCTCTGGGCGTTCCACGAAGTCCTATGCGGCCTTTGCATGACTGGCTTTTCCTAAGTTGAATAGATGGTGACAGCAAAGAGTCCGAACTGCAGCGATAGGAAGGTCAAAGGAATCTCGGCAAAGTAACCTCAGGTCAGTATAATTTAACTTTGAGATTGTGAATTGGCACAAAAGGTTATCTATTGCGGTTCAAGACATGACATAAATAGTTTTTGACAAGAGTTAGAGCAAAATCGGGATAGTCTTGGTAGAATGAAACGGCTCGCCTTTCTCCGACAGAGTAAGACGGCATGCCAGAAACGCCAATATGGTAGGCACCAATTTGTAAATTTTGTTTGGCTTCGCCAAAGGATATTAGATTCCATTTGACAGTCTCTCAGTTATGCCCTTTATGAATGATGAGCCCTAAAAGTGATTTATTATTTACTACAAAAATAAAGCCCTACGCTTTCGTCCTATTACAAAACAACATGCACATCCATGGGTTTCGATGACAGGCATTTACCTGCAAGCTGCAGCAGGTCCTCGGTTCTGTCAGCTTAGCCTCCAATAATTAATGTTCGAATCGTACCTGCATTCTTCTGTCACAACAGCTAATTGGGTTGAAGTTCATTCACCCCCAAATCCATTTCCAAATTCCTTTCCCACTAATAGTTTTTTGTTCCCTCTCTCTACACCACTGTTCAATCACGGGTCATCGCCAATTCATAAACCACACTTCTATAACATCATCATGAGGACATGTCTATGCCATCAAAGTCTTCTGGTAGTTCTGCCAGGCTTATAATTATAAGTAATTATAGCGCCATTCAAGAGGATATTTCTCCTCATTTAAATGAGAAGCTGAGAGGGGATAGAGCGTGAAGTAGTATTGGTTGTATTTAGTCTAGATGATGCTGCCTATATCTTCTGGGTTATCTTGGCGGAAGCGCTGAAGCTGAAGGCCGAGCTGGTAGGTATCTGTAGTGGCGTTCATAATGGTGGCTGAAAGAAAAGATAGTTAACCGATACACACCAGCAAGTGTCCAAGTTAGCAGCTATCATGAAAGATACCATGCCTGAAACATACCCCCGGCAACACTCAGAATGTGCACAAGTACTCATTCACGGATCAAACCAAGAGCGCCTACGAGAATGTGTTAAGATGCTGTTCTACAAATTGTCTCACAACCATCTCGACTCATTCAGTGAGGAAGAGTGGAAGGTAAGCAGGTATATCCTCCAAGGGGCTAACCTCCTGAATCCTAAAGCCAATCCGAGAAACTCAGAAGATATTACAGTTTCCGCATTCACGGGCCATATGTTCCGTGAAGCTCTGCAGTGCATAGGATACAACCGCCTCATGAACCACTCCGATGACGATTACTCCATTATCGACGACACTGCTGTAGCAGAAGCTTGAACCGCCGTTCTCTGGCTTCTGTCAATGGGCCAGAACCCAGATATCAAAACATGGGACAAAAAAGCTTTCCTCAATGTTACTCCCCTCCAAGGTGCAATACTTTCAGGGTGTCTGGACTTGGTATAAATCCTTTTGCAGAACAGTGCTGATCCCAGTCCCATGATAGATTCTGAGTCCCTTCCCCCTCCACTGTACATTGCGTTGAATAAAACGTATTCCTCCAAACACATTGCTTTGAAGCATGTTGTCGATTGTTTGCTGAATCACGGGGCTTCAATGAATTGGGACCACGCCCTTCATATAGCAATCCGGTACTAGAATCTAGACTTTGCCGACGAATTCGTGCTTCGTGCGACGTGGAGCGAATCTTTATATCGCGCGGACAAGACCAATGAGTTCAGCGTATCTAGGAGATGAGGAGACTGCTTTGAGTGTTACTGCTAAGGTCGGAAGAGGAGCAACAGAATTCGTTCTGAATCTTCTTGAACTTGATTCCCCCGAGAAAATGAGCGAAATCATTACAGCAGATGTTTTTATATCAGCTGCCCAAAAGGGGAATGATGATGTTATCCGCCTTCTCTATAAAACCTCATCCACCGACTTGCCTTTTGATAAGCATGGCATAACGCCTTTGCACGCGGCTGCTAAGCATGGTCACCTGAGTACCTGCCGATTAAGTGTCTAACTATGGGGTCCATGCGCTGAAGGTGTTAGTTGGCCTTCCCCTATCCATCTTGCGAGCTTTAACGGGCATTGCGATGTTGTACGGTTGTTAATCGAAAAGGGTGCCGCCATCGAAGCCTTATATCTTAAGGAAGTTGTGATGAAAGGGTGTTTCTATGGGCATTGCCTGGCCTTCGTGGTGACGACAACACCTTGGAGCTACGTCTCATGACGCCGCCGCAACTGGCTTTAACGCGCATACTGAAGGAGAAGTCGTCTTGGCTAATCGCCCTCCCTACTTGCAGCTGCCACAGCTGGCAATACTGAAGCATGCTGCCAACTTTTGAGCACAGGCTGTCCGCCTGATAGACTGACTTTGTATATGGCGGCTGTGAAAAATAGAGTCGCATTCGCCCAGGTTCTCCTAAATCACAATCAGCGGATTCAAACCATCCGCCTCAACCATCCTATTAATTCTACAATCCCGCTGCCTTCACCGTTAATCCGTTCTATAGAGCACAATAATACAGAGCTCCTGCTGCTGCTTTTTGAGGCTGGCGCAGCCCTGAAGTCAGCTTATAACAGAATCATTTTATTTAAGCCAAATTATGCCATAAACTATAAGCCTGGTAAATTACACTTAATTGCAGTGATACAGAAGCCCCAAAGTTTAGGAGTATAGATAAGAAGACTTAAACAGGGTCTAGTACTAGAGACCGTTTTAGATTAACTTAGAACCACATAAGATAGATGGCTAAGGGACCAGAGTAACTGCATCTAGCACAGAGATTCAGTATTATAGGTAATTCTAAGCATAAGTATGTCTTTTACTAAGTTATTAATCAAATAAATTATAATATAAAAACTAAAGATAGTTATATATAATAATAACTTAACTTTCCTTACTTTAAGATAAGTTAACTTATTATTAGAAGAATAAAAACTTTAAGTAGTTAGAGTCTTATCCTTAACCCTATTAAAAATTGCCAAGTTTCCATCTATTAACTGCATCCTGCACAGGCCCATTCTCCAACAGGAGGAACGCCAGCAAACCCGCTTGCAAGAGAAATAATACTTTGGAGATTGTCATCACAGAAGGACCCGCAAAATCCCGCCTTAGGACACGAAACAGTCCAATGAATCCTTGCCTGTGTAGATGCCTTATCCCTCTTTCCATCAGGAAGCACACTTACTAACACAGTCCCAGTCGCAGGGTACGTGTACTCTTGGTACTCGAACTCATAATCGGGTTCGCACATCACCTCATTTCGGCAATTGTTGCTGTATCGGCCCGTCTTGGTCACACTTGTCTTCGCAACCGCAGGTGCCACGGCTTCAATCAGAATCTTTTTCATGCCAGGGACATTATCGCGCGCCGAGAACCAGCAATCGTCGAATGTGATACTGCAGTCATTGCCAATGCTGTAAGACTCCCCTTTGCACTGGAGACCCTCATCGTCATCATTAATGTGGCTGAAAGCATTCTCAGGTGTCCATGCTTCGACATCAGCATTGGTGCCCTGCACACGCACCGTGATCTCTTTTTCCGACATGTCATAGTCGGTTACCACTTGGAAGTCGGTGGCAGGCGCGGGTGGCGGGTTATCTGGCTGATGGAAGCAAATGTAGGCGCTGGTACAAGCTGTTCCATCCGGAAGCTCGAAAGCCGGCTTGCCATGCTCGGCCCAGCACTTGAACTCGTTTCCAAAGGTGTGCTTTGCATCGCCTGCGTAGCTCTTGGACTCTGCCCAGTCTTTGACAGCTGGATTGATTGCGACCTGGAAAGTGTCGCCGTTGGAGAATTTGGCGGCAACGCCACTTGGTCTCCATGGGTACGAACCGTCCCAAGGCACGTTTGCAATCATGTCTGGCTGTACCCATTTGGTGTCGCCGCCACCTGGGTTGTAAGACCCAGCATAGTATGCCATCTCATTTGACTTGGCGGTACCATCAGCTCCGATACCGCAGTCCACGAGCATCAGGTGCTCGTCCGGTCGGTAGTCTCGTGAATTGATGATTGCAGCTCGAGAGCCTGAGAGTAGGAGGAAAATGGTGGTTTTGATTGAGTTCATTGTTGTTCAAGTGAATCCGGAAGCTCTCGAGTGAGAAGGTAGAGTATTAGATGCAAGAATTGCTTGAATTGTAAGTTGCAAGTGTGCTTGTTGAGAATACTATTCCTGACGGCGACAACAACTCAGATATATATACTGTATTTGAGCCTCTGTTAGGCTTTGGTTCCCCCAATAAACCCGAAACTGTGAAGCCCAATAACAAGACAGAATCGTATTCTCTTGATGATGTAGCATGGGGGCTTTGGCGCTGAACATGGCTCTGCCCTTAATCCTTCCAGACTAGGGTTAACGTTACCAACTGCCGCTTACTTCTGCTCCGCAGCCCCATTTACTTCATTTCCCTTCAGCCTTGGTTGCCAGGGTATACCAACAGCATCTTCTATCCGGCATATTCTTTAGTCCCCGAAAGCCGAGAGCATACTCAGCCTCTTACACTTGGCAATACCAAAGTACTATAAAGAGTGGGTCTGACACCTGAGCCCCTGAACATATCTCGGCTTCTCCCGAACTTATGATTCGTCAGAGAGAGCCCGATGACAATACGAAGGCTGAAGTAGTTTAAGCTTATTTCGGGCAATGGGTTGGTTAAATTAGCTGTGGATGAGAAGGCATAGGCTGGCGCTAGCTATTGCACCTGTAACACTGATTGACACTATCCTGCAATTATCCAAGTAAAGTTTATCCCGCTGTTCTCAGGAGCCTGATACTTGGTGAAGATCACAGAAGTGCTGAGAACCTCCGACTACTTGTCTCAATCATTTACATCTAAACATTTGCTGATCATGGTCTTTTCAATTGGTGGATGTGAAATTGCGATGCCTTGCATCGTGCTAATATTCAAGACCCTTATAAGCTGTAGTCTAACACGCAGACAGTAACGGGTTTGTTGTGGGCCACTAGACTGTATCTATACTTAGCCGGGTAGACAGGCACGGCTAATAAAGACTGTCTAAGACGACCAATTGCATGCATGCCTTACAAGACTACAAGCCTTTTCCACTAGCATTAATGCGACAATCGAATCCCCTCCAATTAGAAATGCATCTCGTATAATCCGCCAGTCTCTGCATCCAAATCCAGAATCTCAGCCAATACTCCCTGAACCCTCCACTCAGTAGCGGAAATTGGCTGCATTCAACTGTGCCTCTGTTTGTCCATAAGATACCGAGTGGAAAATAATCCACTAAGCAAGAGCCAACCAGATGGCATATTCTCTCACGAGCGTACGTCCCAATCGCCTACCCAGTAGACGAACCCAGTCGACAAGTGGCCAGAAGCAAGGTATTTGAGCATTGACGCATTGGCCACCAAAAGCCATGAGGGGTCCATCCTGGCTTTACACCGGCATCAGGCACCGCACCCGTTTTCTGTTCGCAGAGAGGAGAGACGGCAAGACAACATGCTAACAGGAGAAGACGCAATAGAGTATTGGGAGCTGTAGAACAGCAACTTGCTGTGTCCCTGTTAATAGCCTTAATTGTAATCATCCAGGACGATAGGTAATAAATAATGATAGCGGCTTTGAGGTAATAAATAGTACATTAATTATTCACACCTTATAAGTGTGATACTTGTGAAGCTGTTTCATTTATGCTCCAGAGTCCCTGGATTATGCGAAACTTCGTGACCATGCTGATCCTTGAATAGCACCTAATTCAGACATGTTGGTTCACTGCTAATATCAAGAATCGAGGAAAACATACCTTTGGAGGATTCTTCACGCCTGCCTTTTCTCCCTCTTTTTCCGTCGTCACAATCTTTTGAACATCACCCTCGCGTCTACCTCCACGGAATCGCGTCCAAACGTGATCACCTTCATTGGTTGGCTCTCCCTGCTTATCCTTGATGTCAGATGCCATGGTGTTTCAATTGAGAACGGACAATGAGAATTAAATATTCATAGAAGTTTAAGAGAAGTCATTTCAGCTTAAAGAGGTTCCTAATATTAAGTAAAGGTGCGAACATTATTAGAATAGTGTGACATCAGAAAAGCATCAATAGATTGATGGCTTGACGTCAAGGCTACATATTAATTACAAACACTGGCTAGCTTAGGTCCTTACTGAGACCTGTAGAGCTAATATTATAGACCCCTGCTTGTTTGGTGGTACTTTATTTGCCACTTATCTAAGTGCGTAAAAGCCTTATCGGAAGTATACACAATCAGCGCCGCACTTCTTTAGCTGATGCACATATCAGGTCAATACTGGCACCAACTAGGTAGCTGCTTTTAGAGCCGACAACGCAGCACGTAATACTACTCATTTGATGACTTCATTCTAGAGGTGTCCTTGCTCTGCCTATGGCGGGGCAGGGATAATCCTGCATCCTCATAAACATGCCGTGGCCTCGTGAACGGCACGCTTGATTCACAGGATAGGATCCCTATGTCAACGGAAATGGCCGAGGCAGGCATGTTCACCCGCTTGGCCTACAGAGACTAACGCCTACCAAGAAACGCAACGTACGTGAGGGTGGACTGAGCGTCACGTACCAGTACTGATGATCCATGGATGAAAGACTAATCATAACGGCCGGCATGACCATTGGCATATTTAGCCACAAGCGGAGCCATGGTGCCTTACAATTGACATAAACTCTGATAGAGTTTAGAAGCAGATTATTGTGAGATGTTTTACCGCAAATCCAGCATTGGTGAAGTTGGATAATTTGCACAAAGTTGCTTGCTATCACTCCACGATCGAATCCATGTCCAGCTTGCCTCAAAGGAGCCCGAGATCTTGGTGGCGATCTTCGGAGAGTGGCACTGGGGTTAACTGATTACAGTGCTCCTCCAAGACCTTCTTGATATCGTCGCTCACACAAGTCGATAAGTAGTCCTCAGTACCTAATAGCAGGTCTTTACAAATCGGGCAAAGACTACCAGCTTGGCGTGTGCATTGGCCTAGTTTTTCTACAGCTTGTACAGAATATGGATTCATTAACTATTCCTTCTCTCTATATTCTGCACTAATTCGTTGTACCGGAGACTATAATTCCTAGAGAATTTCTCGAAGGAGGAACCGTAACAAGCCACCCTGGTATGCGCTTTTCTTAGGGAAGAACTTCCCGTTAGGAATAGTATAATCCTGTAGTTGCTTTAGAGTTTCAAACACTTTGACGGGCAACCCAGTGTTCTGGGTCTCCACGAGATCGACCAAGTTTACATGGGTCTGACGTACGCTCTAGATTTTATTAATGTCATATTATGTTAAAAGAGGGGAGTAGCAGCAATCAAACTTACCTCGCGACATGCTGCCAAGTCTGTAGGTACCGGTTCCATGTTCAGGACACGACACAGCTTCTGCCATGAATTGAGATTGTTTGGATCTGTTCCGTAAATATCGTTAAATTGTTTCACCATTGCTGTTTTGAACTCTTGTTTTGCATCTTTCATCTCTTTGTCATGCCGATCCCATTTAAAGAATTCACACATTCGGTAGAATTCTGTCCAAATTGGCCTCGAGGAGTCGTATTCGAAGGTAGGGTACCTGGCAAAGAATCGGTCGATATGGTCGAGGGATCTCTTATTTTCTCTTTGGTTGGAGTTTTGCGGTTTCTTTTGCTTCTTTTGCTTCTTTTTCGCATTTGTAGAATTCTTGCATATTGATCAGAGATTAGACTCGTTTGCATCACGATATGGAGAACGTCCACCTACATTGGTATGGCCCGTCTGTTGCTTGTCGTGCCGAAACAAACAATCGGACCCAAACGTACAACTACCTGAGGCCAGATAATACCGGCAAGCCGTTTTCGACTTTGTTTTGCTCATGGTCAATGAAAAGTAGTTCAGGGATAAAAACAGAACCAGCCCGAGACGGAAAGAGGAACGGCCGGATTGCCACTATTATGGTATTCTGTTCATAGATTTTGGGATGTATGAAGCATTTCTTATGCGTGGACAAGTGTCCAAATGTGATTGATTGATATGCAGACACGGCTAACAAAATCTGCAGGAGGCCGACCAACTCGGCCAATATGGATCATCAGCCATTCATCTTGGGCAAAATACCTTTGGGTGTCTTAGCTGCCTAAATCCTGCATTCCCCTCACTTTGTCATTGTCTACCCCTACTTATTGAGTTAATCGATCACCAACTGTAACGTCTGTATCGCTGTAATTCTTGTATCGTACTCAATAGCTCATTTCACACCTTCGACAACGCCCAAGCCCCTTCAGTGACTAGAAGAACAGATTTTCATTATCTCACCATGTCCACCTGCGGAACATGCTGGCGCCAGTTTCCGGCCGGTTGGCGATCTCGTCAGCAGCACATGAATGCCACTGGCCACGAGCCTCCAGACTTTGAGTGCGACACTTGTGATCGTTACTTCGGTAGCCAGGAGGCAGTTGAACAGCATATGTGCGATTTGGGGCACTGGGATGAGTCCTCCGAATCCGAAGAATTGCAAGAATCAGACGAATCAGAAGGCACTGTCCTTGAATGTGATCATTGCGGCGACGCTTTTGATGACGAGGATGACCTACACGACCATGAAGCTAGGCAGCACTTCTACTGCGTTGTCTGTGATCGCCCATTCCAGGACTGGAATAGCATCAGCCAGGTTCGCGTGACCATTTTTACACCTCTAATTGTATCGTTCAACTAATATCACGAAGCACCTGCGCGGCAAACTTCATCGTACCAGCACAGTCCAGTGTCCCTTTTGCAAAAACTTACATGGGACTGCTACCGGATTCGTCCATCGCCTCGAGAAGGGCTGTTGCACCAAAGCCCCCCTCAGTCGTGATAAACTGTATGAGGTCATCCACCAACACGACCCAGACGGTATTATTTCCAAGAAGTTACTTACATGGTCTAGCAATATAACTTATGCCGCCACCGAAAAGGCATGGAATGACGAGGTTGACGCCTATGAGTGCTACCTCTGCCATCGTCTCTTTGGTAAATTGGCGTCTTTGAACCAACACCTAGGCTCTCCTGCTCATCAGCAGAAAATCTACCACTGCCCAAGCACTTCTTGCAGAAAAAGTTTTACGACTCTTGCTGCCATGATTGCTCACCTAGAGAGCGAGAGTTGCGGGTATATGCGCTTTGAGGCTGTTCAAAAGAGGGTCCAGTATATTGTAGATCCACGCCGTATGATTCAAGCATGATGATGCCGACTTGGGAAGGGAACTCCAGTCGAAAGGGATTTGGATCAGCAAAGCTTCCTATACATTCTTAGTCCGTCTTTTATACAGTGGAAATCCTTGGCTCTTTGACACTAGTCTACTTTCCCGTTCTTTTATTCAAAATGTTCAAGCCTGCCTGGCCTCTTAGGCAAGCTGATTCTAAAATTTCCATATTTCTTTGTGACTACAAGTGCCCTTTCCTTTACCCCTAGTCTTCCTTCTGGTCGGTAATATTATTCTTGTGTCTTCCCCATAACCACAGCAGCCAGCCTTACATATATGTGTGCCAGGCAACTAGTTGACGGAGAATCAAGAATTCTCATTTGATCAGAAATATAAAGACTTATTTAATATTGTTTATCTTGAATAATGTATTTGCCTTTGGCTTGTCTTGAGGCGTTAGGCAGAATTCATAGTAGCGGCTGCGCCACCACTACTACTACTACACGGGCCGTCCAATCCGGTATCCCCATGAGCGTGAGCAGAGCATGACCCTACTGCGGCTGAAGGCATCCATGGGCATCGGGGCTGGTCAATGAGGGAGCCTTACGCTAATCATCAGCCGCATTATCACGCGCCTGAGGCATTTTTATTTATTTATTCACCTCATGCCCTTATCTTCTACCAGCACCGCCAAGCCTTTCTCGCTTGGCTAGAATCTACGGATCGCGATAACGAATCACTAGAGCATCCAGCATATACAAGAGAATGCCGTCATGGTACAAGAAGTTCGCCAGGGGGTGGCAGCGAGATGACAACGGAAGAGATTCAATCGTCGGTACCTTTGTTTCCCTTTTACGTCGTTGTTCAGGAAGCTGACAATTCCTTTCTTATACGCTAGGCTGCGCAGTTGCCCGAATCCATAGAACAAGATGATATACCTATTCCTCATGACTTTGAGGCTGAACCCTTTGGCTTATTTATCCTACATCCATCGCCTGATATTTACCTGCCGCCTACAGATATTGATGTTGAGTATGCTGATTCTACCAATTTGGTTGTCCTGATTCCTTATGCATTTACTGATAGCATGTGAAGCATTGTCGCCATTCATGGATTAAATGGCAGCGCGAGGAAGACTTGGACCGACTCGGCCACTGGGCAGTGCTGGCTGGAAGATCTACTGCCAGACTCGATCCCGAGATGCAGGGTCATGACTTTTGGATACGACTCCAAACTGGCTTTTAGCAAATCCCGGTCGGGAGTGGATACCTTTGCTCGGGATCTCTTGAACCGCCTGAGGGTTGTCAGGAGTAGCTCAGAGGCAGGTGTATCATTAAATGTCTGGTAATGATTGCTGACGCCTCACAGGCCCGAAATCGACCGCTGGTATTTATTGCTCACAGTCTAGGCGGTATCGAGGTGAAAAAGGTATGTGCGACTCTTTACCGACCAGCTTTTGAAAGATATTGATGCTGTAAGGCTTTGATTATGGCGCACAATGGATCAGAGGTCTACGCCCCGATTCTCAAAGCCACAGTCGGCATCATCTTCCTGGGAACTCCGCACCGAGGATCTGAGCTGGTGCCTTGGGGGATCCTTCTCTCTAATGTCGTCGGCGTCACTAGCATAGGAAAAAATATCCGAAAGGAGCTCTTACGCACCCTCAAAAAGGACTCTGACACGTTAATGGATATTTCAAGCCAATTCCTACAGCGCGCGACCCCTTTAAAAATCATGAGCTTCATCGAACAACAGGTAGAGAGTCCGCTGACAACATTGGTAACTTTTGTATTGTATGTTGCACTAGTGCGATTCTTACAGTTGGCAGGTTGTTCCAGAGTATTCGGCCATCATGGGCTTGCCCAACGAGACTGTGCTTCCAATGAACGCTCACCATCGGGGACTTACTCGGTTTTCGCGAAAGACTGACCAGAACTATGTCCTTGTTGAGGCGGCGATCAGGGAAGTTGCATATGGAAGCATAGATAAATGTGACGCTTATCCCAAGGCAACGATTGAGGAACATAGCTGACCTTGACGCAGATGCAAACACTTTGGATGATACCCTTAAGGCAGCTGCGAAAAGTGCAACAGAGATACTCCCGAGTACCACCAGTTTACCCATTCCAATGCCAGTCCCAATACTCTGTCGCAGCCTCGTTCCTGCTCATTCATTCATCTCTAGGCACACAGGCTCAGCCAGTAGCTCAAGCACACTGGTAGGGTCGCCAGCTACTTTACCCTCGATAGGTGCCTTGACCCCAGAGCTTTATGACCGCACTTTTGGCGGACACGATAAGAAACCGACTTCTTCCACGGTCAGCTTAGAGAACCAATCGCTGAAATGGCCGGATAAGCCAGTCGAGGCTGTCACGATACGCATTAGCGGTCTCAGGCGGCGGCTTGGACCAGACAGATACAAGCAGAGAGACTTCTCTCATGTTGTAAAGATTCCAGGGAATATAGAAATGGCGTATATAAGATCCTGGTTGCAAAAAGAAGTCCCTGGTGCGTTAATAATCTTAGAATTACTGGTTGGTTGCTGAATTTCATCAATAGATATTAAGGCGGTCAAGTCCTTTAGGTTCAAGGACCAGAAAGGTGATATCCGGACCAAGTGGGAGGATGTTTTCACGACTCCAGTCGAGGTTACATCTGGCCGGCCGTCTTACAACAAAGCAAGGGGCTTGAAAATTAATACTGACCAGTCAATTGCTGCTTTCATGAGCAAAGCCTTTCCGCACCCAATCAATGCTAAACTCAACAGTAATAGCCAAGTAGGGCACTCAACATTTGATAAAGTCTCTGCTTCCGTTCTTGAGGTTGGACAAGATAACGAGCCCGACCTAGTTATTTCATTCATGAGAACTGTTAGAGTTCCCGAGAGCGATAAGGAGTACGATCTACCTCCTGGCCTGGGGAGATTCCCGTTGTTCAATGTTGGGCCTTTCAGCCATAGTTTACCACCTTCAATGGTGGCCAAAGGAGGATTCTTCTTCCCGATGTATCGTGAGTGCAACAAGCAACACCGTGAAGATGAATAAGCTGACTCGCATTGCTTAGAGATGGAAGCAATGTGGATGCACTTCCATACGGAAGGACAAAAGAAGTTTGCTATTCGACCCTTCGTTGGCGGCGTCAATGGCCTTTCAGGGGAATCGTCCGAAGGAGGCATGGCGTCGATTCTTCGTCGAATGAATTCCGAGACCAGAAGACAGGACTACATCGTGCTACCGGAACAATTATGGCTTGACGGAATCGCCACTGCACCCGGAGTGGTCAACCAGTTTGTTGCCACCGAAATGGCTCCTCCCCGAAGAGAAAGATCTCAAGATGGTCGAAATTCTCAAACCAGAAAACAACGAGATGTGTCGAGCAGCCCCTCATCCCATGACGACGCTCCCAGTGGAGCGTCTATTGAGTGGCAGGTTACTGGTCGTGATGAGGTCGGAGGACTGCAGCTTCAGATTATTCCTGCATTTGAGACCGACAAGATACATGCTGGTTCGGCTAGAAACGTCTGCGTGACGAGCCACGGAGTCGTCTCTAGTGTTACTCTGCCGCCAGCGGTAGATCATATCTTCGACGTACTCTCAACCCCTGCCGAGCTCAAGCTGAACGTGGGTGAGACAATCCATGTCAAAGACCTCAAGTCAGCGGCGCAGTCACGCCCCAAAGTCGTCTCGGACTTGTTGGAGGAAAGTCCTTCGAAGCTCACTTACCAAGACGTTGTTGAGCTGGAAGCAGTCCACGAGAGCTATCGCGAGTGGGTTTTTGACATCAAGCTTCTCGGCGGCCTGCAGCCTCTCATTTCACTAAGCGTACGTGCATCCACATTTACCCACCGCTCATCGACTCATCACTATCTCTAGTTTGACGATAACGATCCATTCGACTGTATACTGGATATTGTCGCAAAGGAACTGCAAGGATCGAGAGGCCGGTTGGCCGTAGACTATTCTGCCGCCAACCTTACTCAGGGATGGATTCCAATTTCATCCTGGCTAGCTCTCATCTGGCTTCCACAGCTTACCGGGGAAAACCATGCACAAGTCAGACGGCGCGAACTCACTTTTGTAAGTCTTGTTCTCTATCATTGATATTCGTGTCCAGCTGAGAATAACCTTTCATAGATTCCTGATGGAATTTCTAACCAGCGCTATGTCTGCCGTGTTGTGTGTGACAAGACAGTAGAATCTACATACAGGAACATTCTTCCACTTCTACTGGCCCTTGACGAGAACGCTACTGTTAAACATCTGAGAAGCGTTATTCAAAAGACGACAGGAGTTTCAACAGCTGAGTACTTGATCCAACGGGATTCTTTGACTTCCCCGCCCATCGACGATAGTGAAAGAGTATTCTCAAAGGATAGGCTCACTGCATCTTGGGCGGGACAGGTACCGCAATATCTATTGACGCGGGATAAGCCGTGTTTCAGCCAAGTTGGGCAAATCTCTCAGCCCCTGAAACCCTTATCCGACCCCTTTTTCAACCCGTTCGGTCCACTTGGCCCGCCCATCGGCCCAATGCAAATTTCAATCAAGACTCTTACCGGAAAGGTTGTCATGATAGAATGCAAACAATCTAACACGATTTATGAGCTCAAGTCCAAGTACCAGGACAAAGAAGGCGTCCCGCCGGATCAGCAACGCATAATTTATCGTGGTAAACAGCTTGAAGACAGTAAGGATCTTGCAAAGACATTATAGACCGTAATAACCATTTATATCTCTAGTCCGCACATTAGCCGATTACAGCATTTCTATGGTAAGCATATTCTCCCCGGAGTCTTAATGCCTCTGTTTATGTTTACCTAGGACTCGGTCCTTCATTGTGTCCTACGCCTTCGAGGTGGCGGCTCGTCGATTCGAGTCCACTACGATGGCAACGAATGGAATGAGTCGCTCTCGGATTGTCGCAGCATCGCCGAGTTCAAACTCAGGCTTATGAGCAAAACAGGTATTCCAGTGAAAGACCAGATACTGAGATGCGCCGGTAAAATTGTCCAAGACGGTAGGTATCATGAAGACCCTCCATAATCTGCTGCGCAAGGTTCTAACGCATGCAAATCTTTCTGAGTATAGATGAGAATCCCTACAGATACCAAGAAGAAGAACTCATTGTCCTTACTACTCATGAACCAACTGTACCTATCGCTTTAGGCATCGGCGCCGGCGGTAAAATTCAGCAGCACATCGAGCCTGACACCAACGACCCGCGGATCTGGGACATAAACAGCTCACGTATTGTAAATGTACAGCTTCTCGATGCTCGCTCCTTTCGCCTCGTGACGGGTCACGCGCCCCCTGACACACCCATCACAGACGACATGTATGCCCAGATGGGCCTTAGGTTCTTCAAGCTGTGGAGTGACGAGCACCGCGCTGTTAACGGTGTATCAGGGGATTGGGACAATATAGCCGGAGCGGCCGAGGTGGCCAAGAGGAATGCCAAGAAAGGAAAGGGCTCGTCCTCTACTAATGCCACAACTGAAACTAAAGAGGAATGGGGGTTGCTGGAGACTGGAGCTTGGGGCCCTTTGAAGACGGGAAGTCGAGTGAGGCAGAGGGCAGCGGTAGACAAGGACTTCGACTATCCTCTCGTTACGTTGAATGTAGATGATACGGTACCTGAATTCAAAAGTGTAGTAGAGGACGATAATGATTAGGGAAGTTGTATAGACTACATAAATCTAAGGCTCTGCAGCTTTTCTATCTATCTAAGATTTTGCATATAAAGTTGAGAAAGTCATTACGAGGTTATGCGGTTCGATGGATGCTATTGAAAGTTTCTTTTACAATGTCTTTACTACTGGGAAAGGCGGTCAGCGGGATCAAGTCAAAGAATCAACATCAGTGTGAGATTACCTCAGCCGTCATAATAGCTACTGGCCGTATCCATGGCGCTATACTATCATCTGCTCCCAATCCTGGTGCGATTCACAAATTTTGGAACATCCAATATTCTTAAACACTGAACAAACCGCCACGATCCTACCTGGGACTTTAGCAGCTTGCATTACCATCTGGTAAGATGCGCGTCACCACCGTGCTCCTATTGGAGACTTCAGGGCCTCCAATGACAAGCTGTTACGATTCTTTATGTCTGAGCAAGCCGATAAACAGTATATTAATCGGTTACAGGTGGATAACCCCAGTTAATAGTTTCTCCATTAGTATACCTTTCTTTTGAACCGGACTGATGATGTAAGCGATAGCGCGGCGCAACATGAACGGTGAGGCTTGGACCGCGCCGAATTAGAAGCTAGCACCATCATCAACCCAACCCGGTTTCTACTGATCTGGTTTACTATTGTCATACTGGCGTGATTGCTCAGCTGCTAGAATATAGGTCACGCAGCAGCGCATCTAAGCTCAGTCTAGAGCAGACCTTGACTTCAAAGAGCTGGTATCACAGACACCCACGTAGAGATCTCGACTACCGCCTGGACCAACACCAAATATCCCACCAAAGATCGTGACTCGTGGTCATATACCTCATACTGCGTCAAGACAACCGGCATGTGTCAAGTGCCGTTCAACAAAATCGGAGAGGGCGCTTCGGCACTTTGCGGCAAGAAATTGTACATCGCCCACCATACCTCTACCAGCGACGGCACCAGGCCCAAGACTTGTACCGGTTGGAACCCTTATTCCTGGCCAGCCTGGCAATCGCTGGTTGGAGTACCTCACTTTGGACTTTACTTGTCCCAAAGTCTGCGATCGCTGGTGTTGCTGCGAGAAACCAGAAACACCTCCTCCGACATCCGACTGCAGCGAATCTGGTACTGCATTCGCAAAGCCCCCTAGCAATGCAAACCAGCAGACCCTTAAAGACAAAGGCTGTGGGCAGTACGGGTAGTGGAATGTATTTTTAGGTTCTTCCTACGAGGCCAGGCTCTTGGTTGGCGCTGGTAACAACGTGGGGGCACTGACGTCGGCAAGGTGGTGGTGTCAAAGTGCAGCAATGATGCCAACAAGTTAACAGTGACCTATACACTCGACTCGCTCTACAAGATCACCGAGGTACATTTGGACCTCCGTTGTCAACCCATTACTGACAAGTCGACCGGGAGAGACGGAACCTCGGGCTACCCTTGCGCGCCCTGCCAGTACAATGTGTTTAACGGGGCGTCAGGCGGTAAAGTTTGCCCAGCAAGCACCGGCAAGTCTAGCTACACGATTTCTTGTATCGACCCAAAGGTTATACGATGACGACGACAATCTGGGCTACACATGCACGTCTACCACAAGCCCTATGTATGCCATCCTCCACCCCAGTGTATACAAAAGTGGCGAAGGTTGCACTGTCGGGTCATGTGATAAGACTGATGCTTGTGAGTAGAAGTGGCAGGGTTCTATTCTTTCAAGCGCAGCCCCAATTTCGGGCACGATGTTAATTTAGGAATATGGAAATTCTGAATCTATCTAACCTGGCATTGAGCTCCATCTCTACATGGCTTTACTGTAATGGCTATAGGTGCTGTAATGTAATATGTTTCTTGAACTATACAGACAGGTTGATTTAAGACAGAATCTTAAGTTACGTATTCTTATGCCTTTAGGAAAGAAGCTTTAGTTAATTTACACATTATAAACCTATTAATGTAAACCTAATATAGACTAATTTGCCTTAAGATCCTTACCAGCAGTTCATTACAAGACCTAGCAGTTCTGTCAGCCGTAACCTTAGTCAATGTTAATCCAGAAGACGGACGGGACTTGAGTCATATATCTACCCGCAGCTCTGCATTTTCAGTCCTTAAATCCAAAGGATAGGGCGTTTAGTACCGACGACAATTACATATTCGAGTGGACAGCTCCATGGGTATCCTCCTAGTCGCCGGCTGCTGTGCTGTATTCCGCAAGCCGCTTGAGAAACAAATCAGAACTATTAACCTCAGCGTGGTGCGCATCAAGCCCCTCCTTATTGACGTCACCGTTAGGCTGGCGGGGCAGTACAACCCAGGCAGGAGAGATCTCAGCTACATGAGCGTGTGGAGACTCGTCGACGTCGCTAACAGCGTGGTATTCCCTAGATGTCCTACAGACGCTGTGGACAGTCTACCCGAGAAGGCCTGGCTGAAAGTAGGGGGCAGAGTCTAGACATTGTGACATGTTTGGATCTGTCAAAATGTTAAATAATGTGTGCTTGCAGGAACAGAATTTAGCTAGTATCATACTTGCTGACAGGGATGAATGTGATGACAACCTTGAATGATGTGACTGAAGTAGAGGTCGAGACTAAGAAATAAGCATAATTGTCTTATCTTTGAAACAGTGGCACACAAGGGGGCTTTTTATCACTTCAGCTCACGTTAGCGTTGCCAATTATGTCTTGCGCAAGCACAGCGTGACACAATTTGTTCGAGAAGTTAGACAATTGAGGAAGTGTCGTTGCCTGGAGCTCCGTAATGTCACGGAGGTTGCAATCGATAAAGTCTCACCACGGCCAATGTCATTGGATAAGTCGAGTTAGTCATATGTCTCAGAACATGTGCTCCTTGCATTTGTGTTGGGCTGAAGTTTCCCTCTCAGCCCTTAACCTTACCCCTCACGATGATATCGTGATCAAGATGGCGAGGGGATGGCGGAAAACTTAAGACCTTAATCCTAAATGACAGAAATACTTAGGGAAGTTTAGGATAAACTTAACAGGCTCTTTAATTAACCTATGTTTTATCCCTTGAGTTTAGGTTATAAGTTTCTGACACCCTTGGGGATGGCGACTGGCGTAAGGCCTAGGTTTTCTCACAGGATCAAGCCACAATGCATGAATGCCTCAAGACATCACATATATCACAGAAGGGATGTTCGTGGCTGGCTGAAACGCAGTTTCAATTCAGCTCCTCGCGCCACCATCGCGCCACCATCTTTGCCTAAGGCATATCTGAACATTTGCGACAGACGCCCGTCTTTTCTACTATATATTTCCTGTCGCGCCTCTTTATATTTGACAACAGCATTCACAGTCAAACTTCAATCACTGCATCCAGTCTCTCCAATCTTGTCTCACTTGCACTGTCTTGACCCGCAACAATGGGTGTCGAAAGCTATGGCGTCTGGCGCGCGAAGCCTGTCCGCTATACCTTCGAGGACAGGGACGACGATCCAAAATCACCCCACCTCTCGCTCTTCTTTGACGATGACAAGGGCAATGAAGGTCGCGCTGCTGTCAACATCAAGTCAGGAAATCGCCAAGAGTCCCGTCTCGCATACTGGACAGTTCCGAACTTCACCCATAACATCACCAATAAGCTAGCTCAACTCAGCAACGGCTTCCATCTTCTTGCTGGTACTTCGGAGCAGAGACTCGATGGCCTTGCACTGGATTATATCCGCAGCAACCTCTTCAACCGCGTCAATGGGCGTATCCTTCCTCATGATGTCGATGGCGCAGACAATGACATCCTTGATCAGTTGAAGCCTATTATCGACAGGGCCATCTCTGCTAAGGCTACGGTTTATATCTATGGCTCGGAATTCGACAGGGGAAAGGGTATACATAACATCCACATGAACCAGGGAAATTCTGGACGCTGGCTCAAAGACAACGGAGTCTTCCAGGACGGTGGTCTCATCTTTGAGTTTGAGGATCATTGGGAGGCTGTCTTTATTGGCTTTGCTTCTCAGGCTGTTCATACTCGAGATGGTCCCGAACGCGCTGGCGATCCACTGCCCGACCAAGATTTCAAGAGTTGGGCCAACTTTCTTGCTCCTGAGCTGCCGGATGTGGGCAGAGGGGAAGTTGACATTGAAGATTCGCCCGTGTTCATTGCCGAGGCTCTTGTGAATCCACCTGGCCCAGATCAGGAGCCAGGAACCCCTCCAGAGACCATCAGTCTCAAGAACAGAACCCAGGATGAGATTGACCTCAGTGGATGGAAGATTCTTATCAAGACTGGAGACACTCAGATTCTACCCTCGGGCATGCGTATTGGTCCTAATGACACTATGACGATTCAAACGACTGTCCCGCTTTCTAACAATGGTGGTATCATCACTCTTCTTAATGCGCAAGGATTCAAAGTACATGGTGTTAGCTATACGAGGGAAGAAGCAAACGGGGCTGTAATTGTTTTCTGATAGTTGTTGAATTTGAGTCGTTTCTGTATGGTCTCAAGATAGGTAGCTATCTTTCAGGCATCTTTAATGCTTGATCTTGGTCTCTTTGCTTCCCGAAGACATTCATAGTGTACCCAGGCACTCCAACCTGCAAAGGCATCCCCCAGTAACGTATTCCGAAGACGGGAACGTAGAGAAGGATCGTTAATGAATCTCTTTTCTATTGCTAAATGCGGTTAATTGACGATTAGTAGAGCGCCTACATGGCAATATGACTTGTCTCTACAGGTAGATCTAAGCTACCATGAAGTCTTAGGGAGATATAAGTAACTGTTTCGTAAGCTATAATTAGACACCTCAACCACAACAAACAGGGTTCCCCACATTAATCCAACTTAAAGTCCCTTCGGTTTAGAGCTGTTACTTGTGAATACAGGAAAGATAAGTGATTACTTTGTTAAGCAGTATATATCACTACTACATGTACTCTACTACGAGCTGAGTTTAATTAGAATGCGCTCAATATAGTAGTAATTGCAGTACGCAGTTTGCTCTGGTTGCTCTAAGTATGTGCCATTAGAGACATTGTAAATTGGCGAGAAATATCAAACATGTGCTATTGGCTGAGAGCTGCTCCGTCAAGACACGGAAGTTGAGTAGGTGGCTGTGTCGCAGTTAAGCCATACCACGCAAGGTTCCATTTTCTTCAAAGTTTGGCCCGCCTCCAGCATCAAGTCAATCTCTCCCACAGAAGTATTACACATTGACACATAGTATTCATTTTAAGAATCTTTTTACCCATCATTACTTTGTTAAATTCTTCATTCCTTGGCTCATATACATCTATCGGGAAAGGTCGGGGTACGGGCTAAACACCTCTACTTACCTACATTGTAGTGCATGATGAAGCAGTCATCGCGGTAACACAAAGCCCATGGCAAGCGCTAGACTGTTCCAGTACTTCAATCGAATGCGGAATATAAAAGCAGCAATCTGATCATGTTCGATTGGGCTTTCGCAATCGGGAGGCGCGTAATATAATCACTACTTATAGAGAGAAAGAATAAATATATGTCAGGAGGTATAAGGTCAGTATAAATAATTAGCGGCAATTATTGAGTTAGAGGATATTAAGGATATAGAGGTTCTTGCTTTGGCACCGGCGTTCTTACTTAAGCCTATGAAGTCAAGCTGTTTTATTGATAATACTTGGTGATAGACTATATACATAATACTGGCGTTATAAATGGCGGCAGAATGGAGATAAGAATACAAATAGATTAGACTATTATCGCATCGATATCTGCTTTACCGTGGAAGACAAAAGTGACAGAATACATAGCAAGCCCTAAACTCCGCTCAACCATTACAGCTTACTCTTCAGCCCTGCAGAAGCAGCAAGTAGGGTCCGCTGCTTCTCCCCTCCATGTTCAACCTTAACAGGAGCATCAAAAACAGTCGCATCAGTCTTCGCCTTCCTATCCCCCGTCTCAACATAATCCCTCTCCCCCTCACCAATATAAATCTGTCTCGGTCTCCAGATCTTGACGCCTGATTTATTCAGCATCATCTGTCTCCAATGCGCCAACCAACCAACACATCGAGGCACAGCAAACAACACAGGATAGAAATCGAGCGGGAATCCCATGGCTTGGTAGATCAGACCAGAGTAAAAGTCTACGTTGGGGTACAAGTTCCTGCTTCGCATGAATTCGCTCTTGCGGGCGTAGTCTGCTAGCGTTAGGGCTGTGTCGAGAAGGTTGTTTCGTCCGGTGACTTCGAATACTTCTTCGGCAAGTTTGCGGATGGCTGTTGAGCGGGGGTCCACGTTTTTATAGACGCGATGGCCGAAGCCTACAAGGACACGCTCTCTTCGCTCAACAGCTTGCATGAATGCTGGGACGTTTTCGGGCGATCCGATCTCAATGAGCATTCTGATCGCTGACTCTGAAGCTCCGCCGTGAGATGGACCATACAGGGCTGCGCATCCTGCTGAAACAACGCTGTAGGGGTCTACCAAAGAACTTCCTACCTGCAAGACTGTAGCGGTAGAGCAGTTGACCTCGTGATCAGCATGGATGATGAAAAGTTTGTCCAGCGCCTTGGCAAGAACAGGATGCGGTTGGTAATCAGGCTCAGACAGATTGTCGAGCAGATGCAGAAAGTTTCCGGTGTATGACAAGCCCTGCGCTGGGCGGTTGAACGGTCGACCCTGTCGCATTCTGTACGACGCTGCAGCCAAAGTCGGTGCCTTTCCAAGGACACGCAGAATCTGCTTGTCCAGTATCTTGAGGGCGTCCATGTTACCAGAAGCAGCGTTGGTATAAAGCTTCTGGCCGGCAAGCGAGGGATTAGCCTCCGGAGCAAATGCTCCAAGCGTAGCAAAGGCCGCAGTAAGCATGGACATGGGATGAGAATCGTAGCGGAACGACTTGAACATATTCTCAATGTCGCTGTGAATATACGTATGATGCATCACCTCGCCATGCCAGTCATCGTACTGCGCCTTCGTTGGAAGTTCACCATAGATGAGCAGATAAGCAGACTCGAGAAAGTTGCTCTTTTCGACCAATTGCTCAATCGGATATCCGCGGTACCGAAGAACACCATCTAGGCCGTTGATGTAGGTGATTTTACTCTGCACGACAGCAGTGTTCATGTACGCGGGGTCATACACCCGAAGACCTTGTGTAGTTTCATCCTCTTGGCGATCGTTGCCGGGCGTGGCTTTGATCTTCTTGAATTCTGTTGCTGGGATGGAATTATGTGTGATGGGGATTTCGTAGGTTTGGTTGGTTCTGTTGTCCACGACCGTCAGCGTCTCGCGCCGGCCTTTGTTCTGTGATGAGACCATAATGGAAATAATACAAGATGGGAGAAGGGAAAAATGTTGTAGTGGTTGATATGGGCATAAGCAGACGTCGTGATGATTTATTATAGTTTTCACAAGCAAACGCGTCGCCTACTGCGATGGGTCACGTGGAGTGGAGATTAACCTCGGTAACCCAAAAGTGGAAGGTTGAATGCTTGTGAGAGCCTTGGTCGAGCTTATGATAGGTTAGAAATATATCTTATAATAGCTTTTAAATACTATTAGTATACTTAAAAATAGTATTATTTACTAAAATAATAGTTAAAAAAATTAATATTATATATATTATATAAATTAAAGAGTTTTAATAATTAATATTTATTAGTTTTTTAAATAATTAATAAAGAAAAAATATATATAAATAATATTAAAATATAAATAATATTTACTTTATATATTAAATAAATAATTATTTAAAATACTAATAAGCTTCTTAAATATATTATATATCAATTTTTAATAACCTAGTTTAGATTATTACTTTTTTATTAATTTTACTTTATATATTTTTATATATAAGGTTACTTAATTATATGCCTTATTATATATATTTAATTAATTAAGGTATATTTAACATTTACTAACTAATTTATATAAAACTTAATATAATTCCTTTAAACCCTGCCTTTACCTTATATTTATTCTAAAACTTTATATAAAGACTCCTCTTATTTATATATAATAAAAAAGATATAAAGTACCTATTCTGCCTTTATAATTATATTAATAAGCCACTCTTTATACTAGGCTAAGTTACTAATAAAAGTAATAAAGAAAGCAGCTTTTTATATTATTAAAGGCTAGTTATATTTTAAGGCTTTTTTTAGCTTTTTTAATTTAAATAGCTTTTAATTAATTTAGCCTATTAATATTATATTTTTTAAGTAATTTAAATTTATATAACTAATTAACTAAATTAAATTATAATTAAAAATAGCTATTTTAATTAAGTTAAACTTCTTATTTAATTAAAGGTTTTTTCTTAATAGCTATAATTATTATATATAATATATAATAATCTCTACTTATAGCTTACTTTAAAGTTAATTTAGTTATATTAATAAAATTATAATTAATTATATAATAGCCTTAATTAGATTATAAGCTATTATAAATATTTAATATTATATTAATATTTATACTCTTATTAATATAATTAAACTAACTTTAAAGTAAGTTATAAGTAGAGATTATTATATATTATATATTAAAAGAGAAGTAATGCCATAGCTATATATAAAGTAATACAATAATAATATTTTTCTTTTTTAATATAAACATAATATAAGGCATTATATACTATACTAAAAAAAAAAAAACATAATAACCTTAATATTAAGTTAATAAATTATATAGCTACTGCCTTAAACCTTAAGATCTAACTAAATAAGTAGCCTTAATTTATAAGCATAAAAAAGATGTTTCCCTTATTAATAATAAACTAAATTCTCTTTCTATTATTAACCTCTTAATGTAATTATTACTGCTATAATAACTATAAAGCTCTATAAGAAAATAAGCTTAAAACTATAACTCTTATTATTTAAGATATACTGCTATATAATTATTATTAATAATAGTTAACCTAGCTATAATTATTTAATTAAGGTAATTAATAGATATATAACTACTTAATTAACTAATATTAATAATATCTATATTATAAGGATTTAAAGCTTATATTCTAACCTTTATTATTATAAAATTATAAGTAAATACCTATCTTATATTAATAAATTATAATTAATATAATAAGTTAATCTTATTATTTTTAGTTATTAAGTACTAATTAAAGGTATTATATAAAATAGTTACCTTATTAAATTTATTAAATACTAAAAAAAGGCATTAAAAGGCCTAACTAATTAATTAAAAAAAGGTATAAGTATATTATTGCAGTAGCAGGCCTTTATTAATAGTATTACATTAGCTAGTAGCAATACTATATACTTAATATAGTTTAAAGAGTTAAAAAGTAAGGTCTAGTTAATTAAATCAAGAGTATAAATATTTTATTATAAGAAATAAGGATAATTATAAGGTAAAGGAGGGGAAGTAAGGGGGAAAAGAGGGGGAAGAAGTTAAATTAAGAAATAAAGGTTTTACTATTTAGAAAAAAAACTATAAAGGCTAGTTAGTAGATTAAGACTAGCTTAGCCAGTTAGTAATAAATTAAATTAAGTTATAAGATAAAGTAGTAATAATAAATATAGTAAAATAATACTTAAGATATATTATATATAATAATTATACTTATTAAAAAAAAATTAATTAAAAAGGAAATTTAACTTAGTTAAAATAATTATTTTTAATTATAATTTAATTTACTTAATTAGTTATATAAATTTATATTACTTAAGAAATATAATATCTTTAGGCTAAATTAATTAAAAGCTATTTAAATAAATAAAAAATAAAATAAAAAGCCTTAAAATATAATTAGCTTTTAAAGGTAAGAAAGGTAGCTTTTCTTAATGCCTTTATAGGCTTAAACTTAGCCTAATATAAAAAGTAGCTTATTAATATAATTATAAAGGTAAAATAAGTATTTTATATCTTTTTTATTATATATAAATAAAGAGAGCTTATTTATAAAGTTTTAGGATATATATAAGGTAATACTAGGGTTTAAAAACTTTATTAAAGTTAAAATATATTAAAGAAATTATATTAAGTTTACTTTATATAAGTTAGCTAATAAAAGTTAAATAAACTAAAAGTTATAATTAGCTTAATTAATAAAATATATATAATAAGGTATATAATTTATTAACCTTATATATAAAAATAAATAAAATAAAATTAATAAAAAGTAATAATTTAAATTTAAAAGAAAAAAATACATAAATAAAATAAAAAATAAAAAGTTATTATTATTAAACCTAGTTATTATTTTAATATTTATAAATAAAAACTATAAATTATAAAGGTAATTTTTTAAGAAAATATTAAAGAATCTTAAAGTTATCTAGGTTGGCACAGATAAACATTAGACAATACATCAGGATTTAGTTTAACCTTTATATAATAGTAAGGTAGGCATAATCTTCACGGCCTCAGGAAATAGCTGCATTAGTAATCTAGCTATATGCTTTAAGTAACTCTGCAGGATAGAATACCCTACATAAGAGATAACTCAGCAATTAACTAACACATTTATACTGCTGCTTATTACATTCACTTTAACCCTTTAAGCACGCTCAGTGCGACATATCCGCACACTAATTGGCTTGCCAATGAGTTGACCTCCTGCTTCCTATGTAAACACACAATCCCGCAAGACCGGTATTTACTCCCCTCCAACTACATGATCAATGACCAATAACATCCTTTTTCCTGCTTTTGCAAGGTCAAGTAAGTGTACGAAACGGCAATATAGTGCCCTGGGGACTATTAATCCTCTCTCTGCGGCAAAACAGCTGCTGCTGTATCTTCCATCGTCTCCATCGCATGCGCTCTCTCTTTGAGTGCCTCAGCAACAGCAGGCCTTGCGATCATTTCTTGATGCCACTTGAACCATTCAGGATAGTTCTCTTCGGGCTTGAGCTCTTCGTCTGGAAATAAGGCAGTTAAGAGCAGGATGTTCCAGGGGACAAATGATAGGTCCCCATAGGTGCATCGATCCCCAACCAGCCAGACCGGGCTGTCAATGTCCAACTTCAACTCTTGTCGCCGCTTTCGTAAATGTTCATTGATCACTTTCATAATGCGCCTACTCTGCTCGCCATATCTCGAAATCGCTGTCTCCACGTTTCTCTTCTGATGAAAATAGGTGAACCACATTTTCTGACCAAACATTGGGCCCTGCCCGCTCATTTGTACCATGAGCCAGCTGTTTGTTGCCCATTTCTCTTGAAGGTTATCTACAGGATAACTGAGCAAATGTTTGTTGTCATACTGGTCGATGAGATACTGAACAATCGCACCAGACTCGAAAAGGGTGACGTTGGTGTTGGGGTCGATCATGGCGGGTAAACGACCGTTTGGGTTGAGGCTGAGGTAGGGTTCTTTGTAGATCTCAGAGTAAGGTATCCAGACAAACTCCCATGGTAAGCTCAATTCCTTCAAGACAATGATAACTTTCCAGGGGTTCGGGCCCGTGCCAGGAGGTCCGTGGTAAATTATAATACTCTGCATTTTCTCAGCCAAAGCTTTAGCGGTGTTTTTAGACCAAAAGTGGTATGAAGGTACTTGATCTGATAAACTAAGTGTGAAATTAGTCTGACTGTGAACTCTTTTAAGTAATAACACATAGTTATAGTAGTCTTGCATTTATAAGCCGGTCAAATTCATCGTTTCCCTTTAATGTATCTATTTGTAATCGAGGGATATTACGGAATTATAACATTCTAAGTCCGAATCTGCATTTATCATTATAACGTCAAGCTACTGGCTGAGGAACACAAGGACATCCCGTAAAATAATCGTTCCCAGGGTAAGTGTCTAACCGAGATGGCAGGATACTAGACCCATGTAAGAACATGGTTATACCATTCGCTTGGGCATGAATAAGCTTAACTCCACATGAGACCCACCATTCCTTATTCCCTTGCTTTTCGGCCAATAGTTAGTTCCTAAATACGAGATGGGGAAGGTGTATTAATGCATTGATGACATCTTTCATTTCAGCTATTCTTTCTTAATATCCTACCTATATTATTATTACTAATCTTTTACTCCCAGTATAGCGCAGCGTGACAATATGGCTATTCGTGGCTACAGATCTTAATCTTTACAGCGCAGTGCGTGCAATATCAATATTTCTATGCAAGCTAATCATAACTCTAATAGATTGACCTACTCGCATGATGCCGCTGCAGTGGGTACCACGTTATTAAAGAGGAAAAATAATGGAAAACAAACAGCTAGCTAATATACCAAGACTAAATAATAATCTGCCATCGCTGCACTGATACAGGCCTTGCAAGAATGACTCTATGCCCTTAAAGTTTGTTAATTAGGCGGCGGTGGTATCTGTTAAACTTATTGCTTAAGGTAGAACATTGACTTAAATTCAAGCTGATTCCAACTGCAAGCACTTACACCCCAATTGATACTGTCTTGACTTGGGTCCAATCATCCAACGCCTCTGTCCCGCACTCGACTCCCTGCCCGCTCTCTGTTCGGATCGTCAGTTTTTCTTTGGCCCATCGAAAAAGAACCTTGGGCTCGAGTGGACCAAATTAAGCGTGACTTACGTTTCCAACCTATAAAAGGCTGTTGGATTCTAACCGCCAAGCTATGGTTATCCTGTGAGACTCTCTTCCATGCGTTTGGAAAATCTTAGGATCCTCCTAAAATCTTTGGTCTACAGAGTGGCTGTTAGGCTAGTTTCTGTATGGCTGGCCTTGGTTAAAGCTTCTTTTTCTGTAGTGAATTTACTAATAATAAGTATTGGTCTAACAACTTCCTCATTGACCACGCGAGCCCCTTCATCTTGGCGACTAATTCGTCGACGATGGATTCGTGGGTGTAAATGCGACTTCCAGTAGAACAGACTTTAGCGTTGAGGATGAAGAGCTGGCCAGCAATGTTTTGTGCCGCCTTGTCTAGATCTGCATCAGGGAAGACCACGACTGGCGACTTGCTGCTAAGCTTGAGTGTTATCGACTTCAGATTTCTCTTTGCCACCGCCACCTAGATAGGCTTTCCTGCCTAAATAGAACCTGTGAAACTCCATCTTCGAATCCTGGCGTGTTTTACCAGCGCTTTGCCTGGTTTTAAGCCACCGGTGATGCACCGAATAATACCATTGGGAATCCCGGCCTGAGACGCAAGGGAAACGGCAAGTAGCGTGCTGAGGGGATTTGTCTCGCTCGCTTTGATGATGATGACGTTGCCTACGGGGAGGGCCGGCCCGGCCTTTATAGCGTAGATGCCGAGTGGCGCGTTATATGCACAGATGCCAGCGGTAATGCTATAAGGCTTGCGTATGGTAATCTATAATTCTTTAATACCCCTATGGCAAGATAGCGATGGCATTATAAGTCGGACCACTAGCTTATTGCCGTCTCTTTTAACAATGTCTGTTCTTAAAGTAGTTATGGAATGTGCATAGTCTGCCAACCTTCCTCTTAGAGAGCCAGTTCTTGACCGGATTGGATGACCTTATATCTAAACATGCTGCCTACCGCAGCAGCCTTATGAAGGCCTATATGTGCCTCTTTACTAACTAGAATAGCCTCTAGCTAATGTAATTGGTCTTAATGTTTCTCTAGGATATAGGCATAGCTTAATAAAGCCTTGAGATATTGTTTTTAAATAACCTTTATAAGTAAAGTCTTCTCCCTTATATAAATAAAAGGATAAAGTTAAAGCAGATAATTTAGCATAAAGGTTAATATTTACTATAGTTATAGAGGACTAAGCCTTAAAGCTTTTTTAGCAGCTATTATATATCTCTCTATATTATGAGTGCTGGCCTACTGAAGTTCTATATATGTAAGAATTGTTAGCAAATTGATACTAGGCATTAGGCAAAACAACCTAATGCGGCTTTAGAAATAGACCTTTGCCTTAACTTGTTATGAGAACGGGCGTTTCGCCGCTTGAGAGATAGAAAATACCTTTGGTAATGACCTGGTCGTTGACTGCAGATATGAGCGTATGCTTTTCCGCGCCGACGCTGTCGATAAATTCGCCGTTAATATATGGCTGTAAGGGATGTGAAAACTTGCTGAAATCCGAAGACAAGGGCATAATGGGAGAGGTAGTAATGATTTTAGAAGCGAGTAGATATTCGTTGTTTGTCGCTTTTACTTAAAGGCTGTTAGAAGATATAGGCGTTGGCGAGCCTGTATACCAAAGGGATCCCGCGGGGCCGGGTGCTTGTGGTAAACTGTAATCCGTTTTGGGCTTGTAACGATTGCCGGCCTCGAAGATCTTTGCCTAATAATGGCTGATTCTAATTGTCGTCTACCAAGTTCCTGATCTGGAGGGATGAATGCGGGGAACTCAGGGGTTGGATACGAGTCGTATAACCGAGACGCTCTACCGAGCCGTTGCCGGAGATACAGTAATATAATATAACCAGAGAGCCGGCAGGACAGGGAAATATTTTATGTGGTGAATAATCTTGAGATATATTACCGAAGCTTTATACTCTTCTCGATGCTATCTCGCCCAATATGCAAGAACCTGTACCACTCTATCAACAGCAATAGTCTAGCCTACCAGCTTTATTATATTCCACTACTTATCTTATTCTTAAACCATGACCCCTTCTATTGAGCCTGTTATAGTATCTGTAGCTTTATGCGTCTTCATAATCAAGGGCGGCGTGTTGGGCATTGGTGCGGCTATAGCTAGAATCATTGCTAAGTAGGAGGCTGCGGCAGTTCACATAGGTGACTGGGACACTTCCAGGTTTAAGCAGATCAAGGATGAACTTGAAGCCATTAACCCCTATACAAAAGTCTTTACAGAATATGTCGACGTCTCTAGCTCTTCTTCCGTGAGGAGCTGGATTTAAGGCGTTGCTGATAAGTCGGGAGCTATTCATGGATGCCTTAATGCGGCTGGCGTTGCCCAGGTCATGAGCGATCCTTCTTCTATAGAACTAATGATCCTCCAAGAGAGAGATGAAGGCATCGAGAGAGTTATAAATGTAAACTACAAAGGCGTTGTTTATTGCACGCGTGAATAGACTGCGGCTATGCTGAATCTGCTAAAAGGAAGTTACCCAAGTATCGTCAATATTGCGAGCCTTGCGAGCCTGATGCATATTCCTGGCGGTTATATATGCAGTACCAGCAAGGCAGCATGTACTTACTTCTCTTAGATTGTTGTAAAGGACCTTCAAGCTACAGGAATCCGCCTCAACGCTGTTTCTCCCGGTGAGTTCAACTGCCCTCCTACTCAGTTGCTGAGTGCTATGCTGGTATTGCCTTTACGCAAGTGCGTTGGCGAAGTTATCTATCATTCAAGGCCTAGCGCTGACTTGTTTCTAGGCAACATTTTGACGCTGATAACACGGAAGTTTGTCCCAGCTGATGCGGATACCGACCTTATGGCTAAAAACGCCGCTGCGGCAGGCTTGTCCTCTCTTGATCTTTATGACGTGGTGAGAACTATTGTGTGGTTATTGAGCGAGGCTTCTATTTATGTTAATGGAATAAACTTAGCTGTTGGGACTATTGTACTATAGATTGACGGCGGGTTTGAAATTGTCTTAGCTAACCTAAATCTGTCTGCCTATCTAAACTCTTTCTCTATTGGGATGCACTAAGTCTAGGGGGCGTTGGGCTCGTGCTCTTTTACTTATTCTAAGCCTCTTAGCTTGATTGATAGAATAGACTTTGGTAAGAGACATATCGATGAGTTTTATGTGGTAGTAAAAGAATTGCTATTTATTAGATGAGATTCTCTTGGCAGTTTGATCGTGGTGTCTTCGCGTAATACCCGTACAGTGGGCCACTATATCTTTAATAAATATACACCGATGGCAGCGTTGAAGTCACCCTCTATTCTAATGGTTGACTAGAGACTGGGATTTCTTATATTCTATAAGTTGGCGGACTTCAAAGAGTGAAGGAACTTCCAAATTATCTCGATCTTAGTGTGATTTAACTATCAAAGATCGCTTGATTATTAGACTATAGACCAGTCGCCTAACAGAAGAGGAATCAGATGTCTTATATCGCGATCTATCAATGCTTCGTCATCTTCACCAACTGGTGCAGCATAAGAGCCTTCTGTATATGCTCACTTTACATGTCTGATCACTTGCCTAATATCATTAATACCAACCAGAGAAGCACCAGTAAACGTATTAACTCGAGACCCATCACATCCCAAAGTATCCAAAGCAGCTACCTTTGTGGCCTTCTTCCCCTTGGCGAGCTCTAGCAGGTCCTCGGCTGTAGCCAGGCGAGCAGACTCCTTGTTCGACACGACTGTTGGTTTCCAGGGAATGGGGCTGCTAAGCCACTTCGGATCAATCGCGTCTACGTTGAAATATGGTGCTGCGTCGCTCTGGGGGTCTCGTTCACGTTGGTTAAAGCCTCTGCCGAGGAACGCCCACTAATGCCCTGATCTTTAGACAGATTTTCAAAATCCTGAATTTCCGTATAGCTACATCTAGCCTGCATAAAAATAATTTCTAGGCGAATTCCTTAATAGCGTTGGGAACTGCTTGCAGGAATGAATTATAAGCCTTTTGCAGTAATTATTAATTATTTATAATTATAATCTAGGATTACTAGATATTATTGGCCTTTTACCTCTATAAGGTAAGTTTATCTTAGATATAATTATATAGCTATTACTTCCCCTTTATACCTATACCTTTAATATCTTAGGTATATTCTTTCTTTTAATAGTGTAATAATTTGCTATAACTTATAAATTGTAAAGTATAATATTTATACTTTGCCTTAATTTAAAGGGCTAGGAATGGATATAAAGTAGGATCTATTTACTTACTCTAATAGCTTATTTAAGTTTAAGAAAATATAAGGAGTTAATAATAATATTAAACTATTATTAATACTTCTTAGAAATATTATATTGTTCTTTAAAATAGTATTTAATATAATTATTTTTTATTTTTAAAATAAAGCCTTATAATATATAAATAATAGCTTAATATAAAATATTATAATAAAGCTTTCCCTTATTTATATTAATAATACATTAATATTATAGCTAATTTACTTTTTTAGTTATATAGCCTATCTTATAATTTATTTAATTTTCTTTTTATTACTAATATTAAATTTATAACTTTAAGTGTTTAACTTTAAGTAACTTAAACTTATATAAAACTTAATATATATTTCCTTTAAACTTTATAATTACCTTACTTTTATCTTAAATATAATAATATAATGTCCCCTCCCCTGTTTATATTGATGGTGCACTGATGTTACAGCTGATTTGCTCATTTGGTCACGTGATCTGTCTCGTGACTCATTTGATCCTCTTTTCGCCGCCGACGCCAAATTCAGTCACGACTTCAGGTCTTTAACTTCAGGTAACTAAACTCACACAAAACTCAATACATTTTTCCTCTAAACCCCGCGATTACCCCGCTTCTATCCCAGACATCGCATCACAGGTTCTTAGTCTTCTCTAGTACCTCCTTAGCCTGCTACCGGATATCCTTAAGCCACTCGTTATATAAGCCGCCGTTAAGGGCCCTAAAGAACCCCCTTTCCCTCCTGCTTGGCTGCACCCCTCTGCATAGCTTCCTTTCTAGATCCTTAAGCTTCTGCTTCTTGCATTTAAGGAAGTCTTTATTAATTAGAGGGTTTTTATAGATAGACCATATAAGCAGGAGGATCTTGCAACTAAAGATCGCTATCCTAATACAGCTGGCATTATCCTTATTAAACCAGGCCTCTCTAATATCTATAGCCATTATATACAGTATATCGCCCTTACCCTTATTTCGCCTAAGAGCTTCTTCGATCTTAAGGATCACATTATGGCCTTCAGTCAGATAAGGCTTGTCGGGCCTAGGTGCCTGCAGGCTTCTTCGGATAGCAGGCATTGTGATGGGGCAGCTGTGATGCTGTTAGCGGTTGCGGCCAGAAGAGGGAAAGTCGGGTTGGGTCGGATGACTTACTGCGTGATGGATGATTGAAGCGTGGTATCCTTTCAGGTGGGTTGTAGGAAGAAGGTTGGGGCCAGCTGATGAGCAGGTAAGGCTTTTCAGCTGGCATATATGCAGCTAGGTTTAGGCTGCAATTAAGGCAGCTAACTATGATGATTTGACTTAATGAAGCTTTGCCGGCTGTAGGGGCAATAAATGTTTAAACTATATTAGACTCTGGAGATGCTTAGATATACCTTTCGAGGCTAACTTATAAACTTAAAAAAAAAAAAAAAATAATATCCCCCTATCTTAATTATATTCTTATAATTTAAAACTATAATTAGCTTAATTTTTATAAGTTTTTAGTCTTTTTTAATACCTCCTTAGCTTATTATTAAATATCCTTAAGCTACTTATTATATAAGCTACTTAGGTTAAGGACCTTAAAAAAACCCCTTTTCTTCTTATTTAATTATATCCCTTTATATAGCTTTCTTTTTAAATCTTTAAGCTTTTACTTTTTATATTTAAGAAAGTCTTTATTAATTAAAAGGTTTTTATAAATAAATTATATAAGTAAAGAAATCTTATAATTAAAAATTATTATTTTAATATAATTAATATAATTTTTATTAAATTAAGCCTTTTTAGTATTTATAATTATTATATATAATATATTACCTTTAATTTTATTTTACTTAAAAGTTTTTTAATTTTAAGGATTATATTATAGCCTTTAATTAGATAAGGCTTATTAGGCCTAAGTGCTTATAGGCTTTTTTAAAGTATTATAATAAGGCAGCTATAATACTATTAGTAGTTATAGCTAGAAAAGGGAAAGTTAGGTTAGATAACTTATTATATAATAAATAATTAAAGTATGCCTTTAAAGTAGGTTAAAAGAAGAAGGCTAGGGCTAGCTAATAGGCAGGTAAGGCTTTTTAGCTAGTATATATATAGCTAGATTTAGGCTATAATTAAGGTAGCTATAAGGGTAATAAATATTTAAATTATATTAAATTTTAAAAATACTTAAATATACCTTTTAAGGCTAACTTATAAACTTAAAATAAAAATAAAAAAAAGAATAAAGCTTTAATTTCTTAAATATAATAATTATAGTTTTTAAGGAATATGTAATGGTAGTGGTTTCCAAGGGATAAACTAGTCCGTTCTAGGTTTATATTAGCAGATAATATAAGGCATAATGCTAAGTAGTATAAAGTATTATATCTCTTAATAATTAAGTAATATATATTAGGCTTATTAATATAAAGAAATCTTATTAATAACTAGTAAGCTAAGATTTATAAAAGTATTAATAAATATATTTTATATATTAAGGTTATAAAGTAAGGGATAATAGTATATAGGGATATTATTATCCTAAGATATAGCATTTTAGGGATAATGGCATTTTAGTATTAGTTATCTTTATATAAACTATATTATAATTAGTAAGGAGGAAAGTAAATTTATAGGGTATATATAATATAACTATAAGGGTTGTAATATAATCTCTTCCCTTTATTAGGTCTTATCCTTAAGACCTGTATACCCTAGCTATCCTAAATTTTACCTAATATATTCTAACCTAAACCTTTTATTATTATATTATATAATATCTAATTATATTTTTAAATAGTATTTTTATAAGACTTATATAAAATGTAAGCTAGAGAGACTTAAAAAGGAGTATAATATAGCAAAACTTGCCGAATCTATTATACTATCTAGTAAGTAGGCAGATATACTATATACTTATTGCTTTTAAGCAGGAACTAGAGAGAAATGTTTAATATCTTCTAACTTTAGTTAATATAGTAAATATATATATAAGTAGAAACCTTATAATAGTATATAAGTAATATCTTTTTATAAGTATTTTCTAGGTTTTTCTCTTTTTCTTTACTAATTTTATATTTTTCTAGTATTTACTTTTATAAAATAAGAAAAAAAGCTTAAAGTAAATAAGGATAAAGTTAGTAATAATCTTTTAAAGCTTTATAAAGAGATAGTGGCCTTATAGTCTTATCTCGCGGCTGCTACTAGGCATCTATCCTATATCTAGAAAATCTAGGCTAGGGTAAAAGAGAAACATTTTAAAGCTATATATTATAGTCTTTAAGAAGTTAAGAAGGAAGATAGTATCTTATCTATATTAAATACTTATAAAGATACTATAGTATATAATCTCTAAGTAAACTATATTTTTAATAATATTAATTAGTTATCTTTAAGTTTAAGAGATAATCTTTTAGATATATTGCCTTTATTTAAGTTTAGTAAAAGTTCTTTAAGAGTTATTAGGTATTAGTAAGGTATTTAGTAGGTTCTTATATATTTTTATTTTCTAGGTAATCTTTCTATTTAACTAAATATTTGCATTTTTTATTTTCTAGTTATATCTTCTTAATTACTTTTGCTTTATAGACTTTTAGTCTTATAATTACTTATAGTTTATTGCCAGTTCTGATATATATTATATCTATTACTAATTTAAGTATTATAATATAATATACTAGATAGTATTATATTATTAAGGGTAAATCTAGTTTATAGTTATTTTTTAATTTTTTCTTTATAACTTTAAATAGTTTAATATACTTATAATCTAGTTTATAACTTAATTAATCTATTTTAATATTTTTTATAAATAGGTAAACTATATCTCCTTTTAAGAAGGTTAGTCCTTTTAACCTTTTAAGATTATAGTACTATTTTATCTGTTTTTTAATATATTTAAGCTCTATTTTTATTTTATTATAAAGCATCTTAAGGTCTTTGCTTTTAATAATAGCTACTAGGTTAATTAATTTAGGTTCTTATATATTATAATATACATTTAGTATAAATCTAAAGTTAGTATTAGATAGTATAAGCTTTATACTCTTATTATATGCAGTATTATAGGCTAATTAGGCATAAGGTAGTTTCTTAACCTAATTATCTTATTTATAATTAATATAATACTATAGATATTACTTTAGTACTTAATTTATATATTTAGTCTATCTATCTATTTAGGGTCTAAAAGCTATTAATAGTTAGTAATTTAGTCTTAAATATAATATAAATACTTATTAAAACTTTAATATAAAAGTTAGCCCTCTATTTAATAGGGTTTTTATAGGTAGTTTATATATTTTAACTATCCTATTATAGAAGATATATAATATTTATTCTATATCTATTACTTCTCTATAAGGTAGGTAGTATAAGAACTTTATAAGTTAGTTTATAATAACTATAATACTATTATAGAAGATTCTAGTTAAGGGTTCTTCTAATAAGGATAACTTAGTTATAAAGTCTATTATAATTAAACTTTAAGGTTATTTTATTACTTCTAGTAATTATAGTTATTTATATAGTTTATATCTTTATAACCTTATCTTTATATAGAGGTTATATTATTTAATTATTTTTTTTACTTCTTTTTTTTAAATCTAGTATCCTTATTATTATAATTATTTTAAGGTCTTTATAACTCCTTAATATCTATATAATAGGTATAAATAGAATTTATAAAGGAAGTTATATACTTTATTTTCTAGAATTATAGTTATTATTGCTTTTTATATCTATCTTAATACTTTAGTTTATTAGGTAAACTTATATTCTCCCTTTTTATTCTTTTTTAGGACTTATTTATTAGTTTTTATTATATTAGTATTATAGTCTAGTTTTCTACTAATAGTATTTACTTATTTATTTTCTAATCCCTTATAGTAAATAATTATAAAATTAAACTTATATAGGTATTTAGTATAATATAGCTATTATCTATTTAGTTTTTAAGTTATAGTAAAATATAAAATATTTTAGTAATTAGTATAGACTTTAACTTAATATATACTTCTTATAAGGTAGTATTTAAATTCCTTAAAATAGTTAATAATTACTAGGAATTCTTTATTATAGATAAGGTAATTAAGCTTTACTTTATATAATTTATATAAGTAAAAGGCAATTAGGTAAAGGCATCCTTCTTTATCTTTTTATCTAATTTATCCTCTAAGTGCAAAATTTAATATATTTATTTCTAGTTTTATTTCTTTAGTAAGATTAAATATAATTAAGACTAGCTTACTAAGGATTATATCTTATAGTTTTATAAATATTTCTTTTACCTTTATACTAAATATAAAGGTCTTGCCTTTTTTTATTAATTTAATAAGTAAATTTACTATTTTACTAAAGTCTTTTATAAATTATTAATAATAATTAGTAAAACTTAAAAAGCTTTATATTTCTTTAATATTAATAGGTTATTTCTAATTATATATTATTATAATTTTCTTTTAATTTATTTTAATTTATCTTAAGGAAATAATATATCTTAAAAAGTTTACTTCTTTTATATAAAAGTAACTTTTCTTTAGTTTAATTAATAGGTTAGTATTTTATAATACTTATAAGACTTTATAAATATATTCTTTATATTCTCCTTTATTATTTAAGAAGATTAGGATATTATTTAAGTAATATATTATAAAGATATTAAGGTATTATTAAAGTATATTATTAATTATCTACTAAAACATTATAGGTATATTAGTAAGTCTAAATAGCATTACTAAGTACTTAAAGAATCTAAACTTAGTTTTAAATACTATCTTTTATTTATCTCCTTCCTTAATATAAATTAGATTATAGGCTCCTTTAAGGTTAAAAGTAGTAAAGATTTATTTTCCTTATAAGCAGTCTTTAAGTTCTATAATAAGCAAAAGTAGGGTCTAATCCTTAATAATAAGAGTATTTAATCTTTAATAATCTATAATAAGTTATAGTTTTTTATTTTTCTTAAATATAAATATTACTAAGAATCTTATTAATAAAGTAGATATTTAGATATTTCCCTTAGCTAGTTTTATTTTTAAGTATTTTCTTAAAGTCTTAAGCTCTTTTTTATTAAGATTATAAATCTTCTAAAATAGTAAGTTATCTATTTTAAGCTAAATTTTATAGTCTTAATAGTTATGCTATAGTATCTTTATATTAAGTTCTTCCTTAAATAGTTTCTTATAGACTTAGTATTCTTTAAGGATATTCTTAAGTTATTTTTATTATTATTTTACTTTATCCTTTTT